TTTTACATTTTTAATTTGTCATTTTGGCATCTTGATAGGTAGTATTTTAAAGGCATCATTTTGACTTCAAGTTTATCATTTTGAATTTCTAATTTAACATTCTGACATATTGGTGTCATTTTGATATTTTAAATTTATAAGTTTAACTACTAATTTATCATTTCGACACTTAATAGACACTTCATTTGTTCAATTCATCATTTTAACATTAAAGCTCACATTTTAGCTTTTTAAATCGTCATTTTAAATATTTAATTTCATAACTTGGCATTTTGGTATCTTTTATTATTTTAATGTCATCATTTTGACTTCTAATTTGTCATTTTGGCATTTTAGTATCATTTTGATATTTAAAATTTATTAATTGGACCCCATCTTTCTCATTTTAAAGTTTTAATTTGTCAGTCTGACAACTAGGTATCATTTTGAAGCTGTACATTATTATTTTAACAGCTGCAGTCATTTTAAGTTTCTGATTTACCATTTTTAATTTGTCATTTTGGTATCATTTTGATATTTGAAATCATCATTTTTAACCCAACTTTATCATTTTAAAGTTGTAATTTATCATTCTGACATTTTGGTATCATTTTGACGTCGTAAATTTATTATTTTGACATTTAATTAGACATTTTATTATTTCAATTCGTCATTTTAACATGAAAGCTATCATTTTAACTTTCTCATTAACCATCTTATATTTTTAAGTTATCAATCTAACACTTCAAATATCATTTTGACACTGTACATTGATCATTTTAACTTTACACCTTGTCATTTTGGCATTTCACGTTGTCATTTTGACTTCAACCTGTCATTTAACATTTTATTTTATTATTTTAACATGGAAATTTACAAATTATTAAATTAAAGTCGTACTTTAGCTATTTCTAAATACTTTACTTTATTATTACGTTTAAAGTCATGTGATATTAAAAATTAATATGCTTCTAAAGTTTATTCAGCTTTATCAAACACTATATAATAAATTATTTAGATAATCACGTCGAGATACACCGAAAAGATAAAAATAGCTAAAAAACATTTTGGTATATTTTAAATAGTTGTTTGGTCGATATTTTTGGTACAAAACCCGTTCATATCAAAACTTTAACCATGTATTCAACAACACCGATGTCAGTTTAATATTTTCTCGCCAACACAAAATAATAAATTTAAGGATTTCAAGTACTAATAAGCATTAATAACTGTCCGATGAGTAAATTGGCGGACACGTGCCGTTTTTGCGTTTAACAAGCAACGAACTGCACTCATTCCAAATACATACTTAATTTAGTTTCAAACGATCTATAAACGCAATAGGTAAAGAAAAGGGACTATATTAAACAAGAAAATCAATTCCTGACTTTTACCCTTTTCTAATGACACCGATTCACCTTCGACGATAAAAAAGAAAGGAAAAATTTTTTCAATTTCAACCTGGAAATTGTTACTTCAGCAAGGTCTTCTTTTATTCGTTTTTCCTTTTAACTATAAACGAATAAAAAATTATAAATGGGTTTTAAACGATTTACGACTTTTTTAAAATTGATTAAACATAAACCTTTGTTTATTGTTTTTATTAAAAATGAAATTAACGAATGCCATAAAAATCAAATAAAAATGAGTTTTGTGAAAGATATCATATAAATTTTGAATAAACGTGAAAAGAAAACAGAGGAAACGTGATTTTTGTTAACTTCGTAATTTCTAATAAAATTCATATTTCGAGAACTAAAAGATATTTTGAAAAATTTTCTTCTTCATTCGAAAGCTTATATTTTCCTTTATAAATGGTGTTAATTTTATAACGATATATTAAAACATCTAATTTTGACGATTTTTAAAAACAACTCAGCTAAATTGAGCGAGAAAAAGCAAACTTGAGTTTAAAAATGTTTATCTCAAAAATTAAATGGTATTTTCAAATAAGGTTACTTTCATTAAAAACCTGATAATTTTTTGTATAATTTCTGAATATTGCAGAATGATATATCTATAAATCGATTTATTACGATTTTTTAAAACAGATCGAAAATTAAGCTTAAATTGAAAAGTGGAAAAAGTTGATTGGGTTTATAAGCTAATATCACAACAACTAAAAGATATTTTGAAAAACGGCATTTTTCAATCACAAGCTTTTAGTTTCTTCTATAAATAGTGATAATTTTGTAACAATTTATTAAAGCATCTATTTATGACGATTTTTTGAAAATAAAAATGTGAAAATTTGATGAATTTTACAAATTGTTAATGGTAATATTTTGGAAACAGATTATACTACAAAAAAACTTTTAAAACATAAGTTGTAGCAAATTTGATTTTCGCATAGATATTGACAAAAATATAAAAATTTGATAAATTTGTTGTTTTACATGTAGTTAATGGTATCATTTGGAAATTGGAACATATTGGAAACAAAGTTTTGTAACAAAAGTTGTTGCAAATTTTATTCTTAGCAGTATTGCTCCTTTGCACTTTTGCTCTCAGATGCATAGATATTCGGAAACATACGAAACTATGAAAATTTGATGAATTCGTCGTTTTACAAGTTGTTAATGGTATCTAATATTCGGGAATCGGAGCATGTTACAAAAACACTTTTATAACAAAAGTTGTTGCAAATTTTATTCTTAACAGTATTGCTCTCTTGCACTTTTGCTCTCAGATGCATAGATATTGAGAAAAGTAGGAAACTATAAAAATTTGATGAATTCGTTGTTTTACAAATTATATTAATGGTAATATTTTGGAAACAGATCATATTACAAAAAAACTTTTATATCAAAAGTTGTAGTAAATTTTATTCTTAACAGTATTGCTCTGTGGCATTTTTGCTCTCGGGTGCATAGATATTGAGAAAAGTACAAAACTATGAAAATTTAATAAATTTATTGTTTTACAAGTTGTTAATGGTAACAGTTGGGAATCGAAGCATATTACAAAAAAACTTTTATAACAAAAGTTGTTGCAAATTTTATTCTTAACATTATTGCTCTCTTGCACTTTTGCTCTCAGATGCATAGATATTGAGAAAAGTACGAAAGTATGAAAATTTGATGAATTCGTTGTTTTACAAGTTGTTAATGGTATCATTTGGGAATTGGAGCATATTAGAAAAAAATATTTATAACAAAAGTTGTTGCAAATTTTATTCTTAACAGTATTGCACTCTTGCACTTTTGCTCTCAAACGCATAGATATTGAGAAAAATACAAAAATATGAAAATTTGATAGATTTGTTGTTTTACATGTAGTTAATGGTATCATTTAGGAATTGGAGCATATTACAAACAAACTTTTATAACAAAAGTTGTTGCCAATTTTATTCTTAACAGTATTGCTCTTTTGCACTTTTGCTCTCAAACGCATAGATATTGAGAAAAATACAAAAATATGAAAATTTGATGAATTCATTGTTTTACAAGTAGTTAATTTTATCATTTTGTAATCGGAACATATTACAAACAAACGTTTATAACAAAATTTGTTGCAAATTTTATTCTTAACAGTATTGCTCTCTTGCACTTTTGCTCTCAGATGCATAGATATTGAGAAAAGTACGAAAGTATGAAAATTCTATGAATTCGTTGTTTTACAAGTTGTTAATGGTATTATTTGGGAATCGGAGCATATTACAAAAAAATATTTATAACAAAAGTTGTTGCAAATTTTATTCTTAACAGTATTGCTCTCTTGCACTTTTGCTCTCAGATGCATAGATATTGAGAAAAGTACAAAAATATAAAAATTTGATGAATTCGTTATTTTACACGTAGTTAATGGTAGTATTTAGGAATTAGAGCATATTGCAAACAAACTTTTATAACAAAAGTTGTTGCAAATTTTATTTTTAACAATATTGTTCTCTTGCATTTTTGCTCTCAGATGCGTAAAAATCGTGAATGAAGAAATTTGGAGTGAGAAGAAGCAATACAATGTTTTAAAAATTTTTTTTTTCAAAAACTAAAAGTTATTTTCAAATACGGTTACTTTCATTAAAAAGCTGTGAATTTTTTATATAATCTCTGAAAGTTGTAGAACGATATCTCATTAAACCGATTTATTACAATTTAAAAAAAAACGATTGAAAAATAAACCTAACTTGAAAAATGGAATAATATTGTTGTTGTTGTTTGTGAATTGATATCTCAATAACTAAATAATATTTTTAAAAACTGTCTTTTTCATTCTAAAGCTTATAATTTCTTTTATAAACGGTGATAATTTTATAACGTTTTATTAAAACAACGATTTTTTGAAAACAACTCAACAAAATTAAACGAAAAGAAGCAAAGTTGCGTTTAAAAATTTTTATCTCAAAAACTAAAAGTTACTTTCAACTACGATGATACTTTCTTGTATAATTCCTGAATGTTATACAACAATATCTTAATAAATCGATTTATTACGTTTTTTTAAAAACGAATTTTGTGGAGTTTTAAATTAAAAAAAGCAACTCAAACGTGATCTATGTCAATTTCATAGCTTTTAATACACTCCGTGTCGATTTTGTAGTTTATGCCAAGAAAATTAGTTACGTTTCATGTTATATTATGAGAAAATTTTTGATTACGTTTATTAAAACGTAATAGCAAATAATTGAATCATACTTTAAAATTCACTTTGGAATCTTCAACACTTTAAAAATACAGTTGATTTGAGAACGGAAATAACACAAATAGTGTAATAGTTATTTTAAATATTTAATTTTATGTTTAAGAATGTTATCATATCGATTTTAAGCGGAAATAGAAAAAATGAATCATGAAAATGCAACTTAGGTTTTGTGGTTTTCAAAATAACAAATTTTGATACACTCAACCTAATTTTTTTTAATTCAAATATAATAAAACGAAAAAATAATCCATGAGTAAGATACGCAAAGCTTATTAAACACCGCGGTTATTATCTTTTATGCAAATATTGATACACATGAATCTACTTTTCAATGAATAATATGTCCTAAAAAAATAAAATTCAAAAAATCCCTCGCTTACCAATTTTGGCTATGCTAGCACAAAATATCCATAATCCAATAATGAAGGGTGTCTCTACCCGATGAAAAGAGACGGAAAACACCGGATACCGAGTCGGGTTCTTAATTTCAGGACCCTCGGAACTAACATCAGGGCTATCGGTTGAGTCAGTTGTTGATGAAGAAGGCGAATCCCTGGATGTTCTAGGATTCGCTTCGGTTTTCAATGAAGCAACATCCCCCGGTTTGTTTTGAGGCGGCCCCATTGGACCAAACTCCATCCCTTCATAGGGACGATGATAGTCATCTGGAATCGGTTCGAGGTCCGGTCTGGGGTACATAAAAGTTTCTTCCGCAACTGCAGAGGGTTTCGCCCCGGCTGTATGTAGCAGGAACGAAAATGTCCCTATTATAAAAATAAGGGTCCAACACGCCCTTCGAGCCAAATTAACACCGTGCCTTAAAGAGTACATTTTCGTTGGGGTTTCACCACATTAACTTTCGCGGCGACGAGGAGTTCGCGAACGACTGACGGCGATAGTATCGTTGTTGACGTTTTTTTAGGGAACTCGTCGACGTCGTCGTCGTCGTAACCGCGACGTCCTGGTGCTGATAAGATCGAGAATGGCAGGACGGGTGCTAAATAACCGCGGCAACGGAAGACAGTGGCATCGTGCACGTGCCCTGCAGCACTGGCGACGACGCGTCCGGATTGAACCAGCTGTTGGCGTCGCGGCGCCCAGGAGTTGTTCCTGCGGGGGATTGAAAATTTTGCGCCTGCGTAATAAAAATTTACTAAAAACCTAATTCCTCAAAAATGTTACAAATCATAAACGATTTTTCCATCTCAAAATCCTTTTTTTTATTATCTTTAGATCCTTTTAGGTAGTTGAATTACACAATCAAGTAATTAAAATAATAAGTTGCGGTTATTAAACATTCTTATTGTCCTCATCCACTATAAAAATAAAAAATCCAATCTCACAATATTTTATTACACTTATCTTGACTTATTTTATTTGACTTTAATATCATTTCTACAAAATCTTTATTGAACTCGAAAAGTATTAATCAATCAATACTTCTTCAATTCAAGATGAATCTACGAGACATTAATATATTTCAAGTATATTTCAAAAATATTTAAATGAATCATTTTTGTTGTAATTCAATTTCGAAACCATTGATAATTTTATTGTTATCGTGATAACCCACTAAAGTTAGCAATCACAATGATTTATAAATCAGTTTAAACAAAATTCGTTAAAATTAAACTTTTGAAGTGTACCTATATATAAATAACAAAAAGATGTTTTTAAAATCGGTCTGGAAAGTTTATAATTTACTTTATCAATGGTGATACTAATTTTATAACGATTCATTAAAACATCTCTTTGTGGCGATTTTTTGAAAATAAGTTTAGATATTAGTTTACCTGTAAAAGTGAGAATAGACAATGTTGTGTTTAATAATTTTTATCTCAAAAACTAAAAGTTATTTTGAAATGACGTTATTTTCATTAAAAAGCTGATACTTTTTTGTATAATTAATGAATATTGTAGAATGGTGTCGGAATAAATGGATTTATTACGATTTTTTAAAAAAGGGTCGAAAATTAAGCTAAAATTGAAAAGAAGAATAATTCGACTAGGTTTATAACTTGATGTCTCAATAACTAAAATATATTTCGAAAAACGGTCTTTTTCACTCGAAAGCTTATAAATTTTCTTCTTAACAATTTTGCTCTCAGATGCATAGATATCGACAAGAATATGAAAATTTCCAAGTTGTTAATGGTATCTAATATTCGGGAATGAGAGCATATTGCAAAAAAAAAGTTATAAGAAGGGTTGTTGCAAATTTCATTCTTAACAATATTGCTCTTTTGCACTTAGATGCATAGATATCGAGAAAATGACGAAAATATAAGAATTTGATGAATTCGTTGTTTTACAAGTTGGTAATGGTAACATTTGGGAAAGAGATCATATTACCAAAAATCTTTTATAACAAGGGTTGTTGCAATTTTCATTCTTAATAATATTGCTCTCTTGCACTTTTACTCTCAGATGCATAGATCTTGGGAGAAATACGAGAATATGAGAATTTGATGAATTCGTTGTTTTACAAGTTGTTAATGGTATCTAATATACGGGAATCGGAGCATATTACAAAAAAACTTTTTGAACAAAAGTTGTTGCAAATTTCATTATTAACAATATTGCTCTCTTGCACTTTTACTCTCAGATGCATAGATCTTGAGAGAAATACGAGAATATGAGAATTTGATGAATTCGTTGTTTTACAAGTTGTTAATGGTATCTAATATACAGGAAACGGAGCATATTACAAAAAAACTTTTTGAACAAAAGTTGTTGTAAATTTCATTATTAACAATATTGCTCTCTTGCATTTTTACTCTCAGATGCATAGATCTTGAGAGAAATACGAGAATATGAGAATTTGATGAATTCGTTGTTTTACAAGTTGTTAATGGTATCTAATATACGGGAATCGGAGCATATTACAAAAAAACTTTTAGAATGTAAGTTATAGGAAATTTCATTGTTAACAATATTGCTCTCTTGCATTTTTTTCTCTCAGGTGGATAGATATCGAGAAAAGTACGAAAATATGAAAATTTGATGAATTCGTTGTTTTACAAGTTGTTAATGGTATCTAACATTAGGGAATCGAATCATATTACAAAAAGACTTTTAGAACAAAAGTTGTTGCAACTTTCATTCTTAACAATATTGCTCTCTTGCACTTTTACTCTCAGATGCATAGATATTGAGAAAAATACGAGAATATGAGAATTTGATGAATTCGTTGTTTTACAAGTTGTTAATGGTATCTAATATACGGAAATCGGAGCATATTACAAAAAAACTTTTAGAATGTAAGTTATAGGAAATTTCATTGTTAACAATATTGCTCTCTTGCATTTTTTTCTCTCAGATGGATAGATATCGAGAAAAATACGAAAATATGAAAATTTGATGAATTCGTTGTTTTACAAGTTGTTAATGGTATCTAACATTAGGGAATCGGATCATATTACAAAAAGACTTTTAGAACAAAAGTTGTTGCAAATTTCATGCTTAACAATATTGCTCTGTTGCACTTTTACTCTCAGATGCATAGATCTTGAGAGAAATACGAGAATATGAGAATTTGATGAATTCGTTGTTTTACAAGTTATTAATGGTATCTAATATACGGGAATCGGAGCATATTACAAAAAATTTTTTAGAACAAAAGTTGTTGCAAATTTCATTCTAAACAATATTGCTCTCGTGCACTTTTGCTTTCAGGTGCATAGATATCGAGAAAAATACGAAAATATGAAAATTTGCCGAATTCGTTGTTTTACAAGTTGTTAATGGTATCTAACATTAGGGAATCGGATCATATTACAAAAAAACTTTTAGAACAAAAGTTGTTGCAAATTTCATTCTTAACAATATTGCTCTCTTGCACTTTTACTCTCAGATGTACAGATATCGAGAAAAATACGAAAATATGAGAATTTGATGAATTAATTGTTTTACAAGTTGTTAATGGTATCTAACATTCGGGAATCGGAGTATATTACAAACAAACTTTTAGAATGTAAGTTATAGGAAATTTCATTCTTAACAATATTACTCTCTTGCATTATTTCTCTCAGATGGATAGATATCGAGAAAAAATACGAAAATATGAAAATTTGATGAATTCGTTGTTTTACAAGTTGTTAATGGTATCTAATATTCGGGAATCGGAGCATATTACAAAAAAACTTTTAGTACAAAAGTGGTTGCAAACTTTATTCTTAACAATACTACTCTCTTGCACTTTTACTCTCAGATGCACAGATATCGAGAAAAATACGAAAATATGAGAATTTGATGAATTAATTGTTTTACAAGTTGTTAATGGTATCTAACATTCGGGAATCGGAGTATATTACAAACAAACTTTTAGAATGTAAGTTATAGAAAATTTCATTATTAACAATATTGCTCTCTTGCACTTTTACTCTCAGATGCATAGATCTTGAGAGAAATACGAGAGTTTGATGAATTCGTTGTTTTACAAGTTGTTAATGGTATCTAATATTCGGGAACCAGAGCATATTACAAAAAAATTTTTAGAACAAAAGTTGTTGTAAATTTCATTCTAAACAATATTGCTCTCTTGCACTTTTATTTTCAGGTGCATAGATATCGAGAAAAATACGAAAATATGAAAATTTGATGAATTCGTTGTTTTACAAGCTGTTAATGGTATCTAATATTCGGGAATCGGAGCATATTACAAAAAAATTTTTAGAACAAAAGTTGTTGCAAATTTCATTCTAAACAATATTGCTCTCATGCACTTTTGCTTTCAGGTGCATAGATATCGAGAAAAATACGAAAATATGAAAATTTGCCGAATTCGTAGTTTTATGTCGTAAATGCTAACACTTGGGAAACGGATCATATTACAAAAAAACTTTTAGAAGAAAAGTTGTAGTAAATGTTATCCTTAACAATACAGCGTGTCCCGTATCTGCATCAGAGCATTATACGGTTGTAGAATACATTACTCTGAAGTGATCTTTCTAATAAAATTTTTTCGAAATGTTTATAATAACCGCACGGGAACTCTTTAAAATCCTCAGCTTTTATCCTATAACAGACGATTTTGATTCACGAAAAAAGTTTATTTCTCTTTGCGTGTCGAATCTATTGGTAAGTACACGTGAGAAACGTGTTTTGATCGGCGCGGCGGTCCGGACCAGGGGATTACCTGAATCTGATTTACGATTTGCCATTGGACGTCGAAAAACAGTTCCAGTGAGGTTATTATAAACAAAAAAAATCGCTTCAGAATAATGTCTTCTACAACCGTATAATGCTCTGATGCGGAAGATACGGGACACGCTGTATTGCTCTCTTGTACTTTTGTGCTCAGATGCGTAAATATCGAGAATCTACAAATTTGTTTGACTTCAAAAGTGAAACGAAGCAATACTGTGTTAATAAACTTTTTCTTAAAAACGAAGTCTTCAAATATTGTTTCTTTCATTAAAAAGCTTAATGTATTTAATACTTGAAATATAAGTAATTTTAATACTTTTTAACACTCAAAAATATTAATCACTGAATCCTCCCCTTTTAATTAAATTTAATTTCATAAATTAATTCTTTTAAAAACCACCCTACTCGACTATTATTTAACAGTCTGAGTACTTCGATCGATCGCTATTTTAACGACATATGGTATTTACAAAACCCGGGGTCGCCGGCGTCATTCCAAATAAAAGCCGATGTACTGTTTGCGCCGCCATCCACACAACTCTCTGTAGCACCTCATCTATTTCGGTCATCGCCCCGCAATAATGCTAAAACCATACCCCATACATACATAACGATTATTCTGACCCCGATAAAACCCATTCATAAACATCATCACAGAAACATAAATGCAAGATTTAAAAACAATTCGATGAATCACTTCAAATTGTTTCAAGATGTCTATAAAGAACAATTAGGTAATAATTATACCACTTAAGTAGTGATGAATTTGTCTTAAACTGGTAGCACGTGTAAGATATTTTGCATATCAATTGTAAATTTGTTTGCGTTCTTACAAAGTTTTGTTTTGAGCTTAGTTTCCTTGAAAAATGAAATTGGTCGGAATCGATTTTTAAATTATCGTTTCTACAAATTGCATCGTTTAGAGCACTCCAGACAAAGAGTTCAAGGTTTATTTTAATAAAGTATAAGAAAAAAATGTTTGTTACAAAACTGTTTTAAAACTAATTTTGCTTTGCCGATTTCAATCCAATTTGTGAACTACTTTACTCTAGATAATTCATTTACGTAACACTAATTCGATCAATACAAAAATAAATCAAAAATAGAATTAAAATAAATCTATTTAAAAAAAAGTTGTTCACTTTATTTAACAAACAATGTTATAAAATCTACGGACGTAACAAGATCATTTTAATTATTGTTAATTTCCATGTTCCGGATTTAACGCTATTTTAAATTCGGAACAATTCATTTTTAAATCTTTGTGTAAATTTACAGTGGGATTTGTTTCATTTAAACCATTTATATGGTCCTTTTTTCCATACAAAAGTGTAAAAATTGTTGGGTTTGAGTAAATATAGATTAAATTGTCTCCGTTTTTCCGCGGAAACATTGTTTTCAGGGTGGCTATAAATAAATTTATAAATATGAAACGTTTTTGAAGATTCATTAAAACTTTTCCAGTGTTTATTCTAATTTAGTCTAATTTTAGTTAAATCGCAATAAGATCTGAAATATTTCACAAATCTTTATGAATTTATGAGTTACAATAAAAGAATTATTAAAATTAATCTGAATTTAAGAGATTTTGAATATTATTTAAGTATTTTTATTAAATTTGATAAGTTGAGGATTATAAAATTAATAATTAAAATAGGCAACCAAACATACAGCTTTGCATTTTATAGTTGACTTAATTTGAGTTTTCACTCATAGATGGCACTAAACCAAAATATTTCTACAATTTCTAATTGATGACAAATTTTGAAAAATATTATTAATTTTAAAATAATAATAAGCTTTCATGTTTTATTAAACATTTTACTTCTTACCATCTACATAAAAATTACAATTTTGCATTACTTTCTGGTAAAAATTATCTCATTTTAATTTTATTTGTATGATAATCATATCCTTTAAAAAAACTCCTTTAATTATAAGACTATTATATTTTTGTATACAATTAATTCAATATTATAATAAATGAATAATGCATAAAGAAATTAATACAAAAGAATCTTCATTTCAATTGAGAAACTTCATACAAATAAGCCCCCAATAACTTGGTCTAAAAAAAAATTTTTTATGTTATCTAACTCGAACCTTTAATTTAATTGCACTTACCCCATTAATATAATTACTAATATCAATCTTTTCGTTTTGGGAATGAGCACCATCATCACCACGTCCGACTGGAATCAAAATAACAGTCTTTCCAGTGCATTGTTGAAACGTTAAGGTAACGGGAATTGAACCACCCTCGCGGGTTAAATCTGGCTCGACGCCATAAACGTGTTTTGTGGCTTTCCTGCCTGCCATAAAGTGTGGATGATTTGGATTTTCCATCCATGGACGTCCTCCATGTCCCATATAAGCCTAAATTCGAGATGATTTAACATTAATAAATAAATCAAAATATAGATCTGTAGCGACCCGGGGGTCGGTTAAAATTTAATGATTAATTTTTGTCTTTGATTTTCAAATTTTTGCTCTATTATTTTAAAAAAAGTTCTCTGTATGATCTCTCCTCTACTTTAGTTTAGTGCGGAACGTTTTCTCCTACAGTGTGGCTAAAAAAAATAAGGCGCTTACTCTGAATCATGCTGTATATAATATACAGGGGATGTGTCAAATGTCTGGAATATAGCCAATAACTTCGCCATTTGTGGTTTTAAAGAAAAATTGTGTTTCAAATAAAAGTTTCTTTATTAATTGTGACGCATTTTTTTGCGATATTTGCTTGTTTACATTGTTTTTTGTATCGTTGCCATGGCAACCAACATTGTTATTTTAAATGAGATGCATATGCCCTTATATTGCCCTTATATGGGATGCCCTCTACGCGATGAACATATTAAATCATATGGTTGTATAAGTAAAATATCGAGAAAAAAATGCTTCTTTTAAAAGTCTTAAATCAGCTAATTACAATCAAAGTAGGCGCCGAAATAACGCCTTTGACAGCTTTAAATGTCAATAAATTAACAGTTTAAACAAATATGGCGCAATTAAGCGAACGACAAAGAATCTAAATATTAATAATGTATGGGTACGGTGCAGGTGATAGGAAACGCACTGTTCAATAATATTTACCCGGATACACAAATTACACAATCCACAGAATTCAAAATTTGCAAAAAGTTGATGGCCAAAGACAGTTACCAATGACCATACATTATTAATTATTAATAATTTTTGAAACTGTAATTTTTTTGACATTTAAAGCTGTCAACGTTATTTTATACAGCGTTATTTCGGCGCCTACTTTGCTTGTAATTGGCGACTTTCAAAAAACGCATTTTTTGTCGATTTTTTTCTTATACAACCATATGATTTGATATGTTCATCGCATAGAGGGACTTATCCTCTATAAAAGTATGCAAAAAAAATATATGCATCCTATTTAAAATAACAATGTTGGTTGCCATAGCAACGAAACAAAGAACAATGTGAACAAGTAAGTATCGTCAAAAAATGCGCCACAATTAATAAGGATTTTTTTATTTGAAACATTTCTTTTTAAAACCACAAATGGCGATGTTATTGGCTATATTCCAAACATTTGATACACCCTGTACGGAGTGGTTCTAATTCGATGTCCGAATAAGCTATTTCGGAAACTATAAGTTAGAAAAAACGTAGCTTACATGTCATGATCTCTAGGTGGAGTATTATTACTAACAAGGGAAGTGTCACAACTGTGTCTCACCGATTTCGATGCAATTTGGTACAGTCATAGAATGGGCCAAAATAAGGTTCGTACATTTTTTTATACGTGCGGTAAAAGCCCCTGGGGCGAGTTATAGGGGTTGAAAGTTTGGAGAAAAAGTACGTTTTCACTTATATTTTAAAAATGAAAAGTGCTATCAAAATTTGGTAAATTGTAACTGATATTCATTTTAAAAGAGCTTTCTTTTGATGTNTCAGTTACAATTTACCAAATTTTGATAGCACTTTTCGTTTTCAAAATATAAGTGAAAACGTACTTTTTCTCCAAACTTTCAACCCCTATAACTCGCCCCAGGGGCTTTTACCGCACGTATAAAAAAATGTGCGAACCTTATTTTGGCCCATTCTATGACTGTACCAAATTGCATCGAAATCGGTGAGACACAGTTGTGACACTTCCCTTGTAAGACATTATATGGACACTTTTTTACAGAGAATTTGATAGCGTAGTCAAAAAAATTTTGCCGTTATACATTATGACAATTTTCGTTTTTTTAAATGAAATAAGAAATAACCGCTGATTATTAAATTCGTTACTTTTTTTCTGATTAAAAAAATATGGGGTCTATTTCTTATTGTTTTAGAATAAAGCTAAAAAATAAACTTTTTTTAGTGTCGTCAAAGAAATTAAATTTACAGTTTTCTGTAAATTACGGTACTATAATTAATAACTATTCTACTAAAAATTTATATAAAATTTACTTTATTTTCTAATATGTAACATTCTAGCATGTTAACCTTTTCATAATTTTCATAATCGATCTTAAAAAACAGGATTTTTAATTTGATACTTCAGAAAATTTTTGAATACAAACAAACCAAACAAATGTCGCTATGCTTATTTGAATTTAAAAAATAAACTCCCTAGATTTACAAAGTACCGCGGTTTGCCGCCATTTTGGCTTGACAGTCAAGCGGGAAATTTAAAACTATGTCGTTCTATTGATAACATTATGCCAAAACTCCTTTCTTACTGCTATTTTTTCAACTTCAAAGGCAACAAGACGATATTCAAAGGCAATATTTTTGTAAATAAGTGGTGAGATGCAGTGACAAGTTGTCAAACCGCCATTTTGGCTTGAAAACAGGCGTCATAAACCGCGGTACTTTGTAAATCTAGGGACTTTATTAAAAAAAAATGTATGAGCGCCATCTATCAATAATTTATTAAGTCATTTAATAATAATATTAAATATTAATAAAAAATGGGAAATAATGCAATCTATTCCAACTTTTGTGTAAAACAAATAGAAATTAAATAGTTCAACAAATGCATTTGTTTCAAATATCAGAAATGTGTTTGTTTAATTTTTAGTTGTAATTTACAGGAAACTGTAAATTTTATTTCTTTGACGACACTAAAAAAAAGTTTATTTTTAGCTTTATTCTAAAACAATAACAAATAGACCTATATCAAACACCTATATTTTTGTAATTAGAAAAAAATAATGAATTTAATAAGCGAATAATCAGTGGTTGTTTCCATTTAAAAAAAAACCAAAATTGTTATATCTCAAAATCTAAAATCGAAAAATTTTTTTTGACTACGTCATGAAATTCTCTGTAAAAAAGTGTCTATATAATGTCTTAGTTATAATACTCCACCTATAATAATAACCAAGATAATTGCACTTGCTGGTTTTACAATATTTTCAATTTTGACCTCTAGGGGAAAAACAAAAGACGATACCGCTTTGAGGTTTTCGGCATTAGCAGTTTCTCGAAAAACGAGATCATGACATGTAAGCTACTTTTTTTCTAACTCTTATAGTTTCCGAGTTAGCCTATTCGGACATCGAATTTGAACCATCCTGTACATACGTACAAAGTTTCAAGCTCAACGGTTTACTTATACCCGAAATTTTAGCTCAACTGTGACAGCTCATAGCTCGAAAACAAAACAGTTGCGAACCTATGTTTATATAAAAAACTTGTGTTATTTTGGCTTCCAGAAAAGTTTCCCGATTAAAATCTGAACCAACCTGTATACGTTTGATATGATAGCAAAAAGTTTGCATTTCTTTATATTATGTTGTTATTTAAAAATAGTATATTATTATACGATCATATAATGAGGGTTATTATTCACTAAGGTTAAGTTAACCTGAAACAAATTCCTTTTTTCGTATGATTTAAGCATAAATTAATTAATTTTCGTAAAAAAAAATATGACGTTTCATAAACTTGACATTTAATTTTAACACATTGTTGTGAAGTTGGTTACAGTTGGTAATATTGACTTTGTGTCACATTGACGTTTCAACTTTATTCAAAAATTTATTTAAAAGAATAAATTTATAGTTTATTTATTAAACTCGCTAATAAACACTGTTATAACACACGTCATTGTAATATCATCTTACTTATCATATCATCATATTATTTTAATCCTTAAATATCAATTCATCTTTAATAAATTAATCATACAGGATTAAATTGATTTAAACCCCTTTTCAAGTCATCAAGTCGTTGATCTTAAAACTTGACAAACATTACATAATTGAAATCAACAGAAAAACATTCCTAATCTTATCTCATGATCACCATAAATAAATATAATTTGTTTCAACATTTACTTATAACCACAAAAATAAATAAAATTGATTTTGATTTACCTTCATTTTATTTGTACTTCCTCTTTCCTTCCAAATTTTATTGATATGATCAACAACATATTTCTCAATTTTTTCTGGTTCTTGATTAGGAACAATTCGAATAGAAAATTTCCCAATAACTTTCCCAGGAATAACAGTTTTAGCTCCAGGTTCGCTAAAAGCCCCTTCAATGCCATGCAATGAAAGACTAGGATAACGCCAGCGGTGCATCAAAAGATCTTCTTTAATTCCACCCCGAGCTAAAGCGGTGGTACCCACATCGTTGCGATATTCGTGAACGTCAAAAGTTATTTTATTATAAAGCTCGCTTTCGCCCTCCTGCAAAGGTGCGACTTCATCGTAAATACCGGGAATTAAAATCTTTCCATTTTTATCAACCAGGCGATCTAAAATGTGAATTAAATCGGACATTCCTTCGTTAACGGTTCCACCGAAAACGCCGCTGTGAAGATCTTTTGCGGCACATTCAACTTCAACGTTAAAATAACAAATTCCTCTTAAACCGTAAGTTATACATGGTGTTGTAGTACCGAGCCAATAATTATCAGAGATACAAACATAGTCAACGTTTGCTAAAAATTTATCTTTTTCAGAGAAAAGAAGCGCATCTAATCCTTCGCTTCCGGATTCTTCCATTCCTTCAAATACAAATTTAATATTTACTGGAATTTCAGCTCCTGTTTTTTGGTAAGCTTCCAAAGCATGTATCCAACATAAAACGGGTCCTTTATCATCTGATGCACCTCTTCCGTATAATTTTCCATTTGATTCAGTTAAAACAAATGGATCTGTGTTCCAACCGTCTTCTTTTAAAGCAGGTTGAACATCTAAATGTCCATAAACAACAACAGTTTTTTTGTTATCACCCGCATGATAATATCCAAAAAGAACTGGAGGAAGTGGAATGGTATCTCCATTTGGAAGGGTTTGTGTTCCAACATCACGTAAGGTTATGTTACAACCTAACTTTTTTAATCTATCTGATGCCCATTGGATCATACGTTTAATTTCACCTCGTTTATCCGCCCATGCTGATACAGATTGAATTGCAACGGCTTCTTTTAACACTTCTATGTACTCTGATTTGTGTTGATCGATATAACTAAGTATAAAAAAGGATTTGTTATAATTGTTAAATTTAAATAAAGTTGTAAATCTTACCTGAATAATTTGGGTAAAGGGCCAGGTAAACTTGCCATGACTGGTTCAGTAGGACTCTTTGTTTGGGATGGAGTTGTATATTGAAGTCTGGAAAAATTTATAACTTACGTTCAGTATTTATAAAGAAATTTTATCAGTTTTTACCCCTCTACTTTGTGAAATTCGTCAGCAAGTTTCATAAGGAACCTTTATAGACAATTAAGATTGTGGTTGTGTAATTTGTGTTGCATATATATTACTTTTATCCAAATAAATTTATACAAAATGTGCTTTTTATGGTTTTAAATTAAATTATATAAAGTTATAGATTAAATTATGTAAGATAATTGTAGTAGTGGTTTATTTATCGGTATTTTTCAAAAAAAGATACCCTATATTGTTATCTGTTTAAACAACAAAACATGTTTGCTATTTTTAAAATATCGGTCCGATTGTAAACAACTTGTTGTTGTAAACATTATAATCTGTAGTGTATTCTATTAGTTAATAAATTATAAAGTTGTTAGTGTTAATGAGAATAGCTCAAATTAATAATTATTTAGAAACCCCAACCTTTAGAACCAATTTATATAAATACATATTTACCTCAATATGATCAGAATAAAGTATTTAATCCTTATAAAATCAATTTTAAGCAATATTATTTTTATAATTTGATATTCAATAAAAATTCTGACAAATTTGACGTTTATGACAGCCTATAACTAACTTTGACGTTACAATTAATATACAGGTTCCTGTAAGTCGTGGAATAATTTTAATCACAAACTAGAGTTAAAATAACGATTCGTGCAAAAAATTTTGGTCTAAACCCATAAATGCAGTGGCGTAACTACTGTTGTTTGCCCTAATAATTAACATTTAATAAGGATTTTGATAAGGTAATAAGATTATGCATATGTTTTTATGGCTGTGTTTATTATTTCTTAAATGCTGCAAGATTCCATACAAATGATTTCATTAAATAATAATTATAAGAGTAGACTTAATACTGAAATAAATTTAAGACGTCGACAAACAGGTCCCTTATTTTAACAAGTTTACCTATTAATTCTAATGTACAGGATGGTTCAAATTCGATGTCCGAATAGGCTAACTCGGAAACTATAAGAGTTAGAAGAAAAGTAGCTTACATGTCATGATCTCGTTTTTCGAGAAACTGCCAACAAGTGCAATTATCTTTGTTATTATTATAGATGGAGTATTGTTACTAAGACATTATACGGACACTTTTTTACAGAAAATTTCATGACGTAGTCAAAAAAAATTTTTCGATTTTAGATTTTGAGATATCATAACAATTTTGGTTTTTTTAAATGGAAACAACCACTGATTATTCGCTTATAAAATTCGTTATTTTTTTCTGATTACATAAATATAGGGTTTGAAAAGTCTATTTCTTATTGTATTAGAATAAAGCTAAAAATAAACTTTTTTTTAGTGTCGCCAAAGAAATTAAATTTACAGTTCCCTGTAAATTATAACTAAAAATTAAAACAACATATTTCTGATATTTGAAACAAATACATTTGTTGAACTATTTAATTTATATTTGTTTTACACAAAGTTGGAATAGATTACATTATTTCACATTTTTTATTAATATTTAATATTATTATTAAATGACTTAATAAATTATTGATAGATGGCACTCATATATATATTTTTTAATTCAAATAAACAGCAACATTTGTTTGTATTCAAAAATTTTCTGAAGTGACAAATTAAAAAGCCTGTTTTTTAATATGGATTACGAAAATTACGAAAAGTTTAACTTGTTAGAATGTTACATATTAGAAAATAAAGTAAATTTTATATAAATTTTTAATAGAATAAGTAATTTACAGGAAACTGTAAATTTAATTTATTTGACGACACTAAAAAAAGAGATCGAGACCAAGGTTTATATATTAAAGGTTGTCTAAGTTCCTATGCTGCAATACTTTGATTTTAGTTTGTGGGCGAGGGGCAAGAGCAGGAGTGTTTCGTGACGTAAGCGATCACGGATTGCGCACGCAACCTCATGGCCATGTGGTGCTCCATGCATTTGTTTAATTTGAATTGCTTGGCGGTATTATTTTCCACATGTGACGTAATGCGCAGTATGGTTGCGTACGAACCTAGACAACCTCTTATATATAAACCTTGGATCGAGACATGTCAGCTACTTTTTTTCAACTGGAATAGGGTCCGAGAGGGTCCGAGATACCCTATTCGGACATCGAATTCGAACCATCCTGTACACAGGAAGTGCTATTTTTGTACACCATAAAAGTAAAAGAAAAATATACTTATTGTAGGATTTTACTTACCATAAATTGTTGCGAAGTATTTGTAAATTACACACAAAAAAATGATAACTTTAACTCTTTAACAGTTTTAACACTAACCACACGAATACAGTATCAACCTTTCAATATACAGTGTGACCCATTTGAAAGCGAAACACCCTCGTAAAATTTGTATTTATTATCCGATTTCGAATAATTTGTTTTTGAATTGTAGAGCGTGAAAAACTGTACCTTAGGACAAAGAGTCATAAAAAAAACAAGGCCTACTATTTCACTTTTGAGGTGCAAAAAAAGAAGAAATTATATTAGGAAATTTTTTACAAAAAATCTGAGTACACCAGATTCAACTTAAGTTCAATTCATTGTTTTCAACTGCATTAAGCGCCTTTTGAAATGGGCATATAGCAAATTTCATTAAAAATGGTTAGAAATTAAAACCGTTATAGATAATTGAAAAATATCATTTTTCATGAATTTATTTGATCTGATCCTAGTAAACCATGACAAAAAAGGTAATAAAATACAGACAATAATACAAAAACTATTTACATTATCTGTAACGGTGTGAATTTGTAACCTATTTTGATGCCCCCAGGTACATTTGATAGGAGGTAAATCACCCCGTAAGAGGGCATTAGCGTCTATTCTGAAATAATCTAATTAAACTAACAATTTTGTTATTAATAGTGAGAATGGTAAGAGACAGCAATAATAATTATTACCAGTATTATTTTTTTAATTTAAAAAGTATAAATTCTAATTTGTGTTATATTTTTAAATTTGCCGCTAAGAATTTTAAAAGTTGAAGATAATGGAATTAATGGAATGACAAATGAAAACGTCACTTTAAAATGATTTTTCGGTAAGAGTATAATAAATAATAACATAATAACGGTATGATTAAATAATTATATAGATTATACTTGCAATTATAGCTTTGTTTCAGCTAACGTTATAACTCAGCCCAGACTCAGCCCTAGGGATCTTTGATAGGAAAACTTAGGACAGATTGTATGTCGAAATCCCACCGTAAGATGGCATTAGCGTCTGTACTGAAATAATTTAATTAAACTAACAATTTTATTATTAATAGTGGGAATGATCAGAGACAGCAATAACAATTATTACCAGTATCATTCTTTTAATTTAAAAAGTATAGATTCCAATCGTGTTATATTTAAAAAAATTGAAGTTTATTCTGGTTTGTTCAGAATGACAGATGAAAACGTCATTTTAAAGTGATTTTTCGGTAAGAGTATAATAAAGTAATGGTATGATTAAGTAATTAGATTATAATTGCAATTATAGCTTTGCTTCAGTTAACGTTATAACCGTTTGGAAGCTCGTCAGGTGCAGTCAGGTGCAATCTCACATGTCATATGATCCAGTGAAATTCAAATGTGGTGGCATTATTTGACGGGTGTAATTGCATCTGAGGAATTCCCAACCAGTCAGAACGTTAATTGGAGCCACATAGTACCTTCAAGCAGTTATTCTGTGGTTGGAGCTTTTATATATAAACCCAATCTAACCTGTATTCTAGTGTGGTTCGGTTCTTAGCTGAATAATTTTAAAATATCCCCAACAGATGGCGCCACATGCGTTAATTTTTTTTTTTATTGAATTCTACCACATTCTACGAATCTATTTTCTATGCCTATGTAATCAAATTTAAATTTTGAATAACGAATATTTGACTTACCTAAATAATAATTAAATCCAATTAATATTACAATAACACAAATTTTTACAACATTTTAATTTTATTTATAAAATATACCGAATTAAAACCGAATTTAAATTATTTCCCGGTAAATAATCCAGTTTTGGTTCTAACCTCACTTTTTGTTTTGTAATTTTTTGTATTACCTTGAACCTCCTTAAAATCGAAAAGAAAGTTAATGCAATTTAATAATTTAAACAAAATCATTTTATTAATACCATGGTAATAAATTAACAAATATGGTTAACATGTAATAACTCATTATTTATTTTAGGCTTCTAATGCTAATACCGAAGATGAAAATATAATATCGTCTGAAGAACAAGAAACTGAAACACTTCCATCTAACGAAAATACAGAAATCCAACCTTTATGCAGTCAAGAAACCGTTGTAATTAGTCAACAAGATGAAGATTCTAACAGTAGCAACCAATCAGTTAGCAAAAAACGACGACTTGATGAAGATTTTCAAGACGATGATGGTATGACGTGTTCGATTTGTTTAGATAATTGGACTAACAGTGGAGATCACTCAATATGTAGCTTAAAATGCGGACATTTATTTGGTCATCAGTGCATAATGAGATGGTTGAGTGAACAAAAGGTTTGCCCCACTTGTAAGCGGAAGGCTAGCGGTCACGATATTAGGTTTATATACGCCAGGAAATTAGTTGCTGTCGACACGACAGACCTAACATTAATGAAAACTCAATTGCAATTGGCTCAGGAAGAAAAAAACAAGTTACAAATGGAATTAACAAAAAATATCTGCAGAGAACATAGTTTGTTACAAAAAATTCAGAATCAAAAAGTGGTTATTGATGAATTAAAAAATAAATTAGCCTATCACGAACAATTAACCAAAAGAAATAATCCAACGTATAATATTTACAATCGAAATCAAGCATATAGAGATCAAATAAAACTGTATAGAGATAAAACAATAGATTTAGGTAAAGATTGCGAATCACGCGTTGTTATCACAAATAGTGGATTAGATTTAGCTGTAGTTTCAAGTAAATCTCAAACAAACTTTTTTACCGGTTATGGCATTCGAAAATACAACGTTACAACTTATAAACCGACTGCATTTATCGGGTTACACACCGCAAAAATTCGTGATATGAAATTCCATAACGAAAACCCATGGATTTTAACCGCGGCAATGGATAAAACGTCTACGATCGTTGATTTTAACAATAATATAAAGGTGTTATCAATTTCTTGTGATGCCCCTATTTGGTCGTGTTGTTGGGATCAAGACATTTCGCCAATCTTTTATTTGGGTACAAATCGAGGGATGGTTTTAAAATACGATATGCGTAATCCATCGCAAATTTTGGATACTCTAGAATCACCGGGTGATATGAGTCCGGTCGTTTCAATTCAAGGAGTTAAACGCGCATCGAATCAAACAAAACAAGTTGGGATTTTATCATGTAAATTAAGAACATTATGGTTTTTTACTTACGATGATTCAAAGTACGCAGCGCATCCTTTACCGATTGAGGGACCCTTTTCTTCAATGACTTATGATACCATAACCGGACATATGTTAGTTTCAGCTCGACCGAGTGATAAAAATAAAAGTTTAAGACATTTATATTGTACGTTAACTATGAAGGATGATGTAATTGGATGTAATGCTTTGCATACTATTAATGGGGGTTACCGACAAACCGTTTTATCAAGATCTCATCTTTTTAATAATTATGGGCAGTATGCTGTCGCTGCGTATGTTGAAGATACTAAGACTACAGATTTGTGGAGCTTAAATTCGGGGAAGAAAATGGGTGGGATTGCAGTTTCTGATTATGTATATGATATTTGTAGTGTCCAATCTGGAAATAATACCGTTTTATTGGCTTTAACAGGGTCAAAGTTGGAGTTTTTCAAATTTAGTTAGAACAAAAACAATGTTTTCCTATTATTATTATTATTTGTCTTATTTAAAAATAAAAAAAAGAACAGTTATAAGTTGTTTATTGGAATTATGATGTTGAAAGCAGACAATGAAGACTTTTAGATTCTATCATCCTTGTCTAGAACATCATGTTCCACTCCCACCTACAGACATTTTTCTTATACTTATGCGCAAAGAGCAAACCTTAACAACTCCTCCAATGAGTTCTTTGATTTCCTGGACTTTTAGAAATCTTACCATTAAATTGGAGACGAATGTTTCATTTATACAGAATGGAGCTTCACCGCAATTTATGCTTGCTACAAGGAAACATCAAAACAAACCATTGTGTAAATCTCCAGATTTAATTTGGGTAGACTTTAATTATAGAGCTATTTGAAAAGTTTGGTTTATTATTTGCCGTCAAAGATAAAAACAACGAAATAAAGACAACTACAAAGGAAATTGGAAAAAAAGGAAGCTACTTAAACTGATAATTATAGAGCCATATCATCACCTAATTAGCAAACCTCGTAACTCCATTTTTATCATAATTTTAGATATTTGCGCCATGTGTTAGTATGACTTGATAGCTAGTAGGTTCACTGTCAACCTCCGGTTAACCGTTAGTTTGCGTTGTACGACCTCCGGTTGAGTAATAAAGTTCCGGTTAAAGGGAAGTTATCCCAACCGCAGGTAAAAGTCGAGTTTGACCGGAGGGTTGATATACACACATGCGCAGAACTTCACAAAGTTGTCATGATCTCTCATGAAAGTTGTCATCAACCGGGCGTTTAAGAATAGAGTTGTTAAAAAAGAACTTAATAAAAAATAAAATTTTTACAAAATCCAATTTGTTTTTAATTATATAAAGAGAATTATTTTATATAAAACATCGCAAAAAAACAAAAAATAAATTAATAAAATAAATAATAAAATAAACATAAAATAAAAAAAATAATATAATAATCGCTCGCAAAATGACATACGTCGAAAGTTAGGTTAGGTTAACGTAAACACGTGTATCTTTACGTTTTCGAATGCACGCATTTCATTGGTTGAGAATTGGCGCGCAGTGCAGCCAACATTGACCGCGGCCGGTTGACGGCAAGCTAATAAACCGGAGGTTAAAATCCTGTCATAAAACGTACCGATGTTCAACCTTCGGTTAACTGCTCAACCGGAGGTTTGATAACCGGCGGTCAACGTCTACTTTTATAAAACCGGCCCTTATTAGTCGGTAAAAAAAACCTGGTATAGTAGAAATCACGAGAGCTGGCAGTGACAGATCGCTTAAAAATGGTATGAATCAAGATATGGACGTACGACTTAGATTATTTCGCCACATACATTTAAATGTAGGTTATGTTAGTAATGGAGGTTATATGTCAAACATTGTCAAAAATATTATTTAATGATTTTCCTTTCAAAGAAAACATTTTCGGTTTGTGAAAACACTAACAGATTCATGACAACGCTCACAAGACGTTTCGATTTGAGGTTATAATTATAGAGTGACATCCCTTAGAAGAACAGACGTACTTTTTCGACGTGGCCATTTGAATTGTACAGCAGACATATTAAACTAATACTATCTCTTTCCAACACACATTACTCTCTAGCGGTTTGTGAACTACGTATGGCATTTGTAAGAGCAGAAAATGATGATTTATTGCCAGCTCTCGTGGCGTCTACTATAACTCCGTAACGTTTTGTGACAAGGGCGACAAGGGAAAACCTCGTATCTCCAAAGCTAAAATTGAGGTTATAGTTGTATGTAATATTAAATTAGGTGTTGTCGAAGTCAACAAAGAAAAATTCTAGACATGGCTCTTGAAAAGCCCCCAGTTTTCGTAAACTCTCAACTATCTAATAATGTGGAATATACTGTAGTTCAAGAACATAGTATAACAGAGATAAATTCTAATTCCAATCAACAAAACACAGCAAGGAATTTACAAGATGTGCAGATAGAAGCTAGTGAAGTATACTAATTATCTGAAGATACTTTGTGAGATGAAAACATAGAAGTTACTGAGAAAAATGCCAATGAGGCGTCACAAACTGAAAACATAGATTATCAACCTACTGTAGTTCAAAGTTGCAAAGAAAAAGATTCGGAGCCTAACTCATCGGAAGATATTTCTTGGGATGAAATTGTGCATCAACAGCCGAAGATCCAGATTATCGACTTTGAAAAGAAAAAGACTAAAAAGAAGACACGTTAAAGAAAGCAATTGGAAGAGGGAGCAGAATAAAAGAAGAAGAGAGCTAGGCGACTCGTATAAAGGAAAAAAGATAGTTGATGGGAAATGGAAATACAGTGGAAATACTCAAGGTGTGCAAAAAAATATTTCTTAATTCACTGGGAATAGGAGAATGGACCACGTCCATTCGACAGCAAAAGAAAAGAAGAAGTTGGATGTTACAAGAATAAACTATTTTTTGAAACTCTGCCAAAGATGGAGTCGCATTATTGCAGATCAACATCTAAGAAATTATGTCTTGAACCACAATGGCAGTCCAAACAACAGTTGTATGAACTACAGTAAAGATTGGTGTTATCAAAGGAACGTCGAGCCATTTTCTATTATTTATTTTGACCACTATTTCAACGACATGAATTTGAGTCTATTTCAAAGAAAGAAGGACGAATATGACTTATGTGTGGCTAAAAATGCAAATAATATTTTAGAAGAAGAATACACTAAGCACCAAGAAAAGAAAAAAGAAGCCAGAGAGAAGAAGAAGCAGGATAAAAGCAGTGAGAGCAATAAAGTGTATACTATGGACTTGCAGGCAGTTCTTTTGTGCCCAAAATCAAACATTTCCAGCTTGTATTATAAAACAAAGTTAGCTGTACACAACTTCACTATTTTCGATATTAAAACACATGCTGCCACCTCTTCAATCTGGACAAGAAAAACCGCAATGCAATTCTGTCCAGTGCCTTACTTAATTTTGCCGTCCATCACAAAGTGCGTGTTGTCCAGAAAAATTTAGAGCGTGGCCACACACAAATGGAAGCTGATTCCATGCATTCTTGCATAGAACGGCAACTACGAAATAAGATTATAAATGTGCCGGCTGATTACTTGTCACATGTTCAAAAAGCTCGTGAACCACCAGAACCATATCAAGTAAAATATTTAGAGTACAGTTTTTTCCGAAATTTTAGCAGCATGCAGTCTATACCTTCTATTAGGCCAGGAAAAAGAGCAGGAGATCCTACTGTAACTGACTTGCGTGAAGTACGTTATTTATAACCCAAATGGTACACTTGAATTTAAGCTTCGACACACTGAAGACTGGTAGCCTCACCCAATTAGAGGTAACAAAAAGGTACTAATGATTTTGATGTACTAATGGGCACATATTATGGTTATTTCTTTAGTCATTCTGCCCGTACTGATCGAGTTCTTGGAGCCCAGAGAAGATGCGTCAGAGTGCTTTTACATCTTCCACTGCCTTCTATGACCTCTAAGAAGTAAGTAAATTCTAAGAAGTACCATCATATGAGTACTTGGGCAGTATAATGAGGGAAGATGTCATGGTTTAGGTTCTGACTGATGAACGTCTAACGAAATCTTTATTGGTAGTGTTTGAGGCAAACGGTAGAAAGAAAACATTAAACAAAAAATAGTTGTCAAAGTTATTGTTTTATTAAAAAAAACTGCAATAATACCGTAACATGAATTAAAATAAGATTAGTTATACTTTTTAATATGGATATTTAGTTACATCAAATGTAAATACTTTGCTGACCAAACACTCAGCAGGCTAAAACAAAAAAAAACAATTTTATTTAAATTTAGACATTAAATGGTATACTTACAGCTGGTGCAATACCAATTAAAACATCAGCGTGCGAATAAAACTCCTCCTTTAATGAAATAACGATCGTTTGTAAAGTTCCCGTTTTTTCTGTAATATATTTTGCTACTTTCCCAATGTTAGTATTATCCAAAGCAGCGTCAACTTCATCCAAAACGAAAAACGGCGCTGGTTGATAACTGTGAATAGCAAAAAGTAAAGCTAAAGCGGCTACGGTTTTTTCACCACCCGATAAATTCGACATTGGTTGAAATCGTTTTCCTGGAGCAACACAATTATAATTAATCCCATCTAAATAGGGTTCTTCAGGATTTTCCGTATTCAAAAACGCTTGTGCTGATTGATTTTGAGCCAAACTTTTATAAATATTATCGATTTCATTAGAAACATGGTCGAAACATCTCGTAAATTTTTCGTATCTTTGTTGTTTAATTTTTTCGAAAGCCGTTTTAGCTTTGCGATTCTGTTTTCGGAGTGATTCAAATTCTTCGTTGGTTGATTGTAATTTACCTTGAGCGGCTTCCAATTTTTGCATCGCTCTTAAATTCGGGGCTTGAATTTTAGTTAAGGTGTCTTGTAAACTTTGAATTGCTTTATATAATTTATCCGCTTGCTTTTTAATGTCATCTTTTTCGTCTAAATCTTTTAAATGATCTGAAAGTTGGCTATAATCGATTTGAATTCTTGCTTCTCTTTCGTATTGAACTGCTGAAGTGCTTGTATCAGCTGAAGGGTTTGAGCTAGGATCGGGTTGGACGATATCCTCCATATTTCCAACTAACATAGGAATAACAATATCGTCCATTTTGCATTGCATCAAAATGGTGTGGCGATCACTTTTTTTCGTTTCAATTTTTGCTTCTAAAGAAAGTACTTGTTTTTGTACCGCTTGAACATCTTTCGCGATAGCACCCACTTCACGACGAGCTTTTCCCACTTCTTCTTCCATCCCATCGCATTCTTGTTTTTTTGATAACCTTTGTGCTTTTAAATGATCGACTTGACGCATATCTTTATCGATTTCTTCGCGTTGTTTTGCTTCTTGTTTCTTGCACGATTCTAATTTTTCTTCTTCGTCGTTAACCGTTCGTTCCCAACGACTCACATTGTTTTGTGTATCGCGACTTTTCTCAAATTCTAAGTTACTGGTGATTCGATTAATTTGTTTTTGGAATTCGAGACGTTTTTGTTTACGCTCTTCTTGGGCGCGAAGTTCGCGATCTTCGTATTGACGGATATTTTTTACGCCGATTTCTTGGCAGAATGCGGAAAATACGACATCCTCGAGATTGTTCATTTTTAGTTTAACCTCTTCAATTTCTTGTTCGCGAACTTGCATCGATTTTTCGATTTCTTCCATTTGAGGCTAAAAATTAATTTATTTATGAAAAGATATTAATAATTTTTAAACTACTTACAATGTATTGAGTGATTTCATTTGAAAGGATTTCCAATTCCCTTTCGACTTTTTTTATTTGCTTATTGGTGCTCTCCATGTCTGTTTTGGCATATTTTAGACGAGTCTCCAACCCACGAATTTGAGAATCAACGGTGTTCAATTCAGATTCTTTTCTTGATTTTTTCATTGAATCACGTAATTCTTCTGTAAGTTTTTCCTACATAAAGAATAAATAAAGGATGTCAAAAAAGATTTTTATTTTATTAAAACACCAAAAATAAAGTAAAAACCTTTTGTGCTTTTAGTTGAGACATATGCTTTTCATCCCATCGTTTTGCTTTTCGAGCCAAATCCAAACTCCCACCAGAAATTATACCCGCTTTTTGATAATAAGTCCCATCTAAAGCAACAGCCTAAAAAGTAAATGTTTATTTTTATTACACAAATTAATTAATTTTCGTAAAAAAAACTACGTTTCATAAAATTCACATTTAATTTTGACAAATTGTTGTGAAGTTAGTTACAGTTGGTGACATTGAATTTGTCACATTGACGTTTAAACTTTATTCAAAAATGTATTTAAAAAAATAAATTTGTCCGCAACTACCTTATAATATAATACCTTATAAATGAGTTTTCTAAAATAAAACGGTAGTTATTTTTGACAGAATGAATAATACCGGTAATCATTAATCATTATTCAAGGGTAATCAACTTGACAGACTAATAATAATTATTTGAAACGTCAAAATATTAAAAAACGTCAATTTAATTTAATTTTTTTATGACTTTCTAAAGGTTTGACATTAAAAAAACGTAAACAAATTCCTTTTTTCATATGATTTAAACACAAATTAATTGATTTTCGTAAAAAAAACTACGTTTCATAAAATTCACATTTAATTTTGACAAATTGTTGTGAAGTTGGTTACAGTTGGTGACATTGAATTTGTATGATATTGATGTTTAAACTTTATTCAAAAATGTATTTAAAAAAATAAATTTGTCCACAACTACCTTATAATATAATAAACGAGTTTTATAAACGGTAATCAACTTGACAGACTAATAATAATTATTTGAAACGTTAAAATTTCAAAAAACGTCAATTTAAGTATATATTTTTTTAGGACTTTCTAAAGGTTTGACATTAAAACAACGTAAACAATAGTATATTATTCAACAAGCGTATAATGACGGCTGTTATCCACGAAGAAGAAGTTGAACACGAGCGAGCGAGTGTTGTAATCTGAGTGGGTAACATCCATTATACGCAAGTTGAATACTATACTTTATCTACAACTATTTAATTTTGAAAAAAAAAATCAAAAAAAGGGAAAAAATAAACTTGATAGACATTTCAGACATAACCTCAATATAAGAAAGCTGTCATTTCTGTTAGAATTTTATTTTTTTGATTAGTAGGCCGTGTCAGAACTGTGGAATAATGGCTTCATTATTCAACACTTTGTCAGTCATGAGTAATGGGTGTCATTACCCGTCAAAAATCAAATGTATAACGAATAGATAATTCTATAGTTGTAGATAAATTCCTTTTTTCATATGATTTAAGCACAAATTAATTAATTTTCGTAAAAAAAACTACGTTTCATAAAATTGACATTTAATTTTGATAAATTGTTGTGAAGTTGGTTACAGTTGGTGACATTGAATTTGTATCACATTGACGTTTAAATTTTATTCAAAAATGTATTTAAAAAAATAAATTTGTCCACAACTACCTTATAAATGAGTTTTTTAAAATAAAACGGTAGTTATTTTTGACAGAATGAATAATACCGGTGAATAATCATTATTCAAGGGTAATCAACTTGACAGACTAATAATAATTATTTGAAACGTCAAAATTTCAAAAAACGTCAATTTAATTTAATTTTTTTAGGACTTTCTAAAGGTTTGACATTAACAAAAAGTAAACAAATTCCTTTTGTCATATGATTTAAGCATAAATTAATTAATTTTCGTAAAAAAAACATGACGTTTCATAAAATTGACATTAAATTTTGACAAATTGTTGTGAAGTTGGTTACAGTTGGTGACATTGAATTTGTGTCACATTGACGTTTAAACTTTATTCAAAAATTTATTTAAAAAAATAAATTTATGGAATCAATTTTTTTAGGACTTTCTAAAGGTTTGTCATTAAAAAAACGTAAACAAATTCCGTTTTTCATATGATTTAAGCATAAATTAATTAATTTTCGTAAAAAAATGACGTTTCATAAAATTGACATTTAATTTTGACAAATTGTTGTGAAGTTGGTTACAGTTGGCGACATTGAATTTGTGTCACATTGACGTTTAAACTTTATTCAAAAATTTATTTAAAAAAATAAATTTATGGAATCAATTTTTTTAGGACTTTCTAAAGGTTTGACATTAAAAAAACGTAAACAAATTCCTTTTTTCATATGATTTAAGCATAGATTAATTAATTTTCGTAAAAAAAAAAACATGACGTTTCATAAAATTGAGATTTAATTTTGACAAATTGTTGTGAAGTTGGTTACAGTTGGTGATATTGACGTTTAAACTTTATTCAAAAATTTATTTAAAAAAATAAATTTATGGAGTCAATTTTTTTAGGACTTTCTAAAGGTTTGACATTAAAAAAACGTAAACAAATTCCTTTTTTCATATGATTTAAGGATAAATTAATTAATTTTCGTAAAAAAACATGACGTTTCATAAAATTGACATTTAATTTTGACAAATTGTTATGAAGTTGGTTACAGTTGGTGACATTGAATTTGTGTCACATTGACGTTTAAACTTTATTCAAAAATGTATTTAAAAAAATAAATTTATGGAATCAATTTCAATAGTATTTCAAGTAGTCATGGACAAAGTATAGTATAGTATTCTACTCACATATTATGAGCTATTATTCACTCAGGGTAATTATGTCACTCGCTACGTTCGTGATATAACTTAACCTTAGTCAATAATAGCCCTCATTATATGCTCGTATAATAATGTACTATTAAGAACACTAAAACTATTATATCTTCACATTTTTCGCTAGCTATCTTACTTTAGGAGATAATCGACCGTTTCCATACATATCAGCGATCCTGTATAATGTTATATTTCTTGTAGTACAATCAAAACCAAATATTATACAAATATCTTGTTGTTAATTTTTGCTTATATAATTCTTTAGTGAATTTTAAGGGTACTTTAATATATGAATGATTTTCGAATGTATTTATCATCTGCATAAAAGAAATTTTAGCAAAAATGTAAAGGGGGTGGTTATGCTTAGTAGTTTAGAAAGGTAGATTGAAAGTAGAAATAGGGTCAAAACGTGCCCTATTATGAGTTAAACATATTCCCCAAATTTCATTTTCCTAGCGTTTATGGTCTTTGAGAAAAAAAATTTAAACCGACATTTTCCCCCATTTTTGGAGGGGTGTAGCTCCTTAGGGAAGCCGAAGTCGCCCATGGTTCATATAACAAAGTACCCTTAAAATTCACTAAAGAATCACCCCTTGATGTTTGTTGCAGTCATTCAGATACATCCTGTATATTTTCAATGGTTTGTGAGCTTCTGAATACGTTATACTCCGTTTTTAAACCAGGAGGAGTAAACGCGAAAGTCAGATTTACACTAGGAAAAATCACCAGAAAATATCACTAGATATTTTGGCGGTAAATTTAAATTAATAATTATTATTATTTATTTATTTACTTATTATTGTATTTATTTTCGTTTGTTATCGTCAACACTAAACATGCAAATTAACATTGAAGTTAGGAGTGTATTTATTTCAAAATATAATAAAGAAGGGTTTAAGAACACAAAATTTACAATAATGACACGATTGTCAAACTGTCAATAACCTAACCTTCAAATTCAAAATCCAAAATTGCCTGTGTGTGAACCTTCCTCGCATTCAACCAATCACGTTCAAGGTCAATCTGGTGACAAATTTAAAATACTCCGCCTGGTTTAAAAACAGAGTATAGTAATGTAGTAGACTTATTTTTAATTAAATATAAAAAATCATGCAGTAAGGGGTTAAGTGAAATTCACTGTATAGTTACTTACATCATATCTTCCTCCACATTCATATGCAACTTTGCTCGCATCCTCCGGAGTTTCACAAACCAAAATATTATTTGTAACGAAAAGAACAGCTTTTGAAATAGCTTGAGGTTCAAAAAAGAGAATATCATACAGCAATTTCACCCCCTTCGGTTCAGTGATATGTCTTAATCGTTCCTTTATTGGTTTTAATTGCAAATAATTTAATGGTAAGAACGTTTCTGGTTCCAACATCTGCTCTTTCAAATATTTAATACATTGACGAGCTGTGTGTTCGGTATCAACAACGATAGCCTCCATATATTTCCCCAAAACTTTAGTAACAGCCACATTGTAGCGTTTATGAGTTGGTTGACACATATTAATCATCCGATCATACTTAAACAAAAAAACTAATTATAAAAACGTATAAATAAATAAAAATAATACTCACCACACCGGGATAACTACTTTTGAATCTCTCAACAATCTCTTGTTTCTTTTTCCTTCTTGAATCTTCGTGTTTATCAATCCTAGCATCCCCTAGTTGTTCGACGACATCATCTAATTGTCTTTGTATTTCTTGAACACGATCTTTAGAAGACCCCACGTCGGATTGTAAATCTTCACGCAATTGCTTTTGATCCAACAAAGCTTGCTCGCTTGTTCGAATATGTTCCATTAATTTCTCAATTCTCTTCTCCATCTCTTCTTTTTCATGCTCTTTTTGTCGGTGTTTATTTTCCGTTTCCGTTCTCGATCTAGTCACGTTGTCCAAACGATCTTGATCGGCTTTTTGTTCTCGATTAACAGAATCCAATTCTTGCATATACCGAGCCGATCTTTTCGCGGCTTCCTCTTTCAATCGATGATATTCAACAACTTGTTCATCTTCCAAGTGAACGTCGCGCCCTTGGCTTTGACTTTCGCCGGCAATCGTCATTTCGTATTCTTCTTTAGCCTTTTCCACTTCTGCCAATTCATCGTCGAGCTTTTTTATATCGTTCATGTGAGCTTCGTGAGCTTTTCGCGCTTGTTCTAAGGTTTTTATGGCCCCATCGTGTTTCTTTTGCATGTGAGAAACGCGTTCTTTTGCTTTAATAAATTGAGGTTTCTTTTTTGAGATTTCTACCTCAACCTCTCGAATATCCTGTTCAAATTTAGCTAATTCTCGATTAATTCTACCTTGATCTTTGCGTTTATCTTTGAGTACTTCTTCGGCTTTTTCTTTTCTTTTTTCGATTTTTTCAACTTCACGGTGTTTTCCTTTTAGATCGTTTTCGAGGCTTTTAACTTCATGCTCGTTATGATAAAGACGGAATAATTGATGCTCAACTAATTTATCATTAAGTTCATCTTTTAATCGAGCGTATTTATCAGCTTCCTCTTTTTCAAGGCGAGCCTCTTTACGTTCCGCATTGATTCCTTTCTTTTTCTGCAGAGCCAAATTGATTTCTTCTTGTGCCTTTTGCATTTGATTTTTTAATTTGTCGTAATCTTCTTTTAAAGCTCCTGATCCACTTATTTCTTCAAAAAGCAACGTCATTTCTTTGGGATTTTTCATTGCAATCGATTCCACGGCTCCTTGGAAGACCAAAAAGTTCTTCGCTTTCACGTTAATTCGCAACTTTTCCAATTCAACCATATATTCATGATTTGACACCAACTTAATGAAAAATAATTATATTATACATTGTACTACAAGCCAGATCTCACGATTTATCGTAAGATCTCATGATATTACTTTTATCTCACGATTTTATTACAAAAATAATATAATAATTAGTGTTAATAAAATCAAAGTAAAATCATAGCATTTTCAACTGGAATTGTAGGTTACTGTAAATTTCTCTATTAGTTACTGAATCCTCCGCTAGATGGCGCTAAGAAGTTACTTAACCGCTGTTCATGAAGCCTGTTTTCGAGCCAAAATGGCGGTTTGACAGCTTGTCACTGTACCTCACCACTTATTTACAAAAATATTGCCGTCCTGTTGCCTTTGGAGTTGCAAAAATGGCAGTAAGAAGGACTTTCGACTCTTCAGAGTACCACGAGAAAAAAAAGAAAGGAAATTAGGCGTAATGTTATCAATAGAATAACATAGTTTTAAATTTCCCGCTTGACTTTCGAGCCAAAATGGCGTCAAACCGCGATACTTTGTAAATCTAGGTACTTTAACTTAAACATTTTATTTCCTTTTAATTATATCACTTTTATATAAAAACGTTGTCTAAACTAGCGGTTCCCAACTTGTGCTCCGCGGAGCCCTTAGAGCTCCGCAGCCGTTCCAGGATATCTTTATTTATTATAAGACATTTATTTATAATACATAAGGTAGGTATAAGGGGCTCTACTACAAAAATTGATTCTAAAAAGAGCCCCGTAAATCAAAAAGGTTGGGAACTACTTTACTTGAATCCTATGCCTATATGTAACACATATTATTAAAATTGAGGGATTTTTAAACAAATTTCAACATCCCACAATTTTTTAGGACATTCTATATGTGTAACCTGGTAAACCCTAACTACAAGCAAAAAAAAAGTATTTACCGAGCCGTTTAATCTGTACTCAGATGCACTTCCTTGAACCGATCGTTGAAATGCAATCTCTTTTCCTTCTTCGTTTAAAATAAAAACAGCAGTAACAGAACAACTAAAACACAAAGATTTAATCAAATAAATCACAATAAAGTCAAATTAATTCAAAAATACCTTCTTGAAACAGGTTTACTGATAGCGGCTCCATGAATAAGGTCACTTAATCTCTTAACACGAAGACTACTGGTTTTTTCACCCATTACGAATGAAATAGCATCCATGAAATTAGATTTACCTAAATAATTTTAAAAGATTATTCAATTAACTATAATTAACCGTTATTAGAAACTAACCTGACCCATTGGGGCCAACAACGGCGTTAAACGGTTTTAATGGCCCAATAGTCATATTTCCCCTGTATGACTTGAAATTCTCGACGACAATCTGCTTTAACCGAGGGCCCGTCATGATTAACCACTAAATTTGAACCAGAAATTGCAAATTTAACTTTTCTGCATAAACGAAGCACAAACAAATTGTAGAGTCTGAAGTTGGCTTTGAAACCTGGGAAATGACCTTGAATTAATAGCAATTTGGAGGGAAATTTTATTATATTTTTTTTTCCTTAAAAACTATTTTAATATTAATACAACATGCAAAATTAAATTTGTTTTATATTAACTCACATTAATTAATTGTTTAAATACATTAAAATAATACTTAAACAATCTTGTCTTTTAATGTTTATTTATTGTAATGTTGGTATCAAAATTTTTAGGTTAGGTTATGTTTTAACTTGGAAATCAAAACCATTTTATTTATAACTATTAAATATTCAATTGATACAACTTAATTTATGTGCTCGCTTAAACATTTTCAATATCCTTAATTAAAAATGCTCTTTTAGCACAAAAAATTTAATCCGATAGTAAGAATTATTTTAAGCATACCTTTTCGAAGTATTTAAATAGAATGCACTTCTTATCCTTTAAAATTATAAAAAACCCCGATTTTTTAATAATTAAAATTAAACTATTATTATTATGTAGCGCTAAATATAACCAATAAGGAAGCGTATAGGGAATGTAGGGGTACCAATTGGCACTATTTGCCTTACAACTATTTCCGTTTATACAAATTAATACGATCTCTTGGGTTGGAAAAGATTAATTTAATCAAGAAATCGTTTAAGAAATTAAGTAAAATTTTATTTATAATAATTAGTTATAAAAAATTATTAGATGATTTCTGAACGCATCCATTTAAATGTCAAACGTCAAATACAAAATAACCCTACAACACCCATTGCCAAGCCTTATCATTGTGAAGAAGAAGAAGAAGAACCCTACAACACGTGTATTTAATTAAAACATTAAATTAAATCTTGTAAAATTAATTTTTTAAACAAATACAATGCCTAAGTTAAGGAAACAACGACGTAAACAGGTTTACCGATACAACGTAAATAGAAAAAGAATGCGAAATAAGCAATTTAAAACGCCAACAATAGGATGGTAAGTTTAATTATTTTATAACTTAATTATTTCTGTTAATTTCTATGTATCTTTGATTAGTAAAGAAATTAAAAACGCTTGGGATAATAAAAAGTCAATACAAACGAATTTAAAAGAAATGGGATTATCTTATGATCCTAATGTAACGTTGGGAGTGCCAAATTTTAAGAAAACGCTTAAATCTCAAATTGTTGTTGAAGAAGGAGATTGGATTGAAGAAGAAATTAAGGAATCTGTTGTGCCGAGTAAACAATATGTGGTTGAGAAGATAATTGAAGATGCCAAAGCACCAAGGGAGAAGCTGTTTAGATTACCTAAAGGACAAGTTGAATATGTTACTTATTTTATGGATAAATACGGAGATGATTATAAAGCAATGGCACGGGATAAAAAAAATTATTATCAGGATACATGGAAACAAATTCGGGCTAAAATTAAAAGATTTGTGTCTATCCCTGAACAATATGGGGCATATTTAAAGAGTAAAGGATTAAGTGAAGATGAAATTACCACCAAGTTTATTAATACTAATGATGATAGCGAATAAAATATTTTTTTGTATTTAATTTTATTATTACTTACTTTATAAAGATATAAATAAAATTCTTAAGGATTTTTATTTATTATACTTTGAACATAATTCACAATTGTATCAACTTCAGTCATTGCCCCAGCACCTTTATCACCACAAATTAACATCTTTTCAATAACAGGTATAATATGATATCCCCAACTTTTTAAAAGATCCAATTGTTTCTCAGTTATCGGATGATTATACATTTTTGTGTTCATTGCTGGACATAAAATTAAAGGTTTCCCAATTTCCCAAGCCCTTACAGTGCATGTTAACAAATTATCACAAATACCCTAGAAAAAATAACAACATAAATAAATACAAACAATTTTTATAATCATTACAAATTACATTTGCAATTTTTGCTAAGGTATTAGCATCTAAAGGTGCAATCACAAATAAATCAGCCCATTTTCCCAAATCAATATGCAAAACTGGATCTCCTCTATCTTTCCACATAGACCACTCATCTTCATCTGTTAAAATTGGAACAGATTCGGGAATATCACTGTTTTTATAAAAATGCTGTGCTTTTTCTGTTACAACAACTTTGATTTGAATATGATCTTTGAATTTTTCTTGCAAATTAGTTATTAATAATGGTAATTTAATAGTAGCTACACTCCCGGTACACCCTATTAATAAATTCACCATTTTTAGGGGTTCTAAGACTTTTATTCTACTACTTTATAATAAAATTTTTTTAATATTTTGAGGTTATGTTCTTTTTATTCTTGTTTTTGAAATCCCAGTTTAGGCCATTCTTCTTTTGCCATAAGATTATTGTCCATGCGACACTGCAAATACGTTTTAGCCTCTTCTCGACACGAATTATTATCGTTATCGTTCTGTTTCAAACAAATCATGTACTTTAACATCGATTTCTTACATATACCTTCATGATCTAATGGAAAACTGCCTTTATCGGGTGGAGTGGGTGTAAAAGTTCTTTGGCCAAAGGTCATAGACGACATTTGATTAATATTACATAAATATACCACTCGGTAAGTAATTAATTAAGTGGAAGTGGTTGAAATTACTTTTTTTTTCGAATTATAGGTTATGTTGTTTGTTTGGTTGCCTAACTTCTAAATTATTTATAATAAAATGAGTTAGATTTTGGGTTAAGTTTGTTGTTTTAATCATTTAATTCAATTTGTAGCTACATGAACGTGATGAATCGATTATCATTCAATTATACATATATATTATACATATATTTTGAGTTTAAATGGTTTTTTACAGTTTCCTACATCACTACAGTTTTAATGAATGATTAATTTTGTGATTCACAATGATTCAAATTCATTAAAAAACCCTTTATTAATATAATTTACATTTAACACAACTTTTCAACTCTAACATACAAAGAATTTTTCGGTCTCATTACCACCGAGCCTTTATTAAAAGCCAAATTTTTCGTTTTACTAGTATCCAAAACAAATCTAAATCTCCTTATTAAAGTTATCAAGGTGACTTTTAGTATCATTTTAGAAAATTGTATCGCCGGGCACAATCTCGGTCCTTCCCCGAAAGGCAAAAAAGCATAATGATGTCTGTTTACACAGTTTTCTTCGGCAAATCGTTCCGGGATAAATTGATCTGGATTTTCGTAAATTTCCGGGTCCTTATGAATCCCCAAAATTGAAATTAACACTCCGGTTCCTGCACTTAAAGTCTCTTCATTTTTATCACCGGGAAGTTGATAATCTTTCATTGAATTTCTTATGATTGTTGGAATGATTGGGTATAATCTTAATGTTTCTAAAAATATTGAAATTAAAATAATTAATTTAAACTAAAAAAGAACAAACCGTTTAAAACTTGATTTAAATAATCCATTTGGTTAATAAGATCACAATTTAATTCATTTTGAGCGACTTTTTCTTGGATTTCTTCTCTTAATTTGTCTTGAACGTGAAGATTTCTTGATAGTTCAAAGATAAGAAAGTTTAATGTGTTTGAAATTGTTTCATTGGTAAAAGTTATGAGTAAAAGACACTGGGAGACGATTTCATCAATTTTTAAGTCTTTATTTTCTTCTAAAATGACTTGGAGGATGTCGTTCTTTTTGATTTGATTTGTTTCGCGAAAATCAATCGTTTCGTCTAACGATTTTTTAAAGTATTTAACAGTTTTCTTTGGGAATGTATCAAGTTTGAATAAATATGGAAATAAAAACGAAAAAATATAAAATTTTGAATTATACAAAGACTTTTTGTGGAGTGCTAAAACATTCTTTTCAAACACACGATTTTTTTCGATGAAATTGTTTAAATCGATACCAAAATATAAGTTTGCTATTAAATCTAAACTAAAATTCTTGTTAATTTCTTGAATTATAATCGTTTTTTGGTCGTTTTTATCTAAATATTTCGTGAAATTCGTTAATACTTTTTCAACGTTTGGAAGATATCTTTTAATGTTATCCCTCAATAAAATCTTCGTCGTTTTAACCCTTAAAATTTTCCATTTTTCGCCGTTTAAATTAAATAAATTATCATTAATTTTATTCGATTTAACATTAAATCCCCTCGAACTAAACTTATCGAAATCTTTCCCCAAAATCGCCTCAACATAATTTAAATCAACAGGAACGTAATATGGTTTAAAAAACATAAAAATTCCACCGTGTTTGTGCCCCCTCAATTTAAATTTGTTATAATACTCTTGAAAATATTCGAAGCGGGGTTTCTTTGGTTTAAAAATTTTCTTTAAATCACCAAAAGGGATCGTTGGATTTAAAATGGGCACATTTTTTAAAGAAAAATAATAAAATCGGTAAGTATAAAAGATGTAAATAATTAGAAAGTAGAAAAAATAAATAAAGTATTTATCGTAGGTTTCATATTCTTCGTTCATACTGAAAAAAAAAGATTTTGGAGAATTTAAAAAAATACAAAAATAAATTTACCTGATGTTATTAGAACGATAAACGAATTATAACTATTATAAAATTTATTTTATAATAAAACTGATAAAATTTATGAATATTATCAGGTTTTAGAGAAATCGATAAGATAACCATTGTTTTAATTTTGCTTAAATTATTAAAAATTTTATCATTCCATAAAAAAATTAACCTCAAATTTAGTTTTTTTATAATTTGAGGAATTTAAAAAAAATTATGAGATGATTTAGTATTATATTGTACTTCTGCTAACATTGAAATGGAAAATCACATGAATCGAGCACTAGAGGTTGTAAAATCTTTTCTAGACAAACAACAAGCAGTTCTTTTCACTAAAAAAAGAAAAATACATTGTCCAATCATTGAGCTAGCCCTGTGAGGTATGTGGAGAGCTTCAAGTACTTGCGATTTCATATCAACGGGAAACTAACTTGGAAATAGAAGTCAATACAAGATAGATAAGATAGACCCAGAGACTCCGGATTTTGACATATGGTCTCGGGGCTTCGGTTTATTAGATATTTTCTCCGGGTCACTCCGGGTATAAGAGCTATTTCACAAAAAATAAAAAGGCCTAAAATAATTCTTACGCCAGGAAAAATCCTCCATTTAAATAACTCGAGGATACGGGATTTACCAAAGCTAGAAAAGGTAGTAATTATTTTTTCTAGGAAAATTATAGAAAATGTAAACAGTTTCTACCATAAACTAAATAAATACAACATTTTTAATAGACATTCACTTAGTAATCGAAACGGTACTAGGAGATTTAGGGGAATCACCTAATCTCTTTGTGCCAAGTGTTGAACTACTTCATAAAAAACTTAAATAACTAAAGACACGTATTTCGTAATGTTACTTATAATAAGAGAAAATTTAGTAGTTCTATCTTTTCTCCATCGCCTTTCATTCTTGAATTATGATCGATTTTAACACCAAAAGTACCCAATTTTGACATTTTGATGATTTTTTCTTTATTATTAGAAAATCATTATACCTAAACTAAATTTATTTATGGATGATGTTTTTTTAGTTCATAATAAACAATTTATTCCTAAAAAACTTTTCTCCATCACCTTTCATCCTTGAGTTATGATCAATTTTAATACCAAAAGTACTCAATTTTGATATTTCGATGATTTTCTCTTTTTATCATTAGAAAATCATTATAACTAAACCAAATCTGTTTATGAGTAATGTCCTTTTAGTTCATAATAAACAATTTATTTCAAATAAACTTTTCTCCATCACCTTTAATTTTTGAGTTATGATCTATTTTAATACCAAAAGTACTCAATTTTGACATTTTGGTGATTTTTTCTTTATCACCTGAAAATCATTACATCTAAACTAAATTTGTTTATGGATGATGTTTTATTAGTTCATAATAAACAATTTATTCCTAAAAAACTTTTCTCCATCACCTTTCATCTTTGAGTTATGATCAATTTTAATACCAAAAGTACTCAATTTTAACATTTTGATGATTTTTTCTTTATTATTAGAAAATCATTATACCTAAACTAAATTTGTTTATGGATAATGTTTTTTTAGTTCATAATAAATAATTTATTTCTAAAAAACTTTTCTCCATCATCTTTCATCCTTGAGTTATGATCAATTTTAATATCAAAAGTACTCAATTGTAACATTTTGATGATTTTTTCTTTATTATTAGAAAATCATTATACCTAAACTAAATTTGTTTATGGATGATGTTTTTTTAGTTCATAATAAACAATTTATTCCTAAAAAACTTTTCTCCATCACCTTTCATCCTTGAGTTATGATCAATTTTAATACCAAAAGTACTCAATTTTGATATTTCGATGATTTTCTCTTTTTATCATTAGAAAATCATTATAACTAAACCAAATCTGTTTATGAGTAATGTCCTTTTAGTTCATAATAAACAATTTATTTCAAATAAACTTTTCTCCATCACCTTTAATTTTTGAGTTATGATCTATTTTAATACCAAAAGTACTCAATTTTGACATTTTGGTGATTTTTTCTTTATCACTAGAAAATCATTATACCTAAACTAAATTTGTTTATGGATGATGTTTTTTTAGTTCATAATAAACAATTTATTCCTAAAAAACTTTTCTCCATCACCTTTCATCCTTGAGTTATGATCAATTTTAATACCAAAAGTACTCAATTTTGATATTTCGATGATTTTCTCTTTTTATCATTAGAAAATCATTATAACTAAACCAAATCTGTTTATGAGTAATGTCCTTTTAGTTCATAATAAACAATTTATTTCAAATAAACTTTTCTCCATCACCTTTAATTTTTGAGTTATGATCTATTTTAATACCAAAAGTACTCAATTTTGACATTTTGGTGATTTTTTCTTTATCACTAGAAAATCATTATAACTAAACCAAATCTGTTTATGAGTAATGTCCTTTTAGTTCATAATAAACAATTTATTTCAAATAAACTTTTCTCCATCACCTTTAATTTTTGAGTTACGATCGATTTTGATAACAAAAGTACTCAATTTTAACATTATGGGGATTTTCTCTTTATCACTAGAAAATCATTACATCTAAACAAAATCTGTTTGTCAATAATATCTTTTTAGTTCATAATAAACATTTTATTCCTAAAAAACTTTTCGTTATCACCTTTCATTCTTGAGTTATGATCGCTTTTAAAATCAAAAGTACTTAATTTTGACATTTTGGGGATTTTCTCTTTATCACTAGAAAATTATTATGCCTAAACTAAATTTGTTTATGGATGATGTCTTTTTAGTTCATAATAAAGCATCAACAAGTTCATAATAAGCATTATCAAGATACGCGTCTTTAGTTTTTGAGTTTTTTATGAAAACGACAATGTTTTTTAAAAAATAGTAAGAGCAAAAAAAGTTTTAGAATTAAATTCCACATGAAATGAAGTAGTAATGTATTAAGGTTAAAAAAATCTGCCAAAATTTAGGGAACCATCAACCCTTTGAAATGCCTCAATTGGTCTCAACTTGGTTTTTCTAGCTTAATGTATTACGAAGATAGTCAATGTTTTAAAAATTTAAGACCCAACTTTGAAAGCCTATAACTCCTCAGGGGTACAACTTGGTATAGAGATAAGTTGCGTTAAATCATCTTAATTTATTGTCCTATACATGTCCCTGCTCTGTGTCGGTTCTTATGTGAATCACCCTGTATATCATATAAGTTATTTAGTTATCTACTATTTTTTGATTCGCCATGAATGAGAGTAATAAAAGAGACAATTCGAGTGCAAGTACTTTATCATCGGAATCCATTCATAAAAATAAAAAAGCTATGTACGCAACAAATTTTCAAGATTCTTATAGATTAGATTCTTAAATAGATCAGTTTACAGCTATATGTAATATAAAGTTTACCGTTCAACATGATGTCGAAAAATCTTTAAAATCTCATTTACATAGTTAAGGACCGCAAACATGTTGTTCGAAAATACATTACTTACAGCGTTTTTACCAAAAAAAAGATTGCGACGAAGAAAACCATGTGACCATAATAGAAGTGACTCAAATTTATCACGCCCTAAATCATCATCATAGTTATTTGAGCACCGATTGCGGCATTAAACTAAATTCTTATGTTTATCGCGATCCTGATTTGGCAAAGAAGGTTCATTGCGGTCGAACAAAAGCGGAAGCGATTATTGGAAATTGTCTAGGACCTAAAAGTGTCGGCAGAGTGTTGGAAGAAATGGGCGCTGGTACAGAAACATCTCTGCCATTCTCAATTAACCAAAAGCTTTTTCGCCGTTCAAAATAAACTTTTAGACTTTGTTGAAAATAATGATGAATCTTCTTTATCAGTTAGTAAGTCTATACTGAAAATATTGAAAATTTATGCAGAATTCTCAAATAGTGCTAAAAAATCAGAATCCCTAAAAGAGTGTTTTGATTTTTTAGACATTGAATATCAAAAAATGATAAGGCATGTTACGACAAAATGGCTTTTCCTATATGCTGCTCTTGAACGTTTAAGTTTTTTTTACTGCTGGCCAAAATCGTATCTTGATGATCAAGAAGAAGATGGAGCGACAACCTTCCAAACGATTAGGGAAGGAAAAGTGAAGAAAAACAGGCAGTTATGCCTGAATATAGAAGGAAGAAGTATTACTTTGTAGCACTCTGTAGCTAAAGCATGACATGAACGAAGAGTTGGAACGTGGTTGGAACTGCAGGCTCCAAAACCCAACCGAATATCAATCAATAATCAATCAAATAAAAAATTTGAAAAATAAAAGTAATTAATACAAATTAATTTAATAAATTTACATAAAACCTGATCACATCATTAATTAATAATAATTAACAAAAAGAAATGTTTTAATTTATTATTATAACAACAAAACTTAACCTCACTTTTTCTTAATTGTTACCAATTCTTTCAGAATCTGTTAATTAATCACAATGAAATCGTAATGCTCAAAACGATGAGTATAATGATGACTTTACTTCCCAATTTCCATAATTTTAAACATTTTTACATACCTTTTATTAAAATAACTTATATATTCCATTTTCTGTTTAGAATTCAAACCAAAACTATAAATTCGAAATAAAAAATTGTAGACTTTACATGATTCTTGTTAACTCGCAATATTTATCGCAATCAAATTCTATTTATAGAACTGAGAACAAAGTTTTTCTAAATAATTGTAATTAAGTACGGGTAAGGTCGCGCATTTAAAGTTGCATAAAGTTGTAATTATTGTGTATACAAGGACAAAATATTTAAGAGGTGATTTATATAAAAAGTTTAATGCACATTTCCGTTTTATAAGTATTTTGTGAAATTTAAGATTAATTAAATTTTTTTTTAATTGTTTATTTTATTTTGGTAATTTAAATCTAACATAACCTCACATGTCGAAGATTCAATTCGAGCTGAAGAAGTAAGATATATTTATACCTAATAAGAAGTAGAATTAAAAGAATCTCTGCGACTGGAGAATGATATGAACGGAAATTCGAACTCTAAAACGTGACCATTGAAAGAAACTAACTAATAACCTCACTTTTAAAAAATTGGTTCTAAACATAACATCTAAAAAACACATTAATAGTTTAATTAACATATAATATAATGAACAAATAGAAAAATTGTGTCCTAAATGGAATTTTAAATATATACACTCCTTACAAATCGGAGTCACTGAAAGAAATTGAGTCTTCGTTGAATTAAATGATAATTGGAGGTAAATCAATGAATAATTTTTTATCAATTCTTAGCAGTGGCAATCACTATTTTGTCACATATCTATGATGTAGAAGGAAAAAGTGTTTTTTTAATGAAACATTTCTTTTTCTCAGAGCTGGATTGGACATATTTTTTATAATAACTCATTAAAATACGACCAGGATCGTTTAATGGTTTTATATTAGGACTTCTATGGAAGAACATGAAGATCTGACTTCTTTCTTGTTTTATTCAATGCAAAAAACCTAATTTTATACTTGGGTTCCATTTTCATACATCTACAATTCATAAAAAAAGACAAGAGGTTATTCTCCACATTGTAAGTATTGCATGTACATCATTACAAATGTATTGATACCTATTTCCAGTTTTTCTTGATAATTTTTAATGATGTATGAAGAGGGGAAACTTATATGACAAGTATTTCTAATCAATTTGTCAAAGTTGAAAGACATTGCTACCACCTATACATTAGACAACTATTTTAAAACTTTATTGCTAATACTAATTATTAATATAATGAGGATAATTGTATTGCTGCACTAAATTGCATCGAAATCTGTATATTTTGGCGCATACCTATCTAAAAATGGTTAAAAACCTAAAAAATATTGTGTTAAAGAGGTTGCATACCACACCAAAAATTAAAAATAAAAGTAATGAATTTTAAATATTGAAAACAACTTTTTGTATAAAAACATCCTACTCATAAACAAGATATTAAAACAATATTTAACATTTTATTTTCGCCTAAATAAACCACCAATTAGAGGAACATCATCTTCCCACTCCTATCTAAATCCTTGAGTAAAACACTTCACCAAATATCGGTTTGTTTCAATGTCATTCATCTTATTAGCTTTCTGCTATGTAGATTATGAAAGAAATAATAAAAAATAAATACAATCTAATAACCTTATTTAGTGTCTTGGTTTATTATAATTAATTAAAGGGTATGTTTAATATTTTATTTCTTAATATAATTAGAACAATATATTATTTTTAGCTACAAAAAAAATGATTATTATCACAATTATCTTATCATTATCATTCGTACTGTTTTGGTACGTGATAAAGCGGTTTTACAAAACAAAACATAATTATTGGAATTTAAAAGGGATCCCTTATTTAACCCCCTCATTTCCATTTGGAAACTTTCAAAACCCTCTAAAATTAAAAAAGTCAACTTATCTTCACCTTCAAGACATTTACAATCAATTAAAACTAAAAGGCGCTAAAATTGGGGGAATGTACGTCGGAACAATGCCGTCGTTACTTCTAATCGATCCAAATATCATTAAAAAAGTGTTCGTTCAAGATTTCCAATATTTTATGGACCGCGGCGTTCATTGTGACGAAATTAGCGAACCTTTATCGGCGCATTTATTCGCATTATCCGGGCAAAAGTGGAAAAATTTAAGAGTCAAATTAACCCCCACTTTTACAACGGGAAAAATGAAGATAATGTTCTATATTTTAATAGAATGCGCTAAAGTTATGGTACAAAAAATGAACGATGAAACAAAAATTAATCGCGATTTGGATATAAAGGAAATCGTGGCTTGTTACACAACCGATGTTATCGCTTCAGCCGCTTTCGGAATTAAATCGAATAGTTTCGAGGAAAACTCCCAATTCCGTTTTTATGGAAGGAAATTATTAGTGAACACCCCCGCGAGGCTTTTTCGAGTGTTTTTCTTAGATTTTTATCCCAATTTTGCAAAGAAACTGGGTTTAACCGTTTTTGAAAGAGACATAAACGATTTTTTTATGAAAAGTGTTAAGGATATGATTGAATACAGAGAATCCACCAATTTTAGACGAAACGATTTCTTTCAAATCTTATTAGACTTAAAAAATAGTAAAGATAAAGATCAAAATTTAAGCGTAAACGAATTAGCCGCACAGGCTTTCGTCTTTTTCACCGCTGGATTCGAAACCAGCTCAACTACAATGCAATTTGCACTTTACGAGCTTTCTAAACATCCGGAAATCCAACAAAAAGCTCGCGAAGAAGTTTTAAATGTTTTACAAAAATCTAACGGGGAGATTAATTATGAGATTTTAGCCGAAATGAAGTACTTAACACAAATTATTGAGGGTACATTTTTATTAAAATTAAAATGCTTAATTTTCATTTAAACATTTTTTTGTTTATAGAAACTATACGTAAATATCCACCACTTCCTTTTCTAAACAGGAAATGTGTAAAAGAATATTTCGTTCCTGAATGTAATGTAACTATAGATGAAGGCACAAGAATTATGATTCCGCTTTTCGGACTTCATTACGATGAGGAATATTTCCCCAATGCGAATGAGTTTAATCCGGAACGTTTCAACGAAATAAACAAACCTAAAATACCTCCGTTTGCTTATTTACCCTTTGGGGATGGCCCTAGAATTTGTATTGGGCTTAGATTTGGAATGATGCAATCGAAACTTGGGTTGGCGTTAATTTTGAAACATTTTCGCTTTACTCTCAGTGAAAAAACGATTGAACCTGTTGGGTTTCATAAGAATAACTTTTTGGTATCTCCTGAACATACTATTTATTTAAATGTTACGAAATTATAAGCATAAATACAATTTTTTACAACAAATTGATTTTATTGTTATTTAAGTGTACCCTCGTTTGATTTATCTATTAAATCGATTTGTTCTGTTCATCCTGCTTAAGTTAATTTTTTATTTATGTCTAATACAACAGATACCCCAAGACATTTATATCTCTGATTGGGTTATAAACCCACTTATTACCGATCTTACTAATGTAAATGTACGACCACACCAGGCATTGGCCACTGTGACAGGATGTTGTTTAATCGTATTTAGTTGAAATTGGGTTTAGTACTGTTTTCCTATTGTCTTGTAGTCCTTCCAAGATACTCCCCATGTTGGTGATATTGGGTCATCGAATGTAAGGTCCACAATGATGAGGACAATGAGCAATTTCTCTTATTTTGGGAGGTGTACATGAAACATTTTTCAAGAGAATACATTGTATGTTTTGACAATTTGTAATTGTCAATTCAAATTTTTATTTTTAAGTGTTACGGTGTTACCAACTGCTACATACCTATTTCCCTACATTGTCAAAATTTATTTTATTTTTGCTAAAAAAAAAAGGATAAAAAGGCGAAGTACAAAAAATAGCATAAAAAACACGTTTCAGAAGACTTAAAGCACTCGTTTCACTCGCTTCGCCACTCGTTTTTCAACTTGAATTTAAACTTCAACTTGTTGATTAATATACTATTACAGATCTTTAGTTCTGCTCATAACGTTTCTGTTTTGGTTCACTTTTTCAGTGTCAATTCCGGGCGATCCGAACGGTTTTGAATTTTTGAACTGTTCTAAAATAAAGTCCTAACGTTCGAACAGTTAACTAATCGTAGAGATAAAACAGAAATCTGTTGTAAACTGAGTACAGAGATCGAACTAACCGAGAAGCAACACATTTCGACATTTCGTAACTTAAATTTGAACCTAGCACAACGTAACTGGTTGTAGTTAGTGATACATCGCAATTTTAAACATTTTTGTATAAACATAACGATATATATTTTGCAATGAGTTGCGAAAGTGATAAAGGTAAGGGTGCAACGTATTAATTAAAAAATCTTAATTTATAAAATATACCTTTCAGATTTTACTAAGGAGCTAATAAGATTATATGGACTTTATATAAATAAAGTTGGAACCAGTTCAAACTTAAAAAACATCAACCAAATGTGGGTGCTGATTTCAAACGAGCTAAGTAAAAACGGGACAACTATTAACGACGTAAAATGTCAAAATCGTTGGAAGGTTTTAGAGAGGAATTATACAGAAATGATAGATGACCGAAAAACTGGAAGGGGGCGCAAAATTTTCGAATTTGAAAATGAGATGAATGAGGTTTTAGGAAGGAAGGCATCTATCCATCCTAAACTTTTACTAAGTGCTACCAATGAATATCCATTAAATGAATCGTTATTTTCCCAACCAAATATCTCTACAGAGGAATCAACAATAACAAATATTACAATGCCAACCTCACGAATTGCCCAAAACAGTTCCCCAATGGAACCTAATAGTTTAATAACTTTAAGTATCTCTGAGACATCAAAACAAACAAGAAAAGCTAAACCAACAGTTAGTTATAGGAGAAGGAATGGTATATTATTAGAAATGAAAAATGATTTGAAAGCGTATTATGACAAAAAAATTGAGAGTATGGAGGCAAAAAAAACGTATAGAAATAGAAAATTAGAAATTCTAGAACAATATGTGGCACTACAAAGGGAAAAAAATAATAAAAAGTAGTTTTTAAGGACAATTAGTTTAGTTTTAGACAATTAGATTTATATTTTAGTATAAGATTTTCTGTATTTATAAGTTTTTTTATATATTTTGGTATATAATATATTATTTTTTACATGTATGTGTATAAATGTTAATTAACAATCCCTTCAGTCTCTTTCCTTACCATAATTTCGATGTCACAAAAAAAGGTCTGTTAAAAAGGAACCAACAAACGTTACAAACATACCTTTTTCATTGTTACGGTTTACTTTTATGGCATGAGCAGGTAGGTTATTAAGAAAAAAAGATGTCAGGTAACATGTAGAAAGGACTTTATGGAAATATTTTTTCTAAAAAAGAAAAAAAAACAAATATTGGTGGTAACCACGAGTTCCACTGGTCATCGTGGACTGCATAAAGACAATACTAGCAACCAGAGTTGTTCAGGCTAAGGCGAAAGGTCACACAATATAGAGAGCTGTGGTTAGAGGTTGGCCACAAGGTGAAGTACTCTAGCCGCTTCTCTGGTGGTTAATGATTGATGATCTCATTCGTGAGTTAAATAATAAACATCTCTTCACTGTAGGATAGATAACATCAATGATTGGGTATTGGTCAGAAAGAAGAAATGGAATGAGCACATCTACTAAATGACAGAAGAATGCATTGAAAATAACACGGGATAAATCACCATTAGGACGAAGAAGCATTGGAAGTCCTAGAAAGATAGAGCGACAACCTTCCAAAGGAAAAGAGACAGTTACGCCTAAATACAGTAGGAGGAAGAAGTATTTTATATTTGTAAATGTAACACACGTAAGAAATAAAACCCACGGTAAAGAAAGTTTTATGAACAGGTAGCCAAAGGAAGAAGAAAGTATAACAAGAGTCAGTGGAAACTCTGTAGCTGGAGCATGATATGAACGAAGAATTCGAACTCCTAAATGCTCTAAAATCCAACCAGTTGTCAATCATCAATCAAATAAAAAACTGTAAAAATTAAACTAATTAATAGAAATTGATTTAATTAATTTACTTAAAACCTGATCATATCACTAATAATAATTTAGCAAAGAAAATGTTTTAATTTATTATTATTATAACAACAAAACTTAACCTCACTTTCTCTTAATTGTTAACAATTCTTTCAGAATATGTTAATTAATCACAATGAAATCGTAATGCTCAAAACGATGAGTATAATGATGATTGTACTTTCCAATTTCTTTAATTTTAATCGTTTTTACATACCTTTTATTAAAATAACTTATATATTCCATTTTCTGTTTAGAATTCGAACCAAAACTATAAATTGGAAATAAAAAATTGTAGACTTTACATGATTTTTGTTAACCTCACATCTCGAAGATTCGATGCACATAGGCAAAGGTTGATGTTGGCTCTACAAGAAAAACGAGTCATCCTACCAATTAATCTAGTTTCTCTATTGGCAACCGGTTCATTTGAAGTATATGTATTATTGTACGAATACTTTGTTTCTTCAAGAAAGATTGAATAAGTGTAAAAAAGCAATAAGTGTGATGATTAGTCAATTATAGAAATATGTAATTGACTGATCTAGTACCCCCTAAAGATCCTGAGAAAGACCAGTCATCCCTATTTCAAAGTGTTGTTCCATATGTTAAAACATTTGTTACTGTATGTGTTCATATATTCATAAATTGTCAAATCATGGGGCAGTTCAAAGGAACTGAAGAAGGAAGATATATACCTAATAAATAGTATTAAAAGAAACTCTGTAACTGGAGAATGATATGAACGGAAGTTCAAACTCTAAAACGCGACCATTCAAAGAAACTAACTTCTTTGATACCTATATAACCTCACTTTTAAAAAATTGTATCTCCAACCTCTACGAAGTTAAAGTACTAAAAGTATTAAAATACATTAATAGTTTAATTAACATAATAATATAATTAACAAATAGAAAATTTGTGTCCTAAATGGAATTTTAAATATATGCACTCCTTACAAATCGGAGTCACTGAAGGAAATTAAGTCTTTCTTGAATTGATTGATAATTCGAGGTAAATCAATGAATAATTTTTTATCAATTCTTAGCAGTGGCAATCACTATTTTGTCACATATCTATGATGTAGAAAGACAAAGTTTTTTTTTAATGAAACATTTCTTTTTCTCAGAGCTGGTTTGGACATATTTTTTATAATAACTCATTAAAAACGACCATGATAGTTTAATGGTTTTGTATTAGGACTTCTATAGAAGAACATGAAGATCAGAGTTCCTTCTTCTTTTATTCAATGCAAAAAACCTAATTTTATACTTGGGTTCCATTTTCATATATCTACGATTCATACAAAAAGACAAGAGGTTATTCCCCACATTGTAAGTATTGCATGTACATCATTACAAATTGATACCTACTTCCAGTTTTTCTTGATATTTTTTGATGATGTATGAACAGCAGAAACTTATATGACAAGTATTTCTAATCAATTTGTCAAATTTGAAAGACATTGCTACCACCTATACATTGGAAAAAAAATTTAAAACTTTATGGCTTATATTTTTAGGAAAACGGGTACCTAATTGTTAATATAATGAGTATAATTGTGTTGCTGCACTAAATTGCATCGAAATCTGTATATTTTGAGGCATACATATTTAAAAATGGTTAAAACCTAAAAAACATTGTGTTAAAGAAGTTGCATACCACACCAAAAATTAAAAATGATTCAAAAAGTAATGAATTTTACATATGTAAAACAACTTTTGGTGTAAAAACATCCTATTAATAAGCAAAATGTTAAAATAACATTTAATATTTTTGTTTCGCCTAAATAAACCACCAATTAGATGAGCATCATTTTCCCACTCCTATCTAAATCCTTGAGTGGAATACATCTCCAAATACCCATCAGTTTGTTTCAATGTCATTCATCTCATTAGCCTTTTGCTATATAGATTATGAAAGAAATAAGATTTAATTTTTTATAAACAAATCTAAATACAATCTAATAACTTTATTTAGTGTCTTGGTTTATTACACTTAATTAAAGGGTATGTTTAATATTTTATTTCTTAATATAATTAGAACAATACGTTATTTTTAGCTATAAAAAATGATTATCACAATTATCTTATCATTATCATTCGTACTTTCTTGGTACGTGATAAAGCGATTTTACAAAACAAAACATAATTATTGGAATTTAAAAGGGATCCCTTATTTAACCCCCTCATTTCCATTTGGAAACTTTCAAAATCCGCTAAAATTAAAAAAATCAAGTCATCTTCACCTTCAAGATATTTACAATCAATTAAAATTAAAAGGTGCTAAAATTGGGGGAATGTACGTCGGAACAATGCCGTCGTTACTTCTAATCGATCCAAATATCATTAAAAAAGTGTGCGTTCAAGATTTCCAATATTTTATGGACCGCGGCGTTCATTGTGACGAAATTAACGAACCTTTATCGGCGCATTTATTCGCATTATCCGGGCAAAAGTGGAAAAATTTAAGAGTCAAATTAACCCCCACTTTTACAACGGGAAAAATGAAGATAATGTTCGATATTTTAATGGAATGCGCTAAAGTTATGGTCCAAAAAATGAACGATGAAACAAAAATTAATAGCGATTTGGATATAAAGGAAATCGTGGCTTGTTTCACAACCGATGTTATAGCTTCCGCCGCTTTCGGAATTGAATCGAATAGTTTCGACGAAAACTCCCAATTCCGTTTTTATGGAAGAAAATTATTTGTGAACACCCCCGCGAGGCTTTTTCGAGTATTTTTCTTACAGTTTTATCCCAATTTTGCAAAGAAACTGGGTTTAACTGTTTTTGAAAAAGACATAAACGATTTTTTTATGAAAAGTGTTAAGGATATGATTGAATACAGAGAATCCACCAATTTTAGACGAAACGATTTCTTTCAAATCTTATTAGACTTAAAAAATAGTAAAGATAAAGATCAAAATTTAAGCGTGAACGAATTAGCCGCACAAGCTTTCGTCTTTTTCACCGCTGGATTTGAAACTAGCTCAACTACAATGCAATTTGCGCTTTACGAGCTTTCTAAACATCCGGAAATCCAACAAAAAGCTCGCGAAGAAGTTTTAAATGTTTTACAAAAATCTAACGGGGAGATTAATTATGAGATTTTAGCCGAAATGAAGTACTTAACACAAATTATTGAGGGTACACTTTTATTAAAATTAAAATGCTTAATTTTAATTTAAACATTTTTTTGTTTATAGAAACTCTTCGTAAATATCCACCACTTCCTTTTTTAAATAGAAAATGTTTAAAAGAATATTTCGTTCCTGAATGCAATGTAACTTTAGATGAAGGCACAAGAATTATGATTTCGCTTTTCGGCCTTCATTATGATGAGGAATATTTCCCAAATGCGAACGAGTTTAATCCGGAACGTTTCAACGAAATAAATAAACCTAAAATACCTCCGTTTGCTTATTTACCATTTGGGGATGGTCCTCGAGTTTGTATTGGGCTTAGATTTGGAATGATGCAATCGAAACTTGGGTTGGCGTTAATTTTGAAAAACTTTCGGTTTACGCTGAGTGAAAAAACGATTGAACCACTTGGGTTTCATAAGAATAACTTTTTGTTATCGCCTGAACATACTATTTATTTAAATGTTCTGAAATTATAAGTATAAATATAACTTATTACAACAAATTAATTTTCTTATTATCCAAGTGTTTCCGATCTTGGGGATTCTTGGATTAATACTCTGTCCGCTGTGTTTATGTTCAATTTCCTCGGGTTATTTACCTATTAAATCGATTTGTTCTGTTTATCCTGCTTAAGTTAATTTTTTTATAGCCGCATAGGGTTATAATTCCGGATCTTGGTGTGGAAAAACAAATTTAAGTGATGTTATTATAAAGATAACAAATCGTGGAATCACTGCAACGCAACAATAAAAGAAGAAATATAGAAAAATGGGGTGAACCGACGTGAAATAAGAAAACCAAGAAGATTTTTATGGTTATGATTATCTAGATTTGTGAGTTATTATTAATAATTTTTTAATACAACCAATTTCTAAATACTAACAAAATCGATGACAACCTATAATTTCTTCATCATCAATCCATTATTAGCTCTAATTTTACTCCATCAACTAAATTACACCCATCACAATCAAAATAATCATCCACCTATCCAACCTTACTCCACAACGAATTGAAATACGCGATAAGAATGTCTAATTTTTCTGAAAACTGCATAATTTGTGCATTTGCCCCACTTTGGCGATACAACACATTCATAGGATATTGTTGTTTAGATATAAAGTGCGATCACAAATCAACACCCTCAAAGTGCATAATAAAAATTTCAAAAATAAAAATGTTCGTGTCTTCTTGTTACTGTTTAACATTTTTTTTGGATACATCTTATCAACTTTACAATAAATTATACGACCAAGAAAATATAACGACCATCGAAATCACCTATTTAGTTTCAGACACTTTACTCGCAATGTCGATATTCTCAAGTTTTTTTAGTTTAATTTATATAAAAAGAAGATACGAAAGTTTTGTGGGTTTGGTCGCGTTGATTAATGCAAGAGAAATTTACGGGATAAAAACCATTTTTAATCGAAAAACGATAACAAAATTAAGAGCAACGAGTCGAATTTATGTTTTTTTACAAATCGGGATTTCCCTGATTTATGGAACATTTTTATGCCGAAGAATAATCACCGTAGCGTCCGCTTACAATTATTTGGGTATCGCTTTTTATTGCGCATTTGAGTTCCATATCTATACCCTGTTTTTCAAAAAGATCAATGAATCGATTAATAAAATCGTTAAACGCAAGATTTTGCTTAATCAAAAATACGAATTTAAAGAAAAATCCGATAAATTCTGGAAAAATTTGAAAGATTTAGGAAGATATCAAAGCGGGGTTTATTTCAATTTAAAAAAATATAATTTATTTATAAACGCCATGCTTGGTTGTGGGATTACCAACGCACTTTGTATACTTGTTACAACCGGATATATTATAATCAATGGGTTGTATGGAAATATTATGGTGGAGAATAACAAGGATTTTTATGCGATGATATATTTGCTTATCGTTGCTGTTTTTGGGTTTAGTAATGGAATTATTAATGCTGAAAAATTAACTAACAGTGTAAAATATAATTAGAAAAATAAATTAATGTATTAATTTAATCCCTTTTTAGAATGAAAAGATATTATCTCAATTAACAAGATATCCGATAAGTGAATTATCTCTCATTGAAGGAATTCAAGTATTGAATTAGAAAAATTTAAGAATCATCATGTGGTTTAAAATCAACGATTTTTTTAATCAATGTAAATGGCTCAAAAAACAGGTTAAAAATAAAAAGAAAGTGCGGAAAAGTGACCGAAAAATCACATTAAAGTTTGGATGTGATATCACGTTCTGTTAGATAGACAGTGTGTCAATACACTCTATGTTAATACTAAAACTAACATTAGATCTACACTGAGAAAAATAATATAGGAAAACTACCTAACATTTAGCCATATTATCTAGAATTTTTAGTCAAAAATTAGCTAACTACTACTACTAGTTATAAAAACTAATTCTATTTCGATAATTTAAGATAGATAAATGATCGAAAAATGTATCTTATAAATACCTAATCAAATTAGTTTCATTATATAATATTAATAGATGTTTTTACTATTAATATTATTTTATTATTAATGGTAGTAGATAACTTTATTACTTAAATATTGTAGACGTCACACCTAAATTTTTGTATTAAGAAATATTTTCTATAAACGATCGATGTAACGATGAAAACAGGTAGACAAAACGACTGAAATACATTTAAATAAAGTATTTAATAATAGTACATTTGTCCATTTAGGTAAAATATTTCATTGTTAAATGTATATAGATATTCAGACTAGAACAAAACACCAAATACTTTAGGTAACTAAACTACTCAACAACTAGACTTATCAACTAGTTTCCACGATGTAGTTTCTTTTCTAAAAATTAGTTATATCTCCTCAGTAAATAGATAAATTAACTATCATAAATTTGACTAATTAGAATTGTCATCTAAATTACGTTAGGTAAATGAATACATTTTCTAGCAAAAATGACTATATGTGTAACAACTAAATTAATTTAGTTCAATTTTCCATATCATTTTTCTCAGTGTAGTGATAGTGTTAGAGTAAAACTAGAACTAAGACTAGACCTAGAAATATTCGGGTTTACCCGTGCGTATTCGATTTACGTATTGCAATACCAATACTGTGATATTGGTTGCATACTTGTAATGATGACGTGGGCTACGATTAACACAATTAATTAATTAATTAACACACTGTATATGGTTAGCACGGTCGATGATGTCGAAACTTTAAAGTGATTGTTCGGTAAGTTTTACACTTTTCCGCACTTTCTTTTTAGTTGTAAGGGCTTACTTGAGTGATTTCCCGTCGATTAAAAAAAATTATCGATTTTTAAACGACATGATGATTCTTGGATTATACACAGCTCAAAGAAATTAGGGTAACACTTTTTTCGAAATCTGAAACTTTTCAATAGTAGAGTACAAAAACAATGTTACAACTTTCTTCTAAGTTACACTTAAAAATGTAAATTAATAATGCAAAACAAAGTGGAAACGACTCTTATCATAGTATTGACGACAGTCGGATTTTCTGTGGATTGGTGAGGCTTAATACCGTGTATGCCCTCCACCAGCACGGATCAATTCATCACACCTGCGTAGCATGCTTCGCACTAGTCTGCGAAGATTATAGATCTCCCGTATGATTAGTGGTGGACTAGGGCGTTTGCGAACACGTTGCTCAAGCTGATCCCACACATGTTCAATAGGATTCAGGTCAAGACTTAACGCCGGCCATTCTTGCAAAAAGTTTCTGGCGATGCCGGCGATAAGTGGCTTTGCATTGTCCAGCATTAGGCTGAAATTTTGGCACCACTTCGTCCTCCAAGATGTTTTCGATGTAATTCATGGCATTTACTCTACCAGGAACAACAACAAGATCAGTTCTGTTGTCTATACTGATTACAGCCCAAACCATAACAAATCCCCGACCAAATCTATCCGCTTCCTGAATAGTAGCGGCTGCGTAACGTTCACCAGGACGTCTATATACACGTACTCGACCATTGCAACGAGTTAAACGAAATCTGGACTCGTCTATAAACAGTACAGGCGTCCAGTGACGAAGTTGCCAATCTCTATGATCCAGAGCAAACCTTTTAGAGGTGTTCTAGGTTTAAAATTCGCTTCTTTTAATCCGTTTCTAACAGTTTGATCTAAAAGGACAAGAAATCGATCTTGATTTTGAGTAATTTTTCGATTTCGACCTTGTCCTGCTCTTCTAACATGTTGGCCAGTCTCCCGAAACCGATTCCATAAACGTTGAATAACAGAAGGGGAAACTCAAAGATCCCTGCTAACATGTCGAATAATAATAATAATGTTTATTGCCTCAAAAATAAATATTTACATAAATACATATACCGGGTGTCCCTCAGAAGTGGCTCACCCCCATATTTTTCTTTATTATTAGCGATATAAGAAAATCATTTGGAATGCATAATTAGGCCGTTAAAACGGATTATTACGACATGAAATCATTCTCTTTGTACTTCCGGTTATACCGGATGTGAGTACTAATTGCCCTATTTTTTTAAATCTATAATTTTTTTTGTTCAGTTAGGGTAGACAGCATAATTTCACATAACTTTTACTTGAAAAATTTTTCACGACCGCTTATAATTTTTGAAAAAAAAATTATTTTCGTTATTTTTTAACGTTTTAATACATTCGGAAAATGTATTACAACTTTTTACGCATAGTAGCTAGTTAATAGTATAAACTACTCTCCTCATGTTCCTCTTGATTTGCTATTTCTGGAGCAGTGATCATTGCTATGCTTTAGTCAGTGGTTCTTTTTTAATAATGGTGTAAATTAACAGTTGCATTAAATTAGTTTTAAAAGAAAAACGCGATCAAACGCAAAAAGTATGGAAAGAGAAGTAAACCCTCTTACAGACTCCCTGAACTTGTGGCCGCCAAGACGTCGCCGAATCCATTACCACACCAAGATTTTTGACCGTATTAGAAAACGGAATAACGGTATCGCCAAGCACTACTTGAAGGGTAGTTAAGGAATTAAATTGTGCCAGCAAGAGGCGAGTGCCAAATGCAATGGCTTGCGTTTCACCTGGATTCAGGTTAAGCCCATGACGTTTAGACCAGTCAAGTATACTAGAGAGATCGTTGTTAAGATTCAGCAACGCATCTGGGAGGTTGTTAACAGTTGACGAAATATAAAGTTGAAGGTCATCTGCATACAAATGATAGTTACACGAGATACCATCACTAAGACTATTTATGAAAATTGAGAAGAGCAAAGGATGCAGCACACTGCCCTGGGGAACTCCACATTTGATGTCGACATTAGAAAAGAGTACAGATTCCACGCGGACACATAAAGACCGATAGGAAAGGTAGGACTGGAACCAAGATACACAAGAAGAGGTAAAACCAATAGCAGAAAGCCTAGTTAACAAGAGGGCATGGTCCATAGAATCAAAGGCCTTACTAAAATCAGTAACACTAGCAACGTAACACAACGTTTATCACAAGCAGATCTAATATAATCGGTGATCTTAACCAGTACTGTAGTAGGATAGAATAGAAATGGGTCGAAAATCATCAACATGGGACGGAGATTTAATTTTTGGGATAGGAATAATATGGGCGATTCGCCAGATTATCAGAAATATAGACTGTTGAAAAGAACAGTTGAAAATATGTGTTAGGGGAGTAATAACTATATCCTGAATGGTAAGAGGAATCTGTGTCCAATACCATTTGTTCCAACACTAATACACTTGGAGTAAGTTAAAGCATCCCAAACCTCAGCATCTGTAACCAAGCTGAATGAAAAAGAAAGCACGTTGGTAGATGCAAAATACTCCGCTAGAGCAGCAGCATCAAGAGTAATATCATCTCTATAACACCAAGTAATCACATTGTTTTCCAAAATGTCTTATGAGTGGCCTCAAATAGAGTGGCCATGCTGAATAAGAGCGACAGCACGAGCAATTTGCACTTCACTAAGATGCCAAGATGCCTCATAACGCTTCTAATCAATGAAAATTGACAACTGAATTCATTTGTCATCTTTAGTATGCTTTAATTCGCGAATTCAAAGCATACTTGAAATTTTTTCCACTTATTTTTTCGTTATTAATTTACATTTTTTAGTAAACTAAGAGTTGTAACATTGTTTTTGTAATTTTCTTTAGTTAAATATATGAAGTAAATCAAATTTGATTTGCCTACAACAATTATTTAAAAAGTTACAGATTTCGAAAAAAGTGTTCCAATAATTTTTTTGAGCAGTGTACCAATAAATTAAATTAATTTGATATTAATTCAACCATTTTGTTGCAGATTGAAAATATTATAAAACAATTACAAACACAAAAACCCACAATAACCGAATCAAACATGTTTAATATTAATGCAGCTTTAACAGCATCTGTAAGCATCATCTTTTAGAACCTAACCTATATTCTCATCAATTTCTTTTAAAGATTGCAAGTACGGTAATTACATATATCTTGGTGATTTTACAATTCCATCCAGTTTGGGAAAAGTAATTAAGTATTTTGAAGTACATTAAGAAATTTTGGAATAACAGTTTCCTCAGAAAATCTTTCAAGATCAATATTTAAGTGTTTTCGAGCATCCAAAGCGTTTGTAGGGTTATCACAGAAACCAGAAAGTTTTTCAAATAATTCATCTTCGTTTTTATATAAACATTCCTTGGGATAAATTTCTGGATAAACTAAATCATTAGGAACAAGAGGATAACAACCTAAATATGTTGATTCTAACCTAAAAAAAAAATTTGTATCATTGTAACATCAAATTTTAAATAACTTACATTGCAACACCAAAAAATTCGTGATCTGCAGTTGAAACGACAACATGGCCCATACCTAAATAATTTAAAAAGTCACATCTATTCTGTATATAGCCATAATTAAGAATATTTTCTTTTAATGTATCTTTCGCTTTAAGAAATATTTCTGGTATTTCTGAATATTGTTCTCCTAAAAAGGATACAACAAATTCTTTTCCAAACTCTTTTAATTTAAAGAGAGTATTACAAAATTTTTCCGGATTTTTATCATATTCCCAACGATGTGGCCATATTATATGAAGCTTAGATGGCCTATTATCTTTTTCTCTGTTAATAATTGGATAAGATATTGGATAATATAAAACGATACATTTCGATTTGATCTTTTCTGTTATATTTTTTGGTTTAAAATCGGGAATTATTTTAATAATTTTATTTATATTCGTTAAGAATGAGTGTTGGTTAAAAGTTGAATTAAAAATAACTATGTCTGCACATAAACTAAAATAAAAATTAAATAAAATCAAAAAGATAATTATATATGTTTTATACCAAGTTGTTATTTCATTAATTTGGTACTGAACGTCTCTTTCTTTCATTACTTGCACAGGATAAACAAGTTGATTTTCATGAAAATAAACAACTTTCTTTAAAACATTTAAATCTGGTCTCAACCCAAGTAATTCAGCTAGATTTAAAACAGAAGTACAAAATAAAACCTTCTCATTTTTGATTGGTGGTATTAAATCTGATAGGATAAATCCAGAACATCTTGCTTTCCAATGCCATTTCTTTGGCTTTAAATAAACAGTAGTGGGTTTATCCACATCTAAAAAGATAATTTTGTATTCGAGATGAATGTATTAGTTTGATTGAGTACATTTAGTTAATGTATCAATAAGTTGTTTATGAGAACCTCCATGATATGGATTAATAAATAAAACGTTCTCAACATTTTGCATTTTCAAATACTTTAACGAATGTGAGGTTATGTCAGGTTCAGGTTATGTTATTTATTGCAGGGCTGAATTCAAGGTTTATAGAACATAAGGTTACCTCATTCCCTATGCCTCTGTAGTATCGATTATTACCCCGCAAATTGACGTCACTGGTTCGATACAGTCAGAATAAAAGATAGATACGTGCCAACGTGCCTATACTGTGGTACAGTCTATATAAAATATTTAAACCTCGCATCGTGTTGTCCTTGTTTATAGATATATCTATAAACAAGGACGTTGTGTTGTTCATAGAACCAGCTACGTCACTGACCCACCTTGCCTCTCAGAGGAGGAGAATCGGTATTGGGTAACCTTATGTTCTATAGACCTTGGGCTGAATTTTTGATATAAACTTGTAGTTATCTATGCTTGGGACTGATTGTATGTGGAAATCCCCCGTAAGAGGGCATTAGCGTCTATACTGAAATAATTTAATTAAACTAACAATTTGGTTATTAATAATGGGAATGATAAGAGACAGCAATAACAATTTTATTATTACCAGTATTTGTTTAATTTGAATTGCTTAGCGGTATGGTTGCGTACGAATCTAGACAACCTCATATATAAACCTTAGCAAAGGCCTAGCAGTGACGTCATTGGAAGAATTGACATTTCTATGTTTTTATTTATACAGTGTATTTCCCTTAAGAAGCAATACACAAAAATATAAAAATATTAAAAAAAAAGATATAAAATAAAATAAAAGAAACATGAACGGTTATAATTTTATTATTGTTAGGTTATCCAACTTGACTCGGTTACCATGGTGATTAAGATCCAAATATTGCAGGTGCTTGTCAAAATTGAAATTGAATTTAAGTTTTTTTTAAGGAAAAAGTCTTATTTAATTGGTTTAAAGGGCTGTATTTAACTCAAAATTGGTTTATCTAGGGTATTATAAACAAGGTAAGTGGATTAAATCAAAAAAAGATATTTTTACTTTATTTCTCTTAATTAGAATCGATTTAAATTAATTACAATTAACGAATTTGTTATGAATGCAAAATAATCGTAAAGAATTCGAATTGTTTTAAAATTAATAAAAATTAGGTTAGAATTGATAAAAAAATCGGAATAAAATTTTATTATTTTAAGGTTATCCAACTTGACTCGGTTACCATAGTGATTAAGATCCAAATATTGCAGTTGCTTGTCAAAATTGATGTTGAATTTAAGTTTTTTTAATGAAAAACACATAATTAATTGGATGTAAAGGTTGTATTTAATTCAAAATGGGTAAATGGATGAAATTATAAGCAAGGTAAGTGGATTATTTAATGGAAATATTATTACTTCCGGTTTGAAACATTAACGTCAATTTTGACATATTTGTCATCTTCATTAAAAAACCTTTAAAATGAATCCAAACATGACGCACTTATCTCAAAAAACAAAAAAGTTAGAATAAAAAACGTTAAATCCGAAGTTAGCAACAATGAAGATAGCAAATTAACTTAAATATTAATACCAACCTTAAATTTTTTATTATATTTTTGTTTTTGTGACAAATATTAAGACATCTTATAAAAATTAAGAATATGTCAAAATGACGTTGACATTTCAAATCGGAAGTTGCTTATATCTCGAGTAATATTGGAATTAAACGTATCATGTTTGGACTCATTTTAAAGGATTTTTCACGACGATTACAAATATGTCAAAATTGAGGTTGACATTTTAAATATGAAGTTAGTTATCATATAATAGACAAATGGACAACTGCATGGTGTTCTTTTATGATGTATTCTTTATTAAAAAAAACCTTTAAGATGAGTCCAAACATGACACACTTATCTCAAAAAACGAAAAAGTTTGAATAAAGAAACGTTAAACACAAAGTTAGCAACAATGAAGATAGCAATTTAATTTTTAAATGTTAATACCAACCTTAATTTTTTATTATATTTTTGTTTTTGTGACAAATATTAAGACATTTTATAAAAATTAAGAGTTTGTCAAAATGACATTGACATTTCAAACCGGAAGTTGCGTATATCTCGACTAATATTGGTATTAAACGTATCATGTTTGGGCTCATTTTTAAGGATTTCTCACGACAATTATAAATATGTCAAAATTGACGTTGACATTTCTAACCGGAAGTTGACCATAACTTCATTCATATTGAAGATAAATATGTCGTGTTTGTACTCATTTTAAAGGATTTTTAATAAAGATTACAAATATGTCAAAATTTAGGTTGACATTTTAAATCTGATGTTAGTTATCATATAATAGACAAATGGACAACGTCATGGTGTTCTTTTATAATGTATTTTTTATTAAAAAAAACATTAAAATGAGTCTAAACATGATGTTGCTAGATATCACTATGTTGTATATTTTTATTGCACTAAAATTAGAACTAACACTAGACCTAGAACTAGAAAAATTCGGGTTTAGCCGTGCGTCTGAAGACGAGATTTGTTTTCTGAAATAAAAAACCTACTTCTATACGGAAAAAACCTCCATGATATGGATTAATAAATAAAACGTTCTCAACATGTTGTATTTTCAAATACTTCAAGGCATTTAAGGTTATGTTGTAGATTGCTTGTAAATGTTGGGGTTAAAAGTTTTTGATTATTCTAAATTTATAAGAAACTCTTAAAAGACAATTTGATAAAGAATAAATTTAATAATAAAATATACAACAATGTATAATTAGCATAACAAAAATGTATCATGTGGTATCGAATATTTAAAAAATTAATTTTGAGAAGAAACCAACAAGTAATCTTATTTAGACATGGATGAAGTGCTAACAGACTAAGAGAGCTGATTTGAGGAAAAATTAAAGACATTAAAACATTTTTTTAATCTGGCCTCCAGATACCAAAGTATTTGTATTTGATATGATATTCTTATCATAAAGCTTAAATAATCCATTCCAGCTTTTGAAATCTTTTTAATCATGTTTCTCAAACAATAAAAACTATAACGTGAATATAAAATGTTTGGAAGTTTTAAATATTATTGTGTGGACAATAAAAGTAATAAAACCAAAGGAATTAATATCATATTATAAAACTTTATTATTGAATAGGATACACTCAAATCATAACAATAATAGGTACGTAATAATCATTACAATCTTTGTTCAATTAAATCCAAAAATTCCATCTACTTTTTTATTAATAATTTTATTATACATATTTTCTCTCTATTTCGCATTTATAAACGTTTAGATCTACAATTTGTACATATTAAATCTACACTAAGAACGGTTTTAAAATGTAAAAACATTTTTTTTTGTTGAAAAAGTGAGGTTAGATGACAGAAATGTTGAGAAAAGTGAGGTTAGGATTTTCATTTAAACCTTAAATTGGCGTAATCTTCAAAAAAATCTCTATTTATCTTTATGAGTCGTGCAATTAATAAAATGAGCATGAAATCCTCTTGGAAATATTAAATTTTAAAATGTAAAAACATATTTTTTGAAAATGTGAGGTTAGATGACAGAAATGTTGGAAAAAGTGAGGTTAGGATTTTCATTTAAACCGTAAAAAGACTGTATTTGCCGTTATGAGTCGTGCAATTAATAAAATGAGCATGAAATCGTCTTGGAATTAGGAATATAAATATCGAATGCTTAAAATCTAAAATATTACGTAGCTAATGACGTATGTACGAAAAGTGTGTTATCATTTTGAGGCTATCACAGCACTTTTACAGCGTTTATACATCTATACGGAAAAAATTAAACTTTTTAATCGTATTCATGGCTATTCTCCTTCGTTGGAAGTAAATTTTCGTGTTCCTCATCTTCAACCACTTCGGTTATTAAGCTTTCTTTCTTCAGTTTGTGTTTAACATTGACTCTTGATACTCCTTCCATTGCCCCAATTTCCGTCAGTCTAGAAAACACTCTAAGAGTCAAATTAAAAATTAAACATGTTGGGAAAAAATTAAACAAAAATTAAAAATAAAAAAAATAATAAATAAATTAAATTAAATATAACTTACACTTCATCTTCGTCTTCATCATCGGAAGGTACAGAAAAATACGGATTATGAGCCGCCGGTCTAAATTTATATCCGGTCAATACAAAGAAAACATAAGTAGCCATTTCACGGAACATTTCGTGTAACCACCCATATTGAAATGGAACGGTAATTTTTAACAGATAAACAATAATCCTGGTAAAATAGATGTAACAAACGATCATTACATAAAAATGTCGAAACAGTTTTAATTTTTTTAAATTAACCGCTGCTTTCCCATCAGTTTGCGAAGCCTCCTGTAAATGTCGAATTGACCAAACGACCGGGAACAAAATGCATCCACAACAAAGCAAATCGACGAGTATAAAAACATCTTGCCAGGCGCGATGTTCCCGAGCCCCTTCTTCGCTTTCCTCCAAGATAATTTCAGCGACATTCGCCAAAACTTGTAGCGGAATTACCGTCATAAATAATCGTTTATCCCTGGGTGCTAAAACGTGTTTAATAAAAGTCCATCCAGTTCCTATTAGAACTAACGTAATGAAAAGTAGCGCCCCTTTTAAAAGATGGGCAACGTAAAAGAGAACGGCCCAAGTAGCCAAGTGAACACCCTTAATTTCAATGAAATGATAATTAACTCCGTGAAAAGCCAAAGAAATCGACTTGATAAAAACCAAAGTTGCCATTAAATAATGAATTTTAAAGACGGGGTGTCGCGATTGTTTTAAGAGGAACACCCAAAAACAACCGGAAAGGAAAAAAAGGAAAGCCATTGTACAATATAAAGCTGGTAAAGGCATCTCTCCTGCGGATAAGAAGCTACCACCGGCGTTTTCTTCAATAATTTTCATCTAAAAATAATTAATTAGTATTTTTTTAATTAAATAAAACGTTTCTTACAGTAAAAGCATACATAACATCTCGTTTGTCGGATTTGTAATTGGGGCAACTATGAAAATAAAGATTATAAAGCCCTTCTCCACTATCAGTTTCAACCGTCATTGAAAACTAAAACATTTTTAAATATTATTTATATAAATTTTATTATTTTTTTTGTTTCTTACGCTTGTATTGTAATAAACAATCCCAGTTTTTTTATTAACAACCTCCGTTACTGGTAAGGTAAGGCTACGAGATTCAGGAACATTTATAACCTCCCTTGTGACGCGTTGAAGAAGTTTTTTATCACCGAAAACGTCCGATTTAGAATTGGTTAATGGAATATCTTCTCGTTGCTTGTAGATATGAACACCATTGTGCCAACCTTTACTACAATTAACGGTCATTCTACAACAAAAATGTTTCAATACAATCAATGACTAATCAAATCAGTGTTAAGCGATTTCAAAATAATCTTAAACAATAGGTGATTAATTCGAAAAAATTTTGGGAAAAATTTAAGAATCATTATGTGACTTAAAAATCGACGATATTTTTTAATTAATGTGAAATAACCCAAAAAAAATAAATAAATAAATAAAAAGAAAGTGCGGGAAAGTGTAGAATATACCGAAAAATCACATTAAAGTTTTGATGTGACATCACAAGCAATGTTAACTGATGTTAACCATGCATTTTCCTACTAAACCGGTCACATCTAATCTATAAATGGTTTATTTTATAGCCACGCACAAAATCAATCTGATAAACTTAAAAGTAAAGTTATTTTCACTAAACTAGGTGAGATTATAACGTATATTTACGAATGAAACAACCTGTTGTTAGATAGACTGCGTGTCAATAGACTCTGTATTAATACTAGATCTAACACTAGACCTAGAAGAAGATATATCGCATCTGGGTGACAAAGAATCGGGTGTTGTAGCAGCAATTTTGAAACCTGTAATGGAAGGGACACAGAAAGATATCACTCAACAAACGAATAGTCTTAACCCAGTAGTATTGTAGTCTCCAAGCAGTTAGTAGTGTTTTGGCAGCAGTATATAGTCTTCTGAAAGCATTAAATAGTTTTTTCCAACAATATCTAACTTTCTCCAAGCAATTAGTAGTCTTTCCAACAATATTTAACATTCTGAAAATAGTTAATAGTCTTATGGAAACAGTATCTTGTCTTTCCAAGCAGATAATAGTTTCTCCCAGCAGTATTTAATTTAGTCTTCTCCAAGCAGGTCGTAATCTTTTCTAGTAGTACATAGCACTCTGAAAGCAGTAAGTAGTCTTATGGAAGCAGTATCTCGTCTTTCCAATCAGTTTGTAATTGTTTGTTAGCACTATCTAGTCTTCTCCAAGCAGATTGTAATCTTTTTTACCAGTATCTAGCATTTTGAAAGCAGTAGGTGGTTTTTTGGAGAGCATATCTCTTCTTTCCAAGTAGTTATTAGTCTATTCCAGCAGTATCTAACATTCTGGAAGCAGTAGATAGCTTTTTGGAAAGCACATCTCTTTTCCAAACAATTATTAAAGTCTTTGAAAGCAATAAGTGGTCTTGGAAGCAGTATTCCGCTTGTCCAAGTAGGTCAAAACCTTTAACAGCAGTATTTAGCGTTCTGGAAGGCATAGGTGTTATTTTGAGAACAGTATCTAGTCTTTTCCAAGTAAGTTCTGGCCTTTTTCTGCAGTATCTAGCATTTTAGAAGCAGTAGGCAACTTCTTGAAATAGTGTTTCCACTTTCCAAGCAGTTTTAAGTTTTTTACTAATAGTATTTAATCTTCTGATAGCTTTAGGAACCAATAAGTTAGAGAGGTAGGTGGGCAAGAAGGTATAGATTTTAGGTTATCTATAGATGGTGCCCCAATTTCGTTGTCCACATAGGCTATCTCCGAAACTAAAAGAGGTAGAGAAAAAGTAGCTTACATGTCATGATCTCGTTTTTCGAGAAAATGCTAATGCCGAAAACTGCGAACAGCTATCGTCTTTTGTTTTCGCCCTATCGGCAAAAATAGAAAATTTTGCGAAAATGACAATCGCGAATAATATCTCATTTATTATCAAAGATGGAGTATTATATAAAAACATTATATGGGCAACTTTTTACGAAGAATTCAGTGGCGTAGGTAGAATTTATTTCCCATCTTTTATTTTCGAGATTTTACAAGTATGTAACTTTATTTTTATATACCTATTTCTCTGAATATTCTCAACGAAGATTCGGGTTCAATATATGCTGTGCCCTTTTAAATAATAGAATTTTGACATATTGTATCTACCATGAAAACTTAAACTCAGGTAGATACCTCAATATATTAAGACAGCACATTAAGCCTTATGTTACAATTTGCCATTAAATGTCTCAAATGATATATGACAATCTTTGGTAATTATTGGAAACATTGTTTTCCATCATGATATGGTTATCACTATAACAACATTAACTTTTAAATGTATACAATAGTTTTAGAAAGAACAAAAAGAATTTTTGCTAACTATTCAATAACTATAAGAAATATACCCAACAAACTATATACAGGGTGGTTCAGTTTTTAATCGGGAATCTTTACTAGGACGTAGTACTTGCCAAAATAATATAAGTTTTTTATATAAACATAGGGCCGCAATTCTTTTGTTTTCAAGCTATGAGCCGTCAAAGTTAAGCCAAAAATTTATATTTTATCTTTTATTTCGGGTATAAGTAAATCGTAGAATTTAAAATTTTGTATGTTGGTACTACTGGTTAATACCTTATTTTCAACCATACCTTAAACTTCCCTAGCGCCCTCTAAGGGGATGAAATTCACAATCGCTTTAATTTTTTTATAACAACTTTTTAACGCCATGGAATATTAAAATAAGAAAATATGGGTTGTAAAGCTTATTCATTATTGGTACTTTTTTATCTCTTTAGTTTTTTCCTTAATGATAATAGTTTTAGCATAAAAAAATAAAATATGCTACATTGTACTGTAAAGCGCTGCTATTATTAAAAAAAAATTTTCTTTATAGCTGGCTATGGACATTGGGCACTTACTAGGATCTAGTACTAACTAAATAACACCAATTAATTGTGATTTTCATAAGAAAAACCATAAATAAGATTAATGTCTGGCTGAACAAATTACGTTGTTTTAAACAATGTTAAAAAATTGATACTGTTGATACAATTATGAGGATTCACCGTAAATGAAACTTACAAGTTCTCACAGCCAACTTTTAGAATAAATTTAGCTCAACATGGCGGCACATAACTGTACATGGCACGATATTTTATTTTGTTACACGGAAACTATTAACTTTAAAGAAAATACTAAAGAGACAAAAAAGTACCACTAAAGAATAAGCTTACAACCCATATTTTTTATGTTAATATTCCATAGCGTTAAAAAGTTCTTATAAAAAAATCAAGGGGGTGGTGAATTTCATCCCCTTAGAGGGCGCTAGGGAAGTTTAAGGTATGCTTGAAAATAAGGTATTAATCAGTAGTACATACATACAAAATTTCAAATTCTTCGGTTTAATGATAATAAAATGAAATAAAAAGTAAAATGTAAATTTTTGGCTCAACTTTGATCGTTCATAGCTCGAAAACAAAAGAGTTGCGACCTTATGTTTATATAAAAAACTTGTGTTTTTTATGCAAGTACTACATCCTAGTAAAGTTTCCCGATTAAAAACTTAACCACCCTGTATATTTGTTATCAGAAGGAAATAACAAATTATTTTACGTCATAGCCAACTATAGTTTCCATTTAAAAAAATAAAGTTACTTGTAAAATCTGGAAAATAAAAGATGGGAAAAAAATTCTACCTACGCCACTGAATTCTTCGTAAAAAGTTGCCCATATAATGTTTTATTTATAATACTCCATCTTTGATAATAAATGAGATATTCGCGATTGTCATTTTCGCAAAATTTTCTATTTTTGTCGATAGGGCGAAAACAAAAGACGATAGCTGTTCGCAGTTTTCGGTATTAGCATTTTCTCGAAAAACGAGATCATGACATGTAAGCTACTTTTTTTTCTATCTCTTTTAGTTTCGGAGATAACCTATGCGTACAACGAAATTGGGACACAATGTACGTCGAAAACCTAAGAAACAACCGTATTCCACCTGAAAATATGTGTTTTAATCAAATGTGCTGCGAAAATATATGGTTAACACGTTCGATGACGTCACAAAAAGTGACGTCACGTCGAAACTTGAGTGATTCGTCGATTAAAAAAAAATTGTCGATTTTTAAGCGGCATGATGATTCTTAAATTATACAAAGTGATTCTAAATTGATGTGAAAGATTTCAAGGGATGATTTTCAGCAAAAATTAAGGGGGTCTTTCATATAACTTTTTGTTTAAAACCCGTTCACCACCAAGTTACAGCTCTATAAAGTTAGGGAAAAAAAATACAAATAACTATACCGGGTGTAACAGGATCATGGTACACCCCCGTACCTCCTTTAGTTTTGAAGATAATTGATTCAAATTTGGGACATCCTATACACATGATAAGAGACACTTTTTGACATACAAGTAATTTTTTTTTCAATTCCGGTTTCGCCGGAAGTGACACTAACTTTAGATTTTTAAATGGAACAGCCTGTATATTATTACATTTTTGAAATTTGAATAATTTTCTGAATCCAATGGTACCACATAAGTGACATTTCAAACGTCAATATTTTTTAGAAAATGACAACTAACTAAAAACTAGAAAACTAAAACTAAAAACTAATAAAATGACACTTTTTGACGATTTTTATAATCCAAAAATGTTATTACACGGGGGTGAAGAAATGAAAAGACACCGTAGTTTTTATGTCGTATTTTGTTTATTGATGAGGCCAGTTTTTCAAAAGAATCCATTAGTAATTTCCGTAACAATCACGTATGGGCTGAAGAAAATCCACATAAAATTGTTGAATCCAAGTTTCAACATCAATTTTCATTAAATGTGTGGCTTGGTGTCATTGACAATGATTTAATTGGACCATATTTTCTTCCAATTAGATTAAATGGCGCGCCAGCTTCTCGATGATGTTTCAATGTTTTGTTCATGCCAGTGCATTTTAATAATAATAATAATAATACGAAATTCAATGAGGCGAAGGGTAGAATCGTGAGTTGCTGCTGAGGGGCGGCATTTTCAACATTTATTATGAGTTATTATGATATTTTGTTAACGTTGTTATTATTTGTTTTTGTAATTTTGTTAATTGTTATTACTAGTACAATTATTATTGTGGTATTTCTTAATTTACATATTTCTTCAACTAAATAGTAAACGCTATTCTTTCAATATGACTTCTGTTTTCAGTAATTAGTCTGAATTTATGCCATATATATTTTTTCTGATCAAACTAACAGTTTTATAAGAAAATGTAAAAAGACAATAAAGTTGGAAATTGAATCCGTCTTTTTAAATCAAGTTTTTAAATAAAAAAAACATTCAAAACTTCTACTGCAAACTAATGTAGGGGTGGTTTTCTCAACCCCACATTATTGTTCAATTTGTTATTGTGATATTTCCTAATTTACAATAAGTAATATTCTTCAACTAAATAGAAAATGCCATTCTTTCAAATAGTTGCGTTTTTAAATAGAAAAATGTAGACATTAAAAAGTTCTGATGCAAAATATTATAGGGGTTGATTTCTTCACCCCCTTGTGATAACATTTTAGGGTTACAAAAATCAAAAAGTGTCATTTTACCCCTACCAAATTTCATTCTTCTAAATTCCTCCATAGTGGATTTATTAAATAAAAACAATTTTTTCCCCTAACTTTAGAGGGCTATAACTTGGAGGAGAAAGTGTTTTGAACAAAAAGCTATATGAAAGACACCCCTCAATCCTTGAAATCTTTAGCATCAATTTAGAAACACCTGTATATTCTTTGAATTATATCATTCTTGAATTATGTTTCAATACAATCAATGACTAATCAGTGTTAAGTGATTTCAAAATAATCTTAAACAATAGGTGATTAATCACAAAAAAAATTTACTCACATTTTGTTATTTAAATCCAAAATGAAATAAATTATATCGGTGTCGTGTTCCGTACGGAATTTTTGCGTTAACAAACATTCATTTTGATGCGTATCTAAATACGGGTTCATTGCATCATTTAATGTTCGATCTAAACTAAATCCAAACTAAAACAGTATAAAAAAAAATGTTTTGATGTAAACTTATTGTATTAATTATGCATACCATGTCACTTTTTGATAAAGGCGTTGCAGTAAAATGTTCTAATTGCACATCTAATCTACCACCTTTATAAAAACCGAACGTACTTAATGCTATATAGTTACGAGTGTCATTCTAAAAAAGAAAAAAATTGATTTTATTAAAATTAATTATCTTTAGTTTATACTTACGCTGATGTTAATTTTATGTATCCTCCCAAAACACAAGTTTAAGGTGGCTAATAACGTGAGATATCGCAAAATATGATTAAACATCTTCGAAAAATCGAAATTAAATTCTCTACAAGGTTTTTATTCAATGCGAAGAAAAAAATTTTTAGTTTGTGTTTAAAGCTTCATTGCATATTATCACCAAGTAATTATTACGATCAATATCAACTTTATTGCTTCGTACGTTTTATTTTAAATACACAACCGCATTGTAAACTGCTTTTAAGACTTTTAGTAGGAAAACGTCAATTTTTTAGAATGACGTTTGGCATTTGACATTTCGGAAGTAATCGGGATTAATCGGATTTAGAGGGGGATTTAAATTAAATCCATTAAATCCAAAACATTATTATTACAAAATTTATTTCTTAACGTTTTCTAAATAATTTAAATTTTTTATTTATCTTGTCAAAATGATTCAACAAATTAATTTTATTTATTTATAACACTTCTTAATCAATAATTATTTTAATTTAAAAAAAAAATTAATCAGGTGTACCACCACCATTATTTTGAAACCAACGAAAACCCCTAGTAAGAACTGTCAAATATGTCAAAATCGGCTGTTTGTTTATAATTTTATATTTTACCAAAATATTAAGATGGTTGAAGAAGTTAAAAAATATTTACAACAATTCTTAACGAACGTTTCAGGTTTATACAGCATAATAATATCAGATAGAGATGGCGTTCCGGTGATGGTGGTTACTTCTGAATCATCTCTACAAATAGCAACAAAACCAACGTTTTTATCCACATTCAGCTTGGCTGTCGATCAAGGGAGGAAATTTGGACTAGGGAAAATGAAGACGTTAATCTGCTCTTATTCCCAATATCAAGTTATTCAAATGAATAAACTCCCATTGATTATTACATTTATTGCAAGTGATTCTGCAAATACTGGGCACATATTATCTTTGGAGGAACAAATTGAACCTGTCTTATCGAATTTAGTTTACGTTGTCGCTGAGAATTAGATTAGTTTTTTTTTAATTAGTTTTAATATGTATAAATAAATAAAATACTTGTTAATATACTTTTATTCTCTTGTTAACATGATTGGAAAATTTTCTGTTACAAGATGATCATCTTGAAATATAATTACAATGTTTAATTCAAATTCTAAAACAAAAAAAATATAATTATTAAGTTATTTCTTTTAATTATTTAACACACCAATTTTGAAATTAACTTTGATCAATGTTGGGCAAGTAAATAATCTTGGAAAAATCATATAAATCGCAATTTCTGTATTACGAGGAATATCTCCATCTCCAATTTGAATATTTTGTATCTCTGTAGCTAAAATTAATTTTTTTATCATAATTATGATTCGAATTAACAATTACCGTCTCTTGAAAATCCTTCGGCACACCCACAAGTTTCCACTCTTACAAGTTGAAGTTCAATGCTCTTAATGGGTACAGCACAATGCTCAACAATTAAATACCCTGTTAAAGGAGAAGAAACGCTACATCGACTAGAATCAAATTTCCCATGTATTTTAAAATTAGGCGCTCCAGATCCTCCAGAAGCCAAAGAAGCCGGGCTAATTGTAAATTGTATTGATCTGGGTGGATCAGCTATCCTCGGTCTATATTGTACCATAAACTGTTGGGATTTCTGTAAGTCTTTTGATAAAAACGACCTTTTAATATCGCATTTTAAATTATAACTAATGTTGATAAAAACACCATGATAAGTTTCATAAAGTTCTCGATTGGGTTTTGGGTGTAAAGGAAGCTCAAATGGGATCTGAGTACACCCTGCAGGAATTCTACCTGGCCCACTAACTTCACAGTTTACAAAAACCAATTGAATTGGCTTCACGGAATTATAAAAAGCCTCCAAAATTCCAACATTTTTTGAACTTAACTGCAAATTCACATATCCTTCCATTATTAATGTGATCCCATCATGTTTTAAATCTGTGTTGGTGTTTATTACGATTACCCCCGTTACTTTTTCCTTTAAAGTTTAAGAAACTGGTTTAGAATTAAAATAATTGAGATTTAACCTTTCTTACCCCTTCGTGATATACTTTATCAACCTTTTTTAGCTTTATATCTAAAGTCACAGACATAATTTGTTCGATTTAGTATTAAAATGGTTTCATTAATTAATTAAAAATTTGTGTTGTTGTTTTTAAGGTGTATAAAGTTATAAATAAAGTTGTAAATGAATTTTTCGTTGAGGTTATTATTGAGAGTTAGGCAACTCAAATTACGCATCTAATCTGAATTGGTGTTTTATTTGATTAAATTTTAATTGGAATGAAATGTAGTAAAAATTATTAAAAATAATCAAAAGTTAACAAAAATTAAGATTATAATAATAATATATAAAAAATTCTGAAGTTATGTTAACTTAATAAGAAAGGTTTAAACAAATCGCATTAAACACTTAACGATGTTAGTTCTTGTTGTTTAATATTCATTTAACATAGTAAATAGATTCAGTATTAATAAAAGGTAATACATTTGGTTTTATTGTTATTAAAATGTTTATTATTTATATTTATTATTAAAATGTGTTAGCACAAAGTAAGGTGTTAGTTTCGTATATGGTTACGCCATCTAGTAGTAAGAGACTATCAACGGTGACTGTTATGAGATAAGGTTATGTTAACATTAGAGTTCAGATGTAGTTATAAGAAGTTTAATAAGAATAATAAGTTACTTTTAATAAATGATTTACAAAGTAAAGCACTAGGAGTTCTTAGCATTATATCCATAAACTTATATAAGACAAACGTTACAGTTAGGTTGCCTAAAATTCAGGTGATAAAATTTGGGATTTTCCTTATAGATGGCGCTTATTAGAATTTTATTATTTAAATTAACTTATTTATAATTTGTGATTAACAAATAGTGTTGTAGTAATTCTTTAGGTTATGTATTTAACTATTTCTAACGATATTAATTACACGATGTTGTGTATTTTGTTATTAAATAAATTTATAAGGTTATATTTGACAGCTGTCATGGTAATTACTTGCCATGGATTATAAAAAATCTGAAGTTCTTGTAAAGAACGAAAATCTTGTAAAGTAATAATTTTATAGTAATACTATTTGTTTTTACCCAATATTCATTTTTAATTATTAAGTAAATAAGTAAGGAAAACTGATATAGTAAGATAAACTATAGTAAGATGGCGCTGTATTTTAAATTTTCAAATATTTTACATTATTAAAGTAAAAAAATTTCATTATTTAAACATATCGCGCTTTCTAATCAACTTGCTAGGTTTCTTGCAAATTTAGAGTTGTTTAATAATTAAAATTATACCTATCTCTTTATATTTGTATAAAAACGCGATGCGTTTCTTTGATGCATATTTACGACTTCATGCCTTATATTTGTACAAAATTAAATTAATAAGTAAATAGTAAACATACTTCCCCACAGAATGATACATTTTGTGTAATAAACAATAAAAAATAAATTATGTATTATTTGTAATTAGGAATTTGTTGTTTAATTCAAAACTTCAGAAATTGCCTAATAGATGGCACTACCAATAAAAAATGTGAAACAATAACTAATGCTCAATAAAATATTACCAAACGCACAATAAATTGATAAATAAACTGATATAGTAAGATAAACTATAGTAAGATGGCGCTGTATTTTAAATTTTCAAAAATTTTACATTATTAAAGCAAAAAAATTTCATTATTTAAATATATAAATCAACTTGCTAGGTTTCTTGCAAATTTAGAGTTCTTTAATAATTAAAATTATACCTATCTCTTTATATTTGTATAAAAACGCGATGCGTTTCTTTGATGCATATTTACGACTTTATGCCTTATATTTGTACAAAATTAAATTAATAAGTAAATAGTAGACATATTTCCCTACAAAATGATTCATTTAGTTTAATAAACAATAATAAATTATGTGTTATTTATAATAAGGAATTTTTTGTTTAATTTAATACTTTAGAAATTGCCTCATAGATGGCATTGTCAATAAAAATGTCAACATGTATTATAAAAAGTAGTTAATGTTATTATTTAATTTTAGAAGTTGAGGCTAAGTTTATAGCAAAATATACAAGAACATTTAATATCGATCAGGTATTTAAAAATATCATATTGGGATGAAACCACAGTCAGAAAATTAAAAAAAATGTTTTGACATTTAAAATTGACACTTCTTTCCTTGATTCCTGTCAATTATAATTTTTTTAATATTTATGTATATACAAGATTTATAAAGTAAAGTGCTAGTAGTTACTTAGTATTATATCCATCAAGTTATGACGGACAAACGCTAGTTAGGTTGCCTAAAATTAAGGTGATAAAACTTGGGAATTGCCTTATAGATGGCGCTTATTATAAATTTATTATTTAAATTAACTTTTTAACTTATTTATAATTTGTGATTAATAAATAGTGTTGTAGTAATTATTTATGTTATGTGTTTAACTATTTCTAAGGATGTGATTACACGATGTTGTGTATTTTGTTATTAAATAAATTTAGGGTTATCTTTGACTTTGACAGCTGTCATGGTAATTCCTTGCCATGGATTATAAAAATCTAAAGTTCTCCAAAAAGTTATAAAGTAATCTTGTAAAGTAATAATTTTATTTCTAAAAAAACGAAAACAATTCATCCTAAAATCTATACAATTCCATATTTATATAACACTATGCACAATAGAATAAAAACAGCATCATAAAATATATTGGGATTCAAACAAAACTAAGAAACAATAGTAACAAGGTAATAAAAACTGTTACAATTATTGTACATTTCTAATTTAACACATACAAGTTTTCTATATTGTATTATTTAGAATAAAGCCGTTCTAAATTAATCAGTCTACGGTGAGAGTTAGTAATCTAAGTAACAATTATTAGGATAAAAATATGTGATATTTGCACTGCAGAAAATAGTTAAAATTAGAACATGACTTTAGAATAACATTTAAAGAATTTATTTAAAAAGTTTAAAACTGTTGATATGTAAATTTAATAATTATCGTATAAATATTGATAAAATATATGATTATTTTTCAATTTGTTTTACGTTATCACATGGATTGGTAAACAGACCAATTCTTTAAATTGTAAAAAGTGAAAAAGATCTTTTTTTTAATTAATAAGGATAAATCAATTCTTCAATTAATTAACCTTTGTGATTAACTGAATTAGTTATGTAATTAAACAGTCTTTTGCCCCACCAACCTTCTAAATCAAAAGGTTTAAAATTTTCTAATTGCGGTGAAGGATCTTCCTTGTAATAACAAGTTTGTTTACCTGTAAAAATCGATTTTAATTTAAAATTAAAAGATTAAAGTTCAAAAGCGTTAAAAGGTTATAACCTGTTAAGCTGACGTTTTCTGATGAATTAATTTCCGAATACACTGAATTCCAGGCTAAAATCAATCGCCAAAATTAAAAATAAATCAAATAAACCTAAAAATACTTACAATCGTTGATAAAAAATATCAATTCTTCATGTTGAGGCGTTATAATAACCTCGTTATGACGAAAAGTTCGAGTATCGTTGTGAGTTTTCTTTGAAACATTTTGAAAAATTGGTTTCGAGTCACTGAAAAAAATTATCTCACCATCAGAAATTTATTTGTTACTTAATACGCACTTTATAACCTCTCCAACCGCGTTAACCTTTGACTTTGTGTAGTCACGAAAACCGTCCAAATTTTGTATACCTGAAAATCTAAATTAAAAATAACCCAATTCAGTGCAATTTCGTTTACCTCTTCGTGTTGTTTTCGCCACGATCTTACTCGGTCCCTTTACATTATACATTTCAGTGCACTATTAAAATGGTTGTGGTTGAACTCGATTACGCACGTGCTATATCGTAAAAGATAACGAGTTAATTTTGATTTTACTCCCTACTCTGTACGACACACGAACAATTTTCAATCATTCAGTTAACTACTGAATGGTTTTTTTGGAACTTTTAAGTTTATTTGGTTGGTATTTTTTCGATACAAAAAAGGTTAATTTATGTGATAAGAATTTTATAATACTTTTATTATTTATTGTAGAATTAATTTGTGTCTTCAACAATGTAATCTTAATATAACAAAGTTATTTTTCACACATTTTCTTGCATGTCGAAAAATTTAAAAATATTTGTATCTAAATTTAATAATTGAAGTTTTTACCGTTAGATGGCGAAGCAATTCAAATTGATTTTTACAATTTTATCTAATAATTTTTATCATTAAAAATTTCCACCAAATTATATTGCGTGGTCGTATCATTGCGATATTATTTATAATATTATTATATTATTTATATCCAAATTTGGAGAGTATTTGTATCCACGAGATGGCGCTGTATTCTAAATGTTCAAAAAGTTAACATTATTAAAGGAAAAAAAGTTTAATTATTAATACTTATCACGCTTTCAAACCAAATTGCTAAGTTTTTTGAAAATTTAAATTACATTAATAATTAAAATAATTAATATAAAAACGCGATGCGTTTCTTTGATGCATATTTACGACTTTATGCCTTATATTTGTAAAACATGAAATTAATAAGTAAATAGTAGACACATTTCCCTAATGATACATAGCGTAATAAACAATAATAAATTATGTGTTATTTATAATAAGGAATTTGTTGTTTAATTTAATACTTTAGAAATTGCCTCATAGATGGCATTGTCAATAAAAATGTCAATAAGTATTATATAAAAAACTAGTTAATGTTATTATTTTATTCTAGAAGTTGAGGCTAAGTTTATAACAAAATATACAAGAACACTTAATATCGATCAGGTATTTGAAAATATAATATTGGGATGAAACCACAAGAAAGAAATTAAAAAAAAAAGTTAATAATTTTTGACATTTAAATTTGACACTCTTGTCATTTATTCCTGTCAATTATGAATTTTTTAATATTTATATACAAGGACGTTTTCTTTTTAAATATTCTTATAAAATATGCTTCACAAGAGTAAAAGTGAATCATTATTAACAAATTCAATATCTACGGCAAGTTTAAGATGGAACGTTTTTAATAAAATTTTTACTTACTATAAAAATTTGTTATTTTTGATAGGAGAAGTATCAACAAAACGAAGATTTAAAAAAACACATCAATAAGCTACATAAAACAATAAATACTTTGGAATGCAGTATTATACAGTCAAACGAAAATGATCGACAATTATTGATGGTTACACAACGCGATAATTTGAGAAATCAAAAATTATCATATCAACTAGATGAAGCAAGAAACGAAAATAAATTATTGTTGAGTAAGTAGTTAACAAACATTATTATTTATGGTATACTTATCGTAATTATTAGATGCTCTTCAATTAAACAAAGATAACAATAAAGATCCTTCAAAATCACGCACTCAGATGGATTTCACATCTTATTCAACAGTAAGTTTGGTTCATCTTCAATATAAGTATGTTTGTGTATCTTTATAAACTAAATTTGCTACTTATTCCATAAATACTTTAAAGATACGAAGAATTATCGTCGAGTCACGAAGGTTTATTGAAAGTGCTCGATTCAAAAGTGAAGGAATGCCAAAAATGTTATCGTGAAAATGAAGAATTAAGGGATGAAATTCAAAATCTTAAAATACAAATTGCCGAAAATATAAGAACGATTAAAACGTTATGTGATAAATATATGAAATTAAAAGGGCGCAAAGATTTGAAAGTAAATATATGAAAATCTCGATATAACGGATTAATATGGGGAAGGAAATTTTGAATTTGCACTTTAAATTGTTTGAATGAATAATTTTAATGCACACAAATTCGAATAGTTATTCACACCGTTGTGTTTTGTATTAGTTAGTTCTATTTTTAGTTTAATAAAAATATTTAACAATCTAGCGTTGAATAACAACTAAAACTAGAACTAACACTAATATTAGGACTAAAAAGTTTCGGATTTAGACGTACATCTTCAGACGCATGGCTATACCCGAATGTTTGTTCGTTATATCCGAAATCCGTACTAACGAAGTTCGTTATATCGAGATTTTACTTATTTTAAAATGAAATTAAACGGTAATAGATTTTCTTTTAAGATTTCTAGTTTGAGATATGAAAGGGATACTTTAAAAATGGTGCACAGTCGTCTCGTTAATTTGCTTAATCAGAAATATTAAGAAGATTTAAGGATTTTTTTTAAGAAGTAGTAATGTGGAAACAAGACATACGTTTTATTAAACCAGAAATTATTTTTTTAAGTACAATATTTAATTGGTACAATGTGTGCTGTCGTAACAAATTCTTAACAGTATATGAAAATATCTATCACAGTCTGATTACGTTCTGATGAGATCTCTATCATTTAAGGTACCTAAAAGTTAAAAGTGATTTTTTTTAATTATAAATAGTTTAATAACAAACTTTGCCGCCCAGTCAGTTCGTCCATGATTACTACCAGCTAAACTAAAACTTCCTATTTTTTGTTTTCCAGGTGGAATTGTTTGTAAACCTAAACTTTCATTGAATAAACTTGTAATATCCAAATCACCTAAAAAGAAATTTTTATATTCGCCAAATCACCTTAAATTTTAAAATTTAATAAACCTGATCTTTTACTAAACAACCCACTATTTTTTCTGCTATCACCACCATCGAGGAAATTAACATTACTCCCTCTTTTAATACTAGGCTGACCGGCAATGTATCTCGACACGCTAAGATATTGATTTCTGGCGGTTCCAGCACTCGCTTTTGCTAAAGGTTCCAGTATATCTTGGAGATTATATTGACTCAAATTAACCTTGTTTTCCTTTACTTTCTCCGATTCTTTAATTTTATTCCTAAAATGTTTTTTGTATTTTTGAATAAATCAAATTAAAACAAAACAAAATTTGATTACTTACCCTAGAATATCAGCAAAATTATCTTCTTCAGCTTCGAAATCATTTTTACCCCACGATATCCTTTTGACGAACTTTTTGGCGCTATTAGCATTATTAAAACCGATATTGGAATTGTACAATTTATTCGAATAATCCATTTGTCCAAAACTGTAAATAATAGGGGCGACTGCTTGTACCGGTTGATTTCTTGTAGCTGGTTTAATTAACGGTTGTACTTGAATATGAATTTTCGATTCTTGCTGAGATGATTGATAAGCGTTTTTTGAGTTTTCTTGCAAAGAAATTTGGTTGAGAAGGGATTGATTTTGATTTTGTAAGTTTTGAACGTTTTGATTCTCAATTTGTTGTTTCTGATCGGATGTAGAAATCGTTCCGTTTTGTTGGAGGGCTGCGAAAGTTGTGAAATTTTTAGCAGAGGGTTGATGAATAATTCCATTTTGACGTTGAATACTGTAAGCACTATTAGCGTATTGTTGACCAATCTAAAATTTGAAATGTTTATTATTAAAATGGTTGAAATGTTTTAATTTACTTGAAAATATGAATGTTTTAAGGCAGCTTGAGCTGTTGGTCTTCCAGCCGAATTCCAATCTAACAAAACTTCAATTAATTTAATTCCAATTGTACTGGCTTGAGGAACAACAGCGCTTAATGGAGTACTTGTAAAATAAGGAAATTTAAATCCAACAGCACCAGCAAGTTGATAACCTTCCAACCAATTCTTCTATTAATCCAAAAAAATTATTAGTCAATTTTACATGATTTTTTATTTCAAGAAATTTATAGATTATGTTGATAACACTGATTTTACAAAAGATAAATAAAGAACTTTTAAAGCCCACAGGGTTTAGAGCTTTCAACTAATAATCCGTTACACTATTTTAGCTATATCTAGCTGTGTTTATTATTATTATGTCGATATCCCTACGTGGATCTAGATCAGTGGTGTCGCAATATAACGTCGATCGCAAAGCAGTTTTGAGTCGATCGCCAAGAAAATCATGAATCTGAAATATCTAATATCTGGACCTCAGAGTAAAAAAAAAGGAAGGTTACTTTAAACCCTTCGGTCGATCTTGGCAAGACATTTACAAGCTTTAAATCGATTAAACATCAAAATTGTTGATTTTCGAAAATTAACTCAATCATAACTCAAAAACTAAAAGCGATGGAGAAAAACTTTTTATACATAAAACCTTAGTAATGGGCCATAAAGACTAGATCCATAACAAGATTGAACCCAATTATTACCATTTTTTATTTATAAGCTCTAAATCGATTAAACATCAAAATTGTTGATTTTCGAAAATTAACTCAATCATAACTCAAAAACTAAAAGCGATGGAGAAAAACTTTTTATACATAAAACCTTAGTAATGGGCCATAAAGACTAAATCCATAACAAGATTGAACCCAATTATTACCATTTTTTATTTATAAGCTCTAAATCGATTAAACATCAAAATTGTTGATTTTCGAAAATTAACTCAATCATAACTCAAAAACTAAAAGCGATGGAGAAAAACTTTTTATACATAAAACCTTAGTAATGGGCCATAAAGACTAAATCCATAACAAGATTGAACCCAATTATTACCATTTTTTATTTATAAGCTCTAAATCGATTAAACATCAAAATTGTTGATTTTCGAAAATTAACTCAATCATAACTCAAAAACTAAAAGCGATGGAGAAAAACTTTTTATACATAAAACCTTAGTAATGGGCCATAAAGACTAAATCCATAACAAGATTGAACCCAATTATTACCATTTTTTATTTATAAGCTCTAAATCGATTAAACATCAAAATTGTTGATTTTCGAAAATTAACTCAATCATAACTCAAAAACTAAAAGCGATGGAGAAAAACTTTTTATACATAAAACCTTAGTAATGGGCCATAAAGACTAAATCCATAACAAGATTGAACCCAATTATTACCATTTTTTATTTATAAGCTCTAAATCGATTAAACATCAAAATTGTTGATTTTCGAAAATTAACTCAATCATAACTCAAAAACTAAAAGCGATGGAGAAAAACTTTTTATACATAAAACCTTAGTAATGGGCCATAAAGACTAAATCCATAACAAGATTGAACCCAATTATTACCATTTTTTATTTATAAGCTCTAAATCGATTAAACATCAAAATTGTTGATTTTCGAAAATTAACTCAATCATAACTCAAAAACTAAAAGCGATGGAGAAAAACTTTTTATACATAAAACCTTAGTAATGGGCCATAAAGACTAAATCCATAACAAGATTGAACCCAATTATTACCATTTTTTATTTATAAGCTCTAAATCGATTAAACATCAAAATTGTTGATTTTCGAAAATTAACTCAATCATAACTCAAAAACTAAAAGCGATGGAGAAAAACTTTTTATACATAAAACCTTAGTAATGGGCCATAAAGACTAAATCCATAACAAGATTGAACCCAATTATTACCATTTTTTATTTATAAGCTCTAAATCGATTAAACATCAAAATTGTTGATTTTCGAAAATTAACTCAATCATAACTCAAAAACTAAAAGCGATGGAGAAAAACTTTTTATACATAAAACCTTAGTAATGGGCCATAAAGACTAAATCCATAACAAGATTGAACCCAATTATTACCATTTTTTATTTATAAGCTCTAAATCGATTAAACATCAAAATTGTTGATTTTCGAAAATTAACTCAATCATAACTCAAAAACTAAAAGCGATGGAGAAAAACTTTTTATACATAAAACCTTAGTAATGCACCATAAAGACTAGATCCATAAAAAGATTGAATCCAATTATTACCATTTTTTATTTATAAGCTCTAAATCGATTAAACATCAAAATTGTTGATTTTCGAAAATTAACTCAATTATAAGGAAGGTTACTTTAAACCCTTTGGTCGATCTTGGCAAGACATTTATATAAAAAGTCGATGTTGATCAAAAATTAGTGGACAACACTGATCTAGATTATGAAGGGTAGAATACAGAAGGAAGAAGAATAAGTATTTTATATTTGTAAATCAGAAATAAAATCCACGGGACAGAAAGTTTTAAGAACAGAAAGCCGAAGAAAGAATAAAGTATAAAATACAACAAGAGTTCGAACTCCAAAACCTAACCGGATGTAAATCATAACAATAATAATAAAATAACCAAACTTTACGAAATTTGATAGAAAGTACAGTTAGCTAAATTACCAACTTTTATATGACATTTAAAATGTCACGGGAATTTGTTGAACTATATTACTACAAAAAAATATTTAATTTTATGTTTCCTGAAAACTATTTGATTTACACATTTTATACCATCCTGTAATTAACATTATAGTTTTTATCCTATTTATTTATTGTTTGAGCTTTATCTCTAATCTTCATTTCATTGATTATGTAGGAATCTGTAAAGATAAGGTTGTCACTTTTGACGTTTGTTGTAAACCTTAAATTTTAAACCTTAAACAACGTGATGCCTTATTGTGCAACAAAGTTTACTTTAAATCAGAGTTATCAACATAAATTGTAAGTTAATTTTTTGTTACTTTATCTGGGGTTCCTAAAATTTGGCATATTTTATAAAGTTGATCGGTTTCGGTTGTACCGGGAAATAACGGCCTATAAGTATAAACTTCAGCCGCGATACAACCGACGGCCCAAAGATCGATTGGACTTGTATAAGTTGTTGAGTGTAACAGAACTTCCGGTGCTCGATACCATCTTGTTGACACGTAATCCGTGTAAGGAGGTCGCGATCTTATTTCTCGAACCAAACCAAAATCGGCTATTTTTACCAATTCCGGTCCTGAACAAAGAATATTTTCCGGTTTTAAGTCTCTATGAAAGAAACCATGTCTATGGATAAATGCTAAACCTTGCAGTATCTAAAAAATAATCGCAAAAAAGTATAAAATTAATATTTCGTTATCAAACAAATTAGTTTTAATGTATTCTTTAACCTTGGTGTTAATGTAAATATCCATATTTATAACATCTAATTTATTATGGAAATTAACATTTTTAAAACAAAGCGTTTTAAGTATACATTTTCTTCGTGAGGTAAATTATTTTTTTCTTCCCCACCACGAAAGAAAATAAAAAAATGCATTAGTAATGCATGAACTTGGATAACACAACCCATTTTATTCTTACAATATGGATTTATTGTTTTCCACCATTTATTTATACGTTCCAATGCATACAAGTTATCATTAAAAGTTTTGATCCTTAAGGAAATATTTCCCGTATTTGCTCGATTTAAATAATTTACTAATAAACGCCAATCATTGGATATCAATACTATTGCACTACTTTGATACAATCGCGTTCTAATTAAATATGAAATATACAGATGGTAACATGTAATCGAAACCACCTAAAATGTTATCGATCCCAGTTCTAAATATTAATTGCAAGTTAAAATGATATTACCGGGAAATTGGTATATTAAAAAATCATAATCATGAATTATTTAGGCTAGATTTTGACCTATTTCAAAAAATTACGTGTAACATGGTCTGTATACAAATTTATTAAACGCACGAAAATTGAATATCTGTTCGTTGTAGATGAGGAAATCGATAATTTCATTTTGTATGCACTCGGTATCGCATTCAATATCAAATTAGACCACAAATTGGTTTGTGTTTTGGAAAAATAAAAAACTATTGATTCCGAAGAAATAAGAACTCACCTGAAATAGCATGTTTCTAACGGTGGCTTCTGGAAATGGTACACGGCGATCCTTTATTAATTGATAAAGATTTTCTTGCATATATTCGAACACAAAATATAAAACATCATTTTCTCTAATCACCTCTTTCAGTTTAACAACGTTGGTGTGGTGTAGTTTTTTTAACGACTGAAACAAATCAATAAATTTTATTAAATAACAGCTACAGCTGATGTGGATGAAAAGCTGGTGATAATAAAATTGATCTTGTGAATTTTCTGGCAAATGATGGGTTGTTTGCTAAGCAGCTTTTGTGGCAAATTTCATTGGAGATCTCACCCACCACATAGTGGACTAGTTTTAGTAAAAACGCAGAACTCTCAAAAGTCAAAAGTAAAAAAAGAAAAAATAACGATGCTTATTGTTTATTATTTAATATTTAAATTCGGTGCGACACTTCGACGGGCACGACTAAAAGTACAAAATATTTGATTAATATTTAAAATTACACAGTTAATTATGTATATAAATACCGTCAAAAAGATGAAATAAACAATAAAACTTTGCAATAAAAGCAAATGGCGACAGCGACACAAACATTCGTAAGAAAACGAGTACTCACACCACACTCAAATTTTAGCAGACTGAATAGGTGTTCAAAAGATCTTTTGATTTTTTTATTCCCTTTTTAGCTAAACCCGAATATTTCTAGTTCTAGGTCTAGAGTTACTTCTAATAGCGCTAATTAGCATAAGATATTACTATGTTGTATATTTTTATTGAACTAAAACTAGAAACATTGCGGTTTAGTCGTGAAAAAAACTTTCAACGTCAACTTTAATTTTATTATTATATTCGTAATCTTTATAAAATAACCTTTAAAATGAGTCCAAACTTGACGCATTTATCTCTAAAAACAAAAAGGTTTAATTTTGACATATTTGTCAACTTTATAAAAACTTTTAATTTTGCCATATTTATCAACTTCATAAAAAATCCTTTAAAATGAGTCCAAACTCGACATATTTAACTTTAATATTAATGGAAATACAATCATTTCCGGTTTGAAACGTCAACGTCAATTTTGACATATTTATCATCTTCATTAAAAATCCTTTAAAATGAGTCCAAAGATGACGCACTTATCTCAAAAAACAAAAAAGTTAGAATAAAAAACATTAAACCCGAAGTTAGCAACAATGAAGATAGCAATTTAATTTTCAAATAATAATACCAACCTTAATTTTTTATTTTTTTTATTATATTTTTGTTTTTGTGACAAATATTAAGACATTTTATAAAAATTAAGAATATGTCAAAATGACATTGACATTTCAAACCGGAAGTTGCTTATATCTCGAGTAATATTGGAATTAAACGTATCATGTTTGGACTCATTTTAAATGATTTTTCATGACGATTACAAATATGTCAAAATTGACGTTGACATTTTTGACCGGAAGTTGACAATAACTTCATTAATATTGAAGATAAATATGTCGTGTTTGTACTCATTTTAAAGGATTTTTAATGAAGATTACAAATATGTCAAAATTGAGGTTGACATTTTAAACCTGAAGTTAGTTATCATGTAATAGAACTTTTATAACTGAAGTTAATCTAGTGTTAATCACTTTTCCGCACTTTCTATGTATTTTTAACGTGTATTTTGGATCATTTCACATGCCACATGATGATTCTTGAATTTTTCCCAAGTTTCTTTATATTTCTTTTATTAAAAAAGAGCGTTCTTAAATTTTAACCTCTAAATTTGTAACACTTTGTCATTAATTTACAACTTTTTAAACTTTAATTTCGAAATTACTAACTAATAATCTGATTTCTACTTTGATAACTGATTTTAACAAAACAAAAAGAAATATTAAGAAACTTGTTTGTAAAATGAATAAGATGGGAGATGTTAATCTATTCGTAGAGTCTCTGAAGATGGCCAAGGGTCGAAACTGGTTAGACTTAAATTCTATATAAAATAGAAACCAGTTTAAAAGTACAAAATCAAACTGTAAATTATTTTCTTCAAAAATTTTTACACAAATCGTCATCATTTTGTCTCTGGTTTTAGTGATTAAATTTTGTGCAACGACTTACAGAAACAGCCTGTATAATCGTAAAACGTAACGGCTTCTGTGCTTGAATAATTTTCAATAGTTGAGCCTGTCTATTCTGAGAAGTCTTATATTTTTAGAGAGATGAAAACGAAATTCCCGTTTTTCTCAACATTATTCATTTGTCGCTTAGTCAAGTGATGCATAACGCGGTCCAATTACAAGTGGCTTCTCAATACGTACTAACACAAATATTACAGCTACACTTAACATGAATGTACATCATCTATATTATAGTTTTGACAATTGTTGGTCAGGTACTTCTGAAGAATTATCTGTGCACGACACTGACATGTCGGAAGGACCACAAGAATTTGAGGTTGATACTAAAAACACCACATGCCACAAATTGTAAATACAATTTGAAGATGAAGCTTTCGGTGAAGCTTTTAAAGACCACAATTTTGAAGATAAATCCTTTTTTGGCAGAAACAAGTAGTAGAATATTTGATACTAAGTTCTGAATTATTATACTAAGTTGTTCTATTCTGGACAATTTTGTGGGTGGAAACGCAATTCATTGAAATACAAGTATATTTATAAAATTTAGACATCATTTTCAAATTTGTGCTAGTGATAGTTCAGGTGTATTCAGACTGATGTAGGATCAGACAGAATATTTATCTATATCTTAGATATTCGCAGAAATAATTGAATTAATCAAAGTGTTACGATGTTTCACTTTGAAGTTATTGAAGTTTATAGATTCCTAAAGGTAGGGTATTCTAAGAGAAGTACATTTCAACTTCTCAAGTAATCTACAATCACCACAACTATCATTATTGGCACTATGAGAATCCTCATATTTTATGTCATCTGCGTCTTGGTCCTTGTATGTTTGGTTGTAAATTTTTAGAGGACATATCAGCAGTCTCTATTTTCTGATAGGAATACTGAATGGTGAAACAAGCTCTAATTTTTGAGAGGACGCTTTGCCACCTTCAAAAAGTCTTCTCTAAAAAGTTTTCTAAAACCGGGTTTTAGAGCTTTGATAAGCAACTTTTCTAGTTTTAACAACGTATTTTATTAATTAACAGTTATTAAAACTGCACCCGCCAGATATTTGCAATGTTAGGCTTGCAAATCGAGCAGGGTCAATTGGTGAACAGGATTTCTCCTAAACCGGAAGTTGAACAATCAAATTATGACTACGATTACCTTTCTAAATTTATAAACTTAGGAAACTAAGTAAGATTTTTTAAAAATATTCATTTTTGACGAATTGGTGCCGATATTACTAGAAATGCTTTATTTATTGATAAAAAACATGCATAAAAATGGTTGTAAAACAGCCAACTTTATATACATTGAAAAACGGCTAAATTGAAAATCTTAAAATTTGAAGAAAGTCTGAAGACGCACGACTAAACCCGAAACTTTCTAGTTCTAGTGTTAGTTATAGTTTCATACTACATTACATTACATAGAATACATATCGGGTAGGCGGACCAACCAACCTTGCACCGCGACCCCGAATAGTTTCATACTAGCACTATTACTATATAGAACTAACACTATACCTAGAACTAGAATCATTTGGGTTTAGCTGCACGTGTCTAAAGACGGCTAAACCCGAATGATTCTAGTTCTAGGTATAGTGTTAGTTCTACATCATTTGGGTTTAGCTGCACGTGTCTAAAGACGGCTAAACCCGAATGATTCTAGTTCTAGGTATAGTGTTAGTTCTACATAGTAACAGTGCTAGTGTAAAACTAGAACTAACATTAGACCTAGAACTAGAAACATTTGAGTTTAGCCATACGTCTCTTAAGACGGCTAAACTCGAATGGTTCTAGTTCTAGGTATAGTGTTAGTTCTACATAGTAATAGTTCTAGTTTTACATGTTATGTAGCGCTAGATCAAGACAACAAGTTTCACACTTGCACTGTCACTAGAACTAACACTATACCTAGAACTAGAATCATTTGAGTTTAGCCGTACGTCTTTTAAGACGGCTAAACCCGAATGATTCTAGTTCTTGGTCTAGAGTTGCATAACATTTAAAACTAGAACTAACACTAGACCTAGAACTAACAACATTGGGGAATTGCTGTAAAATATTATTCATTCTTAATTCAAATTTGTTTAGATATTAAGTACCAATACTATAATTTAATCTAATTACACTAATAACTTAAAGAAAATAAATAGTCTCTTGAGAGCAGGTCAATGTAAATTAATAAATAAGGAATCGTCGATAATCCTTGAAGGTTTTTGGGTGACAATTAACTTTTTATTTATGTTCAAGGTGAATAAACATTAATTAAATTAATTTTTTACCTTAACTTCTCTCAAATTCATAGCTTCCTCCCAAGAATAATACTTCCTTTTCATCCTTTTAATTGCAACTTTTTCCCCGGTATCTTTTCTTTGGCCCAAAACAACTGACCCGTACGTTCCATCTCCCAATTGATGAAGCGTAATATACCTGTTCATCCTGCAAAAGAAACCGACCCCAACAAACTAAATTAACGAAATTAAAGTTCCATATTTATTATTTTTTTTTTATTTTGTATTATTTTTTAACAATTGGATGAGTCAATTCACGTTTTTATTTGTATCGACTGCACCTCTTGTACACCTGCATAAGGGTCTACGGTTCGAAACGCGACTGATTCACGGTTTTCACGTTTCGGTTTGTCGACATCGGCGATATCGATTACTTTTTGAAAGAGGAAAAAAATACGCGGCATTAACTATAATATTATTATGGGGGGGTAGTAAATTTTAGGGGGTTCGTGTTTAAAATTAAATAGGTTGGATTGGGTTTGTAATGAAAACGGGGGTTACATTTATTTATGTATGCGAAGTTCCGTTCTTATTCTGTGACCTCGATCCATAACAGGGTCGTTTTTGTATTGAACATAGAAAGAATGAGAAAAAATAAGGGAGAAAAATAATGTAAATTTAGGGAGGAAATTTGTGTTGTATTGGTTTTTTAAGTGGGACACGTGGACTGTGCGTGCAGTTTCTATGTTGTTGTTACCGTAATAAAGTCTCGAAAGAAAAGAGAATCAATTTAAGTTTTAAACTGTAATTTAAAAATTAGAATTTAAAATATTTTATATAAAAGTAGAGTGAGAACTATGGTATAGAACAAAATGGAAAGAGCAAATTATGCAACGAGTAAATGATTCATAAATAAGAAAATAGTTCATCATGAAAACAAAATAAAAGTTTATAAGTCAATATAAACTTGTTATATAAACTTATAGTCTTGTACAGATGCGAATCGTGGGTGTCATCGGTAAAAGATAAAAGCAAGATTAGAGCAGCAGAATTGAAATACCACTAAAGTACCATTACTTGAATGCATACTTTCTTCATCTGCACTATTACGTTTATTACTGCTCAAAAATCAGCTCATTATCAAAGATACAAGAGCCAAAAATCACAAAACTACTTTTTATCAAATTTATGCCATCCTTTTATTTATATGAAGCGTTGTGTTTAACTTGGCTTAAATTAGAAGTTGATTGACTGAATCGAATCTGCAACACTTGCTCATACAGTTTTTCCAAAAGTAACGCATAAACTCTATATTACCATGATAGTCCTCAATCTTCTCGTGCAGATCATAGTTGCGAAAGTACCAAGGTGCATCGATCATGTCCCTCAGTGCTTTGTTTTGTAGTAGTTGAATAATTTGAATATTAGTTTTACTAGCACAGGTCCAAAGTTGTAGGCTGTTTAACTATACTGGCTTTAGTACTTGCTTATAAGAGCAGTTTATTGTGGAACTTTCAAGTTCCTTCCAAGCAACCAGTACATTCTTTTATATTTTAGATTAAACTCTTCTTTTTTCTTTTTCACATGGGCTTTCCAGCATAGCCTTGCGTCTAAAGTGATGCCCAGGTATTCCGCTGAGTTATCATATCAGGCATCATTTATTCTGATGGGTATATGGTATTTTAATCTATTGGTGAAGTCTACATGATTTTTTCCTATTGCCATGGTAGCTGTTTCAAGATCAGGAATATCACTAGTGTAAAACAAGTAGAGTACTGGGCCGAGCACACTATCTTGTGGCACTACAGCCTGGATCTTTCTTAAGTTAGAATAGGCCTCCACTTGCTTTATTCTAAAATATCTTCCTGCAAGATATAATTTTATCAATTGAGAGTGTTGTTGCGACAAGATTTTATTCAATTTATGAAGTAAGCCTTCCTGCCAGACTTTATCAAAAGCCTGGGCTACATCTAGGAATATAGTTTTTAATAATATTTGTTATCCTGTGTATCTGGTCTATTGTAGTGTGGCTTTTTTTGAACTCGAACTGGTGCGAAGGGATTAGGTTCTTTTCCTTTATTATCGGTCTTAATCGTTTAAGAAATAGCTTTTCAAATAATTTCGCAATTACTGGCTTGAATACTTGAATACTTCCTCAGTTTGCATTCCTGATTTAGAAATCATTATTATTTCCGCTATTTTCCACATCATGTTAATCTAAATGTTGCGTTAATAAGATAAGTCAGTTTTACTATTGCTTTCTTTGGGAGCTGTTTGAGAATTTCTTTTGTGGTTTAATCGAATCCAGGTGCTTCCTTTGCATGAATATTCGTTTTGATTTCTTCCAAAACTTCTTTTGGAGTGGTGAGGATGTGGTGACATCCTCTTGTGTTGGTTCCTTCCAATCTTGTGGGTCTTCCCCTTCATTTGGTTATAAGATCAATTCCACCTGTTCTGCAAAATCTCGTTGCTTTTTGTACGTCATGTCGAGACTAAATTCCATCTCTTCCTCCCTAGCTGACATATATACAGGGTGTCTCAGCAAGACCGGTCATTAGACGTTTCTGGGGTTCTGGCCAAGTAAAAAATTTGAGAATGCAGACTTAAGTATTATCAATTACGTTCTTTTCATTTAAAATATTTTCAGATTTCTAGCACTTCCGGTTATACCGGAAGTCACCACCTACTTTATTTTTTTAAATGGAACAGTCTGTATATTTTTACATATTTGGATTTGTCTGTTTTGAAGGTTTATAAATAACTTTACTTTTTGCAATTTGAACCAGCCATTCTCGAGTTATTCGAATTTTTCTAGAAAAATTTGCTCCAGCGGACATTTGTTCAAAAAATCATAGAACATTCAATTTTTGAGATATCAATTTAGGATTCAGAATATGCTTAAACAACATGATGGAGTATGTTTTGGTGCCGAGAACGGCTGTCTAGATCGTTTGGTCACTTTACTATGATACGTTAACTTTTCGAAATTTGGAAGCACCATAACTTCATTTTTTTAAATGGCACCCACCATATTTTATTACTTAGTCGTCTTCGGCGTCTCATTTTACATCTTTTATATTCCATATGTCCTATGCCTAACATTAATAGTTTGAGAAATAATTAGGGTTTTTTGAAAAATGCTCACATATCATATAGATGTTAATCTAGTGTGCCATGGGAAACAAATGTTTAATGACTTATTGATAAACGTCAAAGTCTAATTTAGGTTGTTTAATGCTTGTGAGTCTAAAACCAGTTAAAATGGATATTAATAACGTAAATAATGTTTATACAAATGAAGAAATCCATAATTTATTTTTTGTGCACGAAAAGTGCGACAAAGTTCTTAGTAGAACTTGCAGAATGTTTAATGAAAAGGTAAATGAAAGGTAAATTTAGAGGAATAGAAGCAAATTTTTTGCATTTTGGACGAATTAATCACGTGTTAAACTGACCAAAAAATGTAGTAGATAATGCAACGGAAGAGGTGAATACCTTGGCTTATTTCGAGCCCAGTCCCAACACCTCAATTCGAGCTGCCAAAGAAGATCTGGGAATCATACTACGAACTTTGTCGCGCTTTTCATGCAAAAAAAATAAATTAAGAATTTCTTGATTTGTGTAAATATTACTTTCGTTATTGTTATCGATTTTAACTCGTTTCAGTACTAATATTAAGGGACATAACAGATAATTATTAGCTCACATGCATCAAGTGACGTAAACAAGTGAGTCTTTAACAAGAACTCATTGAGAAGGCTTGTTTTTCATGGCACACTAGGCTAAATATCCATATGATATGTGTGCAATTTTCAAAAAACCCTAATTATCTCCCAAACTATTAATATTAGGTATGGGCCATATGGGATATAAAAGATGTAGAATGAGACACCGAAGACGACTAAAAAATAAAATATGGGGGTGCCATTTAAAAAAATGAAGTTATGGTACTTCCAAATTTTGAAAAGTTGACGTGGCATAGTAAAGTGATCAAACGTTCTAGACCGCAGTTCTCGGCACCAAAACATACTCCATCATGTTGCTTAAGCATGTTCTCAATCCTAAATTGATATCCCAAAAATTGAGTGTTTTCTAATTTTTTGAACAAATGTCTGCTGGAGCAGATTTTTCTTTCTCTGCAAAAAGTAAAGTTATTTATAAACCTTGAAAACAGACAAATCCAAATATGTAAAAATATACAGGATGTTCCATTTAAAAAAATAAAGTTGGTGGCGACTTCCGGTATAACCGGAAGTGCAAGAAATCTGAAAATATTTTAAACGAAGAGATCGTAATTGATAATACTTAAGTCTGAATTCACAAATTTTTATTTTCGCCAGAACCCCAGAAACGTCTAATGACCGGTCTCGCTGAGACACCCTGTATTTGTGTATCATCCGCATAACAGTGATAATCGCAATACTGTAAACAATTTGTTAAACTGCTGACATAAACTGAAAAAAAGCAAAGGTGAAAGAATTGACCCCTGAGGGCAGCCAGAACCGGTATTCAAAAAATCAGAAAAGCGACCATCAACACACACTGCCTGCTGGCGAGTTGATACAAAATCCATGAGTAAGCTAATTGCCCGTGGACCCAGGCCGTTAAATTGCAATATTGCTTCTAGGATTTGATGATCAATCATATCAAAAGCCTTGCTATAATCAATTAGATACATAATTGTGATTTTAACGTTATCCATCGCCCGAAGAATATCATCCACTATATTTAAGAGATGATAATGTGGTACTGAAAGGATTCGTTTCAGAATCTACGAAGTCAATGAGCTGCTGCCAAAATAATTTTTCAGTTATTTTTTAGAGAACACCGGAATTAAACTAATAGGCCGTAAATCTGCTATAGTGGCATTGGCTTTTTTTGGGAGAGGTATAATTAGGGATTTTTTCCAGTCCGTTGGGAAAATTCCTGTTGTTATACAGGAATTTATTATGTGAACCAAATGAGGCAATATAAGCGGGCAACAGAATTGTATCATTGCGATGTTCAAACCATCCCAACCTTTTGCCTTAGATTTGATAGAACTTATTACATCCTCAATCTGGGACTCCAATACAAAATCAAATTCCGTTCCACCACTAGTTTAGTCTCTCAGGCTTCCGATGGAATCATCTTTGATACACTGTATTTCTCTCTTTAATTGTTGGGTAGCATTATCCATGGGGATTCTATTATATAAAGGAAATTCCTTTGTGAAGATGACTTTAATAATACACCTTTGTGTAGTTCCTCTCGTCCCCATATGCAAATTTGAAAAGCCGTTGCCCCAAAAAACGATATCAGACCAACGTAAGTGATTAATCTTTCTAGTTATAGGATAGCGGTAACGTTCGGAAATCGCGTGACTTCAAGTCGTCTGCAGTTATGGGATTTATGGGTTCTTTGGGGTTCGTTGAAACTGAAAAATCTAGGGCATTGCCTTTTCAGGTCGATTTCTTTACATGTGAAAAAAACACGATGTTCAAAAAGATTTGTATCAAAAAAAATCATTTGGAATTAATTAATGTCACAATTTTTAATTAGCCCCATCTTGTGTTAAATACACGTACTAAAAGAAATTTAAATAAACATAACCTATTTAAAAAAAATTATTTAACTCATAAAACTTTTTTTTACAAATAAACAAATAAGAATAATTTGAAAATGTTTAAACGAGAAACTTAGAAATATATTAATAATATAAAAACTTACTTTTCTTTTGATAAATTCGAATTTATCGATTCTGCGATATCTTGACAACTTAGACAAACCGCGAAGCAAACGAAATTATAGGTTATGTTGATCGTGTAGCGATTCCGAATATCCTGTCAAATCTGAAAAACTACCCCATTTTTTGGCATTTCCGAGTGCGCGAAAGACGAGGCTGTTCTTAACGCCGTCGTTGGTAAATTCATTTCTTCCAAAAATTTTGAAAAGTAACTTAAAAGAAGAAAGTATGAGTGACGTATCTAAGGTAACGCAACGTAAGGGAAAATCGAGCGAAAAACCGGTCGAAAAACCCCACGAAAATAATAAAGAAGAAAAAGGCGATGAAAAAATTGTACCGTAAGTATAATTTAATTCATTGGTGCTACGTTTAATTTAAAATTTTTTAGAAAATTTGGACTTTTACCACGATTTCCTCACCAAAGAGTTTGGAGTAGGCTCGTTTTGGTAATCGGGATTATGATTTACGTTTATTATTATTCAACTAAAGTAAAAGTGGTAACGTTCGCTAGACAGGGTGAAATTTTGGAGCAGAGAGGGCATAATTTTCAATGTGATGTTGATTTTGAAGAAGATTTAGTTAATTTTCCTGAGTGTACACCTGGAGCTTGTGGTCGATTTGTTTCAGATAAAATTGTTACTAGTACTGAAGCTGAAATACTCTTAAAACTTGCTAAAAAAGGTTTAGAATTAGGCGGTTCTGACGGTGGGGCCTCCGTTTTAGATTTACATTCCGGTGCTCTTTCATATGGGAGAAAATTCATCAATGTTTATTCATTAGAAAAATCAGATGAAGTATTTACTGCACCTGATTTAACCGTTTACAAAATAGTTAAAGAAAAAATAAAATATGCCATAGCACAATTATTTGATCTCCACCCAGACTTCATTTACTTAACACATCCAACATTTTTCAGTAGATTAACAAACGCTGAACCTAAGACTGAACACGACGAATACTGGCATACACATATCGATAAGGTAAAATCAAATATTTCAATTTATCATATTCGTTTTAATAATTTTGAATTTTAGGATACCTATGAATCCTTTCATTATACCTCATTGTTATATCTTAACGACTACAATTATGATTTTCGAGGGGGGAGATTTGTTTTTGTTGATGGACCATTTGAAAAACGTACCAATGTTACCGTAGAACCACGTAAGGGAAGAGTTTCCATGTTCACCTCCGGCGCTGAAAATACACATTTCGTTGAACGTGTCGAATCAGGCACTAGATACGCTGTTACAATTTCTTTTACATGCGATATAACTAAATCAATTGAAGATCCTGTTATTCCAGATTAGAAGGATTCATTTTATTTAACTATTAGTACTTATTCAAAGTATTATTTTTAGTTTTTATGTTATGAAGATGGTTAAATGTTGTTTGAATAAATGTAATTTGTTTTTTGACTGTTTAAAAACGTTTTTTTTTTTTTTTGTTGCAGTCATAAGCATTATTTTGAGGATTTAATATAGGAATTGTAATAATAATAAGTTTATTTTTGTAATATAAAATATTATTTAGAGATGAATTCAGTTAAGTATTATTGGCCGTTGATGTTTTCTATTGCAACCCATGTAAAGTCGATACGAAGTAATTTTAAAAACCCCCTGACAGATACATAACCTCAATTTGATATTTTCTCAATTTCTTATTCAAATCCTTATTTATTCGGGTGAAGCTATTAAAAATGATAATCTTAGCATAGTAAGAATGGAAAATAGCCGTCCGTTGTGAGAATTAATAAAACTTTAGATGAAAATTCATAATCTTAAAATTTGATCATTTTGCTAATGTTGCCGTTGAATCTAGAAGAAAATGATCAGATATCTGAAAAGCAATTTAAAGAAACATTAAAACTACAAGATTTCATACATAAATATAGTTATTATAAAAATTTAAATAATATTTAATCAAATTAAATTAGTGACATTACAAATGTTAAAGTTGGTAATACAGAAAATTTTAAAAAAGCAATTTCAAGTTAAGGTCGCCGTTCAATTTACTTGGGTTCTAAAAGGTGATACGAAAATTGGAATAGTTCCCACTCTGATTTGTAGAGGTCGCACAGTGTTCGGTTTACCACATTTAAAATACCGATGTTTGGCTTCTACTGAAAAGTGAGACAGAAATACACATGGACGTGTTTTTATATCGCTACGACCGGCCGATTATTGTTCATCGTATTATGGAAAGAGTATAGAAAAACATATTAAGCTAAAACTTGTATAAAAAATCTTATAAATTGTTTCAAATAAATAAAAATCATTAAAAAATTCGTTTAAATATAATTTTGTAAATTTTCTAATAATTTTTGGAGCGTTCTTGGAAATCAAATAAACGATGTGACTGTTTTTTTATGTAATGTGTTGCGACGCTCGTTCATAAGGTCTTCTGTAGACGGTAACACTCGTCATAGACGCGTTTAATAAGCGTCATGCACCGAAGCTTATTATGCGCCTAAGGATCTGCAAACAATCAATTTTAAAATGTATTTATTTATTATATTATTCAGTTTTATTCATTGGAATTATTGTAGAAGAAACTATAAAAGCTATATTGAACGTGTTGATTAAGCCGAGCCATATATATTATCAAATAAGGAAAGATGGAAACAAATAACAAATACGTATGGCAGTTGCCAAATTGTTTAGACATAATTGACTGTAAACATATCTGCATTCAGAAATATCGAAATTCCGGATCCACCAACTTTAATCGTTGTTGTGTTGCTGATGGTCTGTTCTCAACAATAGAGTGCGAATATGCTGGACGTAATAGTGATGGAGGCATCATTTGGGTTTCCACATTTGCTCGCTGGTTGGAAAGCAATAATATTGCCATCCAACCAACTACTTTGCCATCTTTAACAGATCCTTCAAACGATTTCATTGGTTGACCTATTGCATACCAAGCTCTGTCGGCTAGATCTTTTCTAGACTGTTTTGGTAAAGTATGATTGTATAAACATTGGTAATTTTCAATAAATTGAAAAAATTGCACCATTTGATCACTTTCATTTTTACTTCCATTTCCATCCTCTACGCCAAGCACCAGATGCTGTTGTTTGCCGGGCGACTTGTAACTTGCATGTTTTAGACGAAATCGCGACACTACGTCGCCATGTGTAATACTCGTTTATGACGAGCAGTTCCGTGTGTAGAAGGCCTAAGACTTCATTCGTTGTCGAATACGATCACAGTAAGCGCGCATAAAGCCTTAGTAGTCTTGTTATATCGTAATTTTCTTTTGGTGAACTGTTATTTGTTATTGTTGTTGTTATAGTTTTATTGTTATTATTGTTGCTGTTATATACTTTCATAGTGCATCTTTTAGTTTTATTGCTGGTGATTTTTTAATTACTATTTATATAATAATACTAAGGAAACCTCAACTTATTGTTAGCTTACAGGGCATACGTAACAGGAATACCTTATTTTTTATTATAGTAGCCATGTCTCCGGGCAAGCAACGACCATCACGCCCTCACAAGCGAAATCGACGAGCGCAAGGACAGAAATTAAGAAAACTATATGATTTGCAAGAGTTTGTAAAGAAAAGGTATACACTACAAACATAACTGTTTGATATATTTTTTTAGCACTTGTCAAGAATCATATCTATTCGAAGATTTACCAAAATCATCGAAAACTTCATCCTCTTCTTTAAACACGCAAGACATTGAAGAGGAATACTTAATGGACAGGTATTTTTAATTATGTATGAATCATAAATACACACAATTTTTTATTTCCTGTAGGCAAGAAGTTACTGACATGAATGTGGACAGGTAAATCTAAACCTTTGTTCTAGCTCATTAGTAAATTTACTACCAAAAAAACCTATTTTGTCATTTTTACCATTTCAGCGAGATTAGTGACTTTATCTGTATAAAACCCACAAAAGTATATTCACGAGTCAAATCTATCGGCGAATATTTTATGTCTACGTCAGAGTACAATAGGTAGACATTATTTTATACATTTATATTTTGAATATATCTTTTATATATCTTGAATATATTTCAGCATAAAAAACCATAAGCTATCGGTGGAAACAGATAGTACAAGTACTCCCAAAACAATGTTACATGGTAACCGAATTGTCAATATTCAGTACTTTGCTGAAACTTTACTATCAATTCAGTTTGAGCATTTAAAAAAATGTACGTTTGGGAAAATTATAATAGACAACGAAAAACATAACGGTTTATGCAGTAATTTAATCTTAATGTGCGAGTTCTGCAATAAGAAATTTTCGTGTTCCACGCATAAACAGAGTACACTTTCACCAAATACGTCTGTGGTATGGGGAACTATTGTGAATGGTGGTACTTATACCCAAACTGATCATTTGTTTTCAACATTGGAAATTCCAATGCTAACAAAGTATAAATTTTTAAAAATCGAACGAACGCTATCTACCTCCTGGAAAGATCAATTATGGCATTCAATGGAGGCTGCAGGAATGGAAGAGTGCCGACTTGCTAAAGAAGCAGATGATATAGACACGGATGGTATACCATGGATATTGGTTTATTGTGATGGCGGTTGGAGTAAGAGGTCATATGGTCATAATTATAACGCAGCATCTGGAGTGGTAAGTAAATGGTACTTACCATTACATCTTTTTAAATAGCAATTTTAAAGGGGGTTATAATAGGCAAAAGAACGGGCCAACTATTATTCTTGGGTGTTCGGAACAAATATTGTTCAATCTGTGAGCGAGCACAAAATAAAAATAATATTGCATCCGCCCACAATTGTTTCAAAAATTGGCAAGGGTCCTCGTCAGCTATGGAAGCTGATATTATTGTAGAAGGGTTTTCGAAAAGCATCGAAATGCATGGCTTGAAGTATTTGAAGTTTATAGCTGATGGGGATTCAAGCGTATTTTATCAAATACAAAAAAAAGTATCGTATGGGGGTGCTGTCGAAAAGATAGAATGCACAAACCATGCGATAAAAAATTATGGTAAATCATTACATAAAATAAAAACGGACACCTCCATCAATATAAATGGACGAAAACATCTAACCATAGCAGTTATAAAAGAGCTACAAAAGCGTGCTCAAAGAGCAATTTATAATTGTAGTGGGGATCCCGAAAAATTAAAAACTGAGGTATTGAAATCTATCGACACCGTTTTTAACGATATGAATAGTTTAAAAACAACTGGTGTTTTATATCATATTACTGGTATGATGTTCCTAATTCATGTACCATTAGTCCTTCTAATTTTCTGTATGTAGGAGCATTGGAAAACTTTTTGAAAAAAGCCCACAAATTGGTTCAAAATGAAACAAATAATAAGGCAGAATTATATATGTCATTATTAGCGAAGTTGAACTGTGGGAAAAGGCTAAACTTGACCCAACGAGGATCCTTTCAAACTCGAGCGTATATTGCAGCACTAGAATATAATGCAGGTATTTATTATTTTATATATACATGTTTAGAAGCTAATATAATGAAAACAAATGTTGATTGGAGAAAATGTATTCTTTCATATTGTTTTACAATGAGTTTTTATACAAGAAGATATCGTTTGGCATACTACTATTGATATATCCTGTATAGATATATTATTGTATTTATTTTCTATAGGTTATACATGGCAAAAAAGTGGCCTACAGACGGCTGGCAATGGGAGGGTTGGGCAACAATTCCTTAAATATGTTCATAAATACCAAAGTATTAGGCTTAGATCACGAAATAAATATTTAAAACGTAAACGGGATAGGTCCCATGCCCCTCAAAAAAATAAAGATTATGGAAAAGATGCTATTGCGGGAAATTTGTCACCATCGGAGATAGCTTCTGAATCAGAAAGAATTTTACATTCGCTGCAGGTTATAACCTTATGCTAATATAACTGTCATTACTTATATGTATATTTCAAATCATGGGATTCTAAAAACTATAGACAGAGATGTTAAAGACCTCTCCATAGAGAAACTTCTTTAAGATTTTTGTTTATGGTGCATCGTAAAACTTCCCATAGTACAAGTTGTTTGGTAAGGTAGTTACCTGTTATACGTACTATGTACAGTTGGGAGCAATTTTTTCTAAGAGAATAATTTAAATTCATCACATAATAAGTATGATAACTTTAATTTTATGCTCGCTACTGTATGTTGCACTTTGTATATTTCATGTTTTTATTGTGATTAATTTCAATAATTAAGTAGTATTAATACTAGTTCAATGTGACTAAACCTTTGTAGATAAGCAGTAAATGGTACATTTATTTGTAAGTATTTCTATAACACATCATCTTCTTTTACATTTCATCTTGATAAAATTTATATTGTAATAATGCCAGGTAACCCATGAGCAACACTGTCAGATAGCAGAACTTACTGTTGGGCAGTATTGCTCACCAATTTATATCAGTGAAAAGCAACGTCGATTAACTGC